CTGGCTGACCCGACTGATTAGCTCTAACAACCGCATTCACGGTTGCGCTAAAATCTTTAATTCCGGCTCGAGAAATTCGTTCGCCTTTCTTCACAAATTTTCACCTCCCGCACTTTCACTTCTCAAAAGTTTGAACTTCCTCCGAATAGAAAAATACAAACCGTGTTCTGCCGTGCTAAGGGAGAACGCCCTACGAGCATTCGAGAGTTGCCAAATTTCCTTCGATAAAATGTTTATTTTTGAGGAAAATCGTGAATACTTTTTCTTAACATTTTCAGAAGTTTTAGATCAAACTACAAACAAAATTATCTGAGAAAGTGGTAATCAAGTATTCAAAAAATTGTCTGAAAATTAAAGATTTGCCAGGAGAAATTTGGCAACGCCTGAAGGCTCATACGGCGTTATTCCTTAGCACGGCAGTGTTGTAATCTGATGGGTGACCTATGCGGCTTCTTCTCTGAACGAAAATCTGTCATCATTGAGATTTGATTTGAACTTTCCAAGCCTTGTTGATCCTGATGGAGCTCGTGCATGTGTCAGAATTTTCGATTTAAGTGCGGATACCAATGTAGAATTTCACGAGAAGCACGATGGTGCCACTGGTTTTCTCCGAAATCAACTCCTAAGCCCAAACAAAAGCTCTCGAAGTTGAGGCCGTAATGGACGAGTTTTCCTACTGTTCATGAGAAAGTGCTGAATCCCCGAAAATAGGATTTTCAGCCTGTCACCAAGAGGGTGGAGAGTCTCTATTGACCTCTGATAATAGAGGAGGCTCGATTGTTGAATCGATATCGAATGACCATGATCGATAAAATGCATTGCTAAGATACGAGATATCGATTTATCGATTGTTGAATCGATATTGAACGACCATGATCGATAGAATGCATTGCTACGATAGGGACTTATCGATCAGGATTATTCGATAGCAATTCACCAATCGATATATCGATATTCCGTATCTTAGCAATGCATTCTATCGATCATGGTCATTCAATATAGATTCAATAATCGATACAAGGCTTCCGCTCTTATCGCGGAGACAGGACTTGGACGTGGAAAACCCGGCTCCAGGTGGAATGAAAGAGGATCACGGTGCAACTGAGTCCGAGAGACCTCCGGAAGGAATTTTACTTTCGGTGAGGTGCGCTTCCGTGCTAAAGAAAAACGCCCTATGAGCCTTCAGGTGTTGCCAAATTTCCTTTGACACACCACGAATTTTGGGGAATAACCATAAATAGTTTTCTTCCAATTTTTTCAAGAACTTCCGTCTAAATTACATCTGAATGGTCGAGAAAATTCAGGGGAAGGTATTCATTATTTTCTTCAAGAAAACAAATTTTCCGAGAGGAAATTCGGCAACATTGGAGTGCTGACACGGCGTCTCACGGGACTGTACTGCCATGCTAAGGAGAAACGCCGTATGAACCACAAAGCGTTGCCAAATTTCCTTCTACTAATCACAAATTTTCAGAGAAATCCGTGGATATTTCTCCTCCGATTTTTCACAGGATTTCGTTCGTAGTTTGATGTAACAAGCTTGACAATTTCAAGGAAAAAAACATTCATAGCTGTCCTCATAAATAAACATTTTATGGGAAGAAATTTGGCAACTCTGGAATCAGGGCGGGGGCACGTCGTCGTCGGCCGCGGCACCGTCTATTTTCGAGGCGAGAAAGGTGCGCGCGTAGCCGTAGCGTCGCGTGTCCAAGACCCGGGCTCCCCGGGCCCCTCGAAGGGCGGGGAACGGGGCCCGCTAAACGAAAAGGGGCGCGGCGGGGACCCAGCCTGTCGGGGAAACAACTTCAAACATTCCGCTTCGCTCCTTAATTTGTTGGTCCCCCGCCTCGGGGCCAGGCTCAGGTTAAGTAGGTACACCCACGTTTCCACGTCTGCCCGCTCTCGGCGATTCCCGTCGAAAAGGATTTCACGCAGTTGAAGGGTTTCGTGCAACAGGGCGAAGCCTGCAGGATAGGAAAACACTGACGGTGAACCTGCAGATACGCGCTATCGCCACGCTAAGGAATAACGCCGTATGAACCTTCGGACACTGCCTGATTCCCGTTGACAAATCACAAATTTTCGGGGAAATTAGTGAATATTTAATTTAAAGTTGAACTTCAATTGTGAATATTTAACTTCCGATTTATCGGAGAATTTTCTTCGCAATTTAATTCGGAATATCTGAAAATTTCAAGGAAAACTATTCATGAATTTTCTCGAAAGTAAATATTTTTTTGGATGGAATTTGGCAACATTCGAATTTTCATAACTTGGCACGGCAGAGCAGTCTGAGCAGTTCTGTTTTGTGTCACTTTCTCTCTCTGTCCCGGCAAGGAGCACACGTTCGTTACACTCTCCTCGTAGAGTGTCTCTCGTCTCATTCGATCGAGTTCGCCTTCAATAAGCGCGATGACAATATGAGCGGCTTGGGAGTACGAATAGTTGCTCGCAGAGGTTTTGTCACTTTCGCTTTGACCCGGCGCTCGGTGGATCGAGTCAATTAGAGAGGCGGACATGAAATTTTAACTGGAATTGCAAATTTTCATGTTTCATTCGTCAAATTTTAAAGTTTGAAGGGTGCCTCGGTATGAAAATTTCACGAGAAAACTAATGGAACCACTTTTAGAACCTTCAAGTTTGGTATAAATGGAGTTAAAAGCGTTTTAAATTTCCAAATTTTGTCCGACCTCCCCGACTGACACGATCCGTTGGGCGGCGAAGAGCAGGGGTGCAGAATGTTCTTAGCTTTCCCCAATGTTTGACATTTTGCTATAGCTGTGCCTCTAAGGGCAAAAAAAAGAAGTGTTGAGTAGTTCCCTTTCCCAAAAGCAGCGAATTTTAAAGGCATCCATCACAGAAAACAGCTTCCCAGTTTTCTAACCAAAATCGATCAAGAAGCGTCAAAAAAAAAAAAAAAAAAAAAAAAAAAAAATGTATATAAAAAATGATGAAACCTTCCCCAATTCTCGATGTCTACTAAAACAGGCTGGCCAAAAATCAATACTTAGGTATACAGCACTTTTTCAGTGCATTCCCAAGAAATTCGATACCCCTTCAGCAAAAAAATTCAGTACTTTTTCAGTACCTCCAATTGACTCAATTCGAAAAATTTGAATTTCTCGCTCAAATTGCGACAAAAATGACAAAAAAAATTCCAAGGTCTTCTTGCGGAATTTCCGCACTTTTTCAGTACTTCCGGACCGCCCTAGAAAAATCAGTGCTATTTCCGGACTTTCCAGAAATTCCAGCCTTGTAGACACCCTGTAAAGCAGTCTTTTGGATGGAAGAAATTTGGGGGCAAAATTCCTTGGGCATTGTCTCTTGGGCAAAGAAGTATAGGGGGGAAGGGCCGAATACCAGAACATGTGCGATTTTCCGGCAAATTTAAGTTTTCGATGCCATACAGTTTTCAGGAGTTGGTCAGCTTTTAAGTAGGAGTTTCCTGATTCTTTCTTTCACCTACCATTCTTAATTGAAAAGGGCTTACATCCTCTGATGCATTTGGAAGGTTAGTATGTATGGTATTGACTCAGACTATATCCTCCAGTCAAGTGCTGTCATTTTGTGGAAAATGGTAAATAAGAACAGCTATCCCTTCTCTAGGGCGAGGGCTGGACGGGGCACTCAAACCATTTTAAGTTTGGACTTTTCTATAACAAGTAAAGTTGAATTTGATCACTGATCAAATGGGGCGGATCTACGAGGGGTTGAAATCGGCTCTCAATCTCTCAGAAAAGGTTGTGCTTATGTTTTACATCAACTTTACCTAAAATAGTGATGCATCATGCCTAAGTCATACTCGGAAAAATGTAAGTACATAAGTAAAGCCTCGATACCTAAAGTCGGAGTTTGGTGTGACTTTTCAGGAATCACTGTACATCTACGATCTGAGGTAACTTAGAATCGAAGCGGGTACTCGCATCGCCAAAGAACGGACTATCCGCTCGTCCAGATCGTTCAAAATTACATGTTTGGATAGGCGATTCCATTGTCGATAGTCTGCTTTTCCTTAAATTTTGGACAGTTTTTGAAGGTTTTATTGATTCAATCAGCATTTTGGTATTCTGATCTTCAGATTTTCAGAGTTTGGGTATAATTATATAGGTGGGTTTTGGAGAAATTGATGTTTAAAATCCGCTAAAATCTCTCCTTTCCTTCATTTTTGGGCGTGCTTTCGCGCACTTCAACTTCAATTCATGTGACCGATCTGAAAATGGACTATCCATTTTTGGATGGTTGATTGCTCCTCCCCATAAGAGGGGAATGCTAGTACAAGCTTTGATTCTGGGTTACCCTACCGCGTTACAATGAAGTTTAACATCGGATTCAATCTCAATTCACGGTCCATCGAAGAAGCAAATTAAACGGTCCTCAAATAAAATAAATAAGAGCAATCAAATATACAACAATCACTATTGATTGCACGGACTACCGCTGATAAGTCCGGAACTGTCCAACGGCATGAGGTTCCTCATCGATTCTCATGATCAGAATGAAATCGGTAAATTTTACAGATCCAAGCAATATTTGGTACATAAAAACTAGCTGGAAGCTAACACTGGAATGATAAAATCGTAGACAGCCAGCATAAATAAGAGGTCAGAATAGAAAAGTCCTTTCCTTTGACTATCCTTCCCTTGTCGCCTACAGTGTTGACATTTGACTTTCGTACCTAGATGCAGAAATTCTAACCAAAAAACTTCTCAGCTCAAATTCGCCATTTCCCGCAATTTTAAAGGTTGGGGGCTACGAAAAAATGGGAAATAATCGGCGATTTGCTCAATTTTATGAAACAAAACCGTCGAAAGGCAGCTGTTCCCACAGATGGCCAGAAATAAACTTTTCCCTAACAGAAGGAGGGCAGGTTCACAAATCTAAGAACTCGGCATGCAGATGCAAATTCGCTGACCAAGCTGAATTAGCTTCGATTCGGAGCAAAGTTGCGGCAGATTACCTTGCCCAAAGTTAAGATTTAAAGGAAATTAGTGGGACAATACCTTGATTTCAGTGCTGAATGAGAGTGACAACATCCATAATAGTGAACACCAAATTATCCTATCCTGTTCTTGCACACTAGTCCACAACACAACACTAAGTACCGCGACACACTTCTCAGAAAACACTTTCAGCACACGAGCTACTCTCTCGAACAACTATGGACACCGAATCTTCACGGAATAAAATAACACTGCTCCTATCGTCCCACGACGATCGAGAGAAGAAGTCAAGCGGCCGTGGAGGAAAAGGAATCGGGACGCTGTGCCTCCTACTTCTTCATCAAGGAAGCACGCAAAGTTGACTGAGCTTTCGGGTCGGGGACGAACTCGGACTGACTCAACGCTTCGACGGCCAACATCAGGAACATCCACTGAGCATGCCTCAGGATTGGTCATTGATTCCGACGATACGTGAAGACTAGTACGCATTCCGAACGCCTTCCTTCATCCTGGGTCAGTGGCATCCGTTTTTTTTTTAAATTCATTTTTTAAAAGTGCGGAGTGCACTGAGCTTCTGCGAATTTTACCGGATATTTTTAAATCCTCAATGGCAAAGAAACCCCGTTTTGCGAATGGCAAAAATGGGACCATTTCACCAATTTGAAACGATATTTTTGGCGGGCTCTGATGACGAAGCCAGGCGGGGGAAACGGCGTTTGGTGATTGGCTGACCTCAGCTTTGAGCTTCGCCTAGCTGCGTCACACTACGTCACACTTGGCTATGCTCTTGATGGAACAACTTTGGATAAGCTTTTTCTCCCCTTGAAAATACTTTTTTGAAATTATTTAATGACATATCGACGGTGAAACTACCAAACCACGTATCTCGTTTGCGGTGTTTAAAAATCTACGCTCACACTTTATTTTTTTGAAGTGCCTAGACCAAATCAATATCATTCCTTAAAATTTTCACGGAATTTTCTCCGCACAATAAGAGAAAAAATCACAGAAATTTTCAAGACTGGATGTTACTTAAGTAGTTTTTCATTTAAAAAATAAAGTATGACAGGAAGTCTGCAACGTCGCAAACCGAGATACGTGGTTTGGTAGTTATTCACCGTCGATATCTGGGTTCATCACAACATGTTGTACGGCTCATGTGAAAGGGCGTACCTATCCGTCAATTTTCACCATTTTTGAAAAGAATTTCTTTTAGAGAATAAATTTTCAAGAGATTTTGATCGAAACATGAAAGAAAATTTCACCTTCACGTACCAAACCTGCTTTCAAGGTGTGGAGAGGTGAGAAGGGGAGGGAGGAGGAGAGAAAACTTGAAAACTTGAATAATACAGTTGTTGTATTAACAAAAATAATCGATCCTGAAAATCAGGTAACAGCAGTGCTAACTCGATTTGCCAGGGTTCAAAATTTCCAGTCATAAGAACATTATTTATTCCAAAAAAAAATAAGGCAAGTTGATTGCTTCAAATCATCATAAGGTGTTCTTCAAACCCAAAATAAAAATTGAATCGGTCAGTTACCAAAGGGCTCAAGCGCCAAAAATGGTAATAACTGTTTTAATTGACTCCTTTTAAACCTCAGAGCTCTAATACATTAAAGCGATCAATTAATTGGTCTGCAGTTTTAAACAGGATGGTTCATACCGTTTCTATTGTTTTTTCCATATTTTTATACCTGGCACTCAGCCCTTTAGTAAGTGGCCGATTCAATTATGAAAATTTTAACGAGGTGATATTCCTTTTCTTTCTACTTAAAAAAATTGGAAACGATTATGACAAGAAATTCGCTAAACTGCAAAACGATGTGGGTTCTCAAGTTTCTTCATCGATACCTATCTGTGTTGAAATAGCAATGCCATACTTCCCTTTTCCAGTTTCAGATTTCCCATCAATCCAAATAAGTGTACACATTTTGCAAGTCTATTTATCCACAACAATTACTTCCTTTCTGGATTAAAAATTACTTATTTTCCAGCCCACAATTATAATCCCAAGGGTCATACGAGTTATATTCTTTCAGAAATCGACTTTCCACAGGAAAATGCTGGCAGGATTTCATTTAAGTAAATTTTAATCATCAGCAGTAAGTTGTCCCCAATTCAATTCAATTCGTGAACCTTTGATTTTTGTTAAATAAACGATGGTAACCATCCCATAGCTCATACAAGAGAGGGTCTTAAAACAATGATACTATTCACAGAGAAACTGGAGGAATACGTATCTCTTGTTTTGATAACTCCACTTCGCATTTTTTTTTTTATCAAAGGAGAACTAACCAACGATAATGCTTAAGGATACATTTTTACAGAATATTCAGAGAAGAAAATGATCAAAAAATGAAGTTGAGTATTTTGCGACTCTGAGATCTACAACATCGCAAACCAAGGTACGCTCTCCTGCAGCTTCACCATCATTATGCGGCATTGTTTTGACAACATTGCAACAATATCATTTGAAAAATGCAATCATATTGCTAACTGTGAGTAAATAATAACATTGACAATATTATTCAACTCGAAGGTAAATGAAAATGCGGTTCTCTTGGAGGAAAATAATTTTGAACAAAAGGGGAGTAAAATTAATTAGAAAATTATGAAAACAAACTAGATCTTTTAAAGTACATGTATTAAAATAGGCATATAAAACATTTCACGAAGTGTAACAAGTTATCGTCTTTTTCCTTAAAATAAAAATATTCTTAAATTTACACATTTCATGAATCAACAACAAAAAAGAAGAAAAATCCAAGCATAACTACGAACTAACACAATTTTAAATTACTTTCAAATAGTTCTGTTTAAGTGATAAACTCGTCAAGGTGCTTCCATACTTTCATTATAGACCTTAGCTGCAGAAATCAATGTTTGGAAAAATATTAGCTCGTTGAAGATTGGAAAATAATGGTGAGCTGGGATAATGAGTGCAGGGCTGAATTTTATGCCGCCTCAAAATTCCAAAAGTGATAACCTTTGAAGACTTGAAAAGCGACAGAAAAATCATTACTTTTGAAATCTGTTGCTGCTTATCTGTGATTTGCTGCCATGGGCAGTGGCCCACGAGGCTCGCCTCAAACCCAGCTTTGGTCAATTAGTGGTGGTGATAATAGGCACCTAATACAGTGAAATAATACAAAGCTACAAAAAGAAAAACTATGATACATCACACACCATAGGAAAACAAATATGCTGTAAATCACCATTGGTAAACAATTCGACAAATTTTTAGAGAAAATTATTGCAGGACTTACGTAGTACACACGCTAAACAGCAGTGTCAAACATGAATTGCAGTATCCACGCTCGACACTGCTATCTAGCGTGTATACTACACATGGGATGTAATAAATCAAAAAATTCAACTAGAATTCGTTCCTCATACACAATCTTCACTACTTTAAAGTCCTCAGAAAAATGTCTCTATTGAAAAATATACAGACAATTTAAATGAAACAGTTCAAGGTTGCTGATAGACTGTCACTTCAAAGACTTAACTTCCTAGGTTAAAAAATCTACCAAATCTTTTATTTTTTCTTGGAATAGGAGTTTTAAAACTAGGAGATAATACAACTTGAGGAGAATTTAGAACTCCCAAGAGAGAAATTAATTTTACAGATACACGTTTTATAGATCTTTTTGCATCCATCGCTAACAACAGTACTTGTAGATTCATGAAATTAACAATTTCTAGAGGGAAACATGCCACAGTAATAATGCACTGACTATACTGCTGCGTGAATTCAGTTTTTTTTTTTCTATTGATGAAACTTATCAATTTTCATGATGTAACAAATCCACACTAAATTTGGTGAGAAAACTTGGAATTTATACATTATGACTTTCAAATAGTTCGTCAAAAACTGTGCAGCTAGCAGTTTCATAATTTACTTTAAAACCTGAAATATCTCCTTGAGTTTAAAGACAGTTTGATTTACGCATAAAAAAACTAACACTCATCATACACATACATGCCTTCTTGCTCACTTGCACAAAAATTAAATTAAGCACAATAATTACAAAAAGTTTACACATTCAAATGTTACAAAAAAAAGAGAGAGAAAAGAACAAGAAGAACATAGAAGCTATAGAGCCACTTGCAGCAGACAAGCTGTTTACGAGAAATTGATAGACAACCTCTCCTCAGTAAAAAAGGGTAAGATTAACTCCGAAAACAAAAATCAAAACGGACAGTCAGAGGAGGAACGGGGAAGAAAAAAATTGAAATAAATAAAATTAAATACACGACCAGGGTAATGGTAACTTCACAGATTTGAACAGAATTGCAGTACTATGCGAGAAAATCTTTACAGTTCTTACTAGATCAGAAACTTATCTTTTCAAAACGCGGAAATATTCCTAGTGTTTCCTGATCTTAGGTAATTTAAATATTTTCATTTTTCACAGAGCCCCAACCAGCTGGGTTATCTTCTTGCGAACGTTCGTAGAAATAAGTGCTTTAAGCTAGTTAGAGCGACAAAATTGTGATGTTCATAGATAAAGGAGTAATAGATAAAAACATTGTGAATCCTACCGATTATTGCCCAAATTAGCGCAATTCGGACACCTACTCATCTGAATCTAACAAATTTGTTTCTTGAGGAATCATTGAGTTCTACATGTCAGCAAGAATATATTTAAAATTGATGCAATTTGGACAAATTAAACTTTTCAGAAAGCCAGATGATTTCACATTCTGAGGGGAAAATATAACTTGGTGAGCTATTAAGTATTCCATCTAATTTTTTTGGGTATCACACCAATTTCACTAACTTAACAGTCCTCCTGCTTGAGTCATAACTCTAAAAATTTCTACAAACTAAATATCACTGAAAACGATCAATGAAAAAGGTGTGCCTATCCTGAAAATACGACCCTCAGTTCATATTATAAGGCTGAAATTCACTTGGGAGCAGAGAAGTTACCTAACGTACGAAAGTAAGGTCTCTTCCTGTAGATACCGTCACAAAAGTGTCTCAAAAAACCCCAATTGGAACGGGCAACTAGACAAGGTCCACACCTGGGAAACATGTCTCATGCTTTCTTTTCAAAAGCTCACTAAGAAAACTTTTCTTACAATAGGAAGTTTGAAGATCAACTTCTGAATGAAGTAATAACAAGTATTTTTAACACAGGTCAAATTAAAGTTGGATTGACATCATTTGTATTTTTGCCATATACAGGTATTATTCAAGAACATTTATACATTTTGTTCATGTGATTAAAAAACTTCCTGCTGTACAATGGGCCTGTTGCAAACTTTTGCTAGAGCAGAATGAAGAGTTGTTTCCTATAGATAATGCCTTAAAAATCACGATGAGCGCATCGGCAAAGTCTGAAATGCACTCATAACTTCACAATCTGCGTAAGAAATTTGCGTTATTTTGAGCTTCCCGCTTCAAAAACGATACTACTGCACAGGTGAACATTTTGTTAGAGGAGCCGCTCCATCGTCGGCAATATTCATCATGGCCGACGCTTGCGCAGTTCCTCGCGTAATTCGAGGAGAGTTCAAGGTCAATTAAGGCGGGCGAGGAAAATATGAACGTAAACACGCCGATTGTTATATGGTTTAATCCTGTTCAAGTGTTATCTCGTCCCATCACACGTGTTTTGGCGGACTGGCGTCGGCCATGATGAGTATTGTCGCCAATGGAGCGACTCCTCTAACAAAATGTTCACCTGTACCGTAGCATCGTTTTCGAAGCGGGAAGCTCAAAAAACCGCAAATTTCTTACGCAGATTGTGAAGTTATGAGTGCATTTCAGACTTTGCCGATGCGCTCATCGTGATTTTTGAGGCATTATCTGTAGGAAACAACTCTTAGTTTTGCTCTAGCAAAAGTTTGCAACAGGCCCATTCATTTTCCTCATGAAATTTTGGAAAGAAAACATGTTGCGAGATTGTTTAATTCAAACCTTAAAGCAAAATTTCAACAAAAAGTTGATTCACAAACCTAGATCTTAGTTACTGTAAAGTTAGGATGAAACAAGTNTCCTCGCGAACTTTTATACAAGAATCAACAGTCAAATTGCAAATTCCTCGCACATGTAACATCTCCATTGGGCCAAAATGCACCGATATCAATACCTCATATGTTACTTGGTTCCTCGAAAATTCTCCTCTTGGACTTAGCCTAAAAGTGTGGACACTTTTTAGCCTCCGGCGAAACCTAGAGTCTATACGGCTTCGCCGCACGACTAAAAAGTAGGAGTAATGTTCAAATAACCTTGAAATAATACTACAATAGGTAGAGGATTTTATTTCTGATTGATTAGAGATATACTTTTGTTGTTTTGCAAGCTTAGATTTAGAATGACTTCGAACAGCAGAAAAACAATGGAGCGGTTAGATTGGTTATTATTTTAATAAATTATTCATTTGCTACTGAAGGAGGATTTTTTCATGTTTGAGGATTTAGAGTAGAATTAATTTTAATTTGATGGGAGAAGGAAACAATTTGGATATTTTATCCCATGGATTAAGCCAGTCTTGCAAAACCAAGACGGAAAGAGACAAGAGAGCCATAATTTATGAACTTCATTGCCTTAGATTTCAGGAGATTCCATTGGAAAGGCACGGCAAATATGAGGGATAAAGGACTTTGATCACTGATTTTTACACAGCAAAATTAATACTGATGATCCTATTATTGTCAAAAGCAATGTATGAAAAATTTCCTGATTGAAAAGGCATGTTTCGGTTTTAATATTACTGGAATTCTGTACCTTCTTATTCCTTTTTGAGGAAACACTTGAACATATTTCTACTGAGTGTCTTGTGAATGAACAGTACAGTCAATATTGAATGGGCAAAAAAGTAAGATGGGCGCAGGTTTCTTCTGGTATCAAAAAAAAGCCGGGAAAGAAAATAGCGGTGCACTCATTCATGAAATTTTCATGACACTTTTTTGACATTTTTAATTCTCATGCTAAAGGAAGGATTTTTCCTTACTTCATAATTATAATATGATTAAGGAAAAAAATTATTCGGTGAAAGCACAATCAGCAAGAGAGGCATTGATTCTTCTACGAGCGTAGAATAACTAGCGCACCTTTAAATTGTTTAACACATCATTCTCACTATTTTAAGATGGAGAAGAAGAGCTCAAGAATTTAGATATTTTCTACTGTTGAAGTATTAATTAGAGACCACATTCAGACAGATAATTAAGAGAAAAAAACATTAAGCACCTACACTATTGCGTACAGGGATACCTTATCACATAAGATTTCCGCAGAACATAGTTTCAACAGGTAAACTCGACAAGTGGACTTATAAAAATACATTATATGGTACAATATTTACAGAACAAAAACAATGAGTTTAACTGATGGCTTGAAAACCAGTGTGCAAGTAATTCTGATGATCTAATGAAGGAAGATATACTTGATTCACAGAGGCTTAAATAAAACTGAAGTCTGTGACTGACTAAAAATCAATCAATAAAACCGATAAGGTTGGATGCAAAATAAAAAACTGAGTTTAAGAGCAAGATTTTAGATGGCACCCTTGAAATTTAAGTCACTGACTCGGTGAAAAATTGCTTGTCCTAATACTTACAGTAATATTGAATCAAAATACTCTAGACCTCCAATTAAGACTAAGAAAACTTCACAACATGAGAGTCGTCAAAAGCTAATTTGCTCATAGAACACACATAAATGCAAAGAAAAAAAATCTCATGAAAATTAACAGTGTGTCAAATATATTTTATTCCTTCTTCAATCATCAATGCCCCCATTATTATTTTAATTACCTTTTGACAGTAAAATGGATCGCAAGATGGATAAATTTATTGTGCTCTGGGTAAAATTTTACAATCATCATTCTTTACTATAGTACATTGCCTCATTCAAAGAGGAATAAAGGAGTTCTAAAAATAATTCTGATAACTGATGAGACTTTTGACTACTGCTGATCGTCCACATATTTAAAAGAAAAAAAAATAAAAACATGAGTGATAGGAGATACCACTGCATTGAGGAAAATATCTATGGCTGAAGTTCGAAACATTGTACCTCCAGTTATGACATAGCAGACTTCCTGTCGTACTGTAATTTTTCTTCGGAAAACTAGTCAACGTAATTTCTTGGAACCTTCCTCGATTTATCTGCTCTGTTCCCAGAATATATTTTAAATAAATTTCAAGCCATAAAGTTGGCTAGTTTTTCTTTGAAAAATAAAATAGGTTCCAAAATTATGAAACGCTGTAATGAGGATAAATGGTTTTGCACTACGAGATAGTTATGGTCAAGGGTATGTTTTCCGACATCCTACAATGCTAATCATTCTTTTGGAAGTTTTATCCAGGCATCTTCCTCATCAAAAAGATAAAAATAGCAAGTAGAGTCTCATCAGTCATCAGTTACAAGGATCAATATATACTTCCATAAAGCTTCAAAAATTTCAACGTCCGTCCACTGCAATAACAGCATTACACACTAAAGTGAAATCTTGCAGATGTTAAGTAATGAATTCGAACGAAAATTAATTTTCCAGGTTCTGATAAGTTTCACACAAGGAGTCATTCCAATTTCTCAATGTTTACAGACTCCATCCACTACGAATCGAACCTGTGCGCTGTAGAGAATGGAGACACACCACACATACATGGAGACTCTTTAAAACAGAAAATAAATACGATAAATTTGAAATATGACAGCCACGTGCTTCCAGTAAATAATTGTACAGAACATTCTGAGGGAAAAAAGATTAAATATTCCTCAGCTGAATCCAACTATTAAATAGAAAATCAAAGGAACTGTTTTAATTGGGTCCTCCATCTATTATTGAGCTAAGGAAAAATTAATTAAGGAGTCCTCTAGGTAGGTGTGTGACTTTAAGGCAGGTTAGGTTTAGAAAGCTGTGAATCTAAATTCAATCCAAGATCATCTCTTTTGGTTTCTCCTGGAAAAAATTCAGACGGCCAATGCTCCATTCACCTATCCATTCACCGTGTATTTCTTCAGTGCCCATCCTTTCTTGAACTTCATATGACAATGAGAGCTCTTTTGCACTTGTTTTCTTTCTTTTTCCCGCATAAGTTTCACATAGAGAATTTGCATGGAAACAAAGAGAGGGTAACAAAACTGAACTGGAAATGAAGTTAAAAGAACGATAGAAATAAACAGTGACCCTGCAGACTGATTTGTAAAAATTTCAAGCACTTCAATTACACATCGAAATGCAATTTATTGCATCAGGTCTTATCGAGCCAAAATAGTTTCAATAATCGGGCCGCAGGATTTAGAATTGAAAATTGGCTAACCAAATTCGGGATCACCTACGGTTATAAAAAAATCGACAGACAGGGAAGAAAAGTGCACTCTGATTCAGCTCCATAAATTACTTCAGATTCAAAAGATGACGGTAAAACTTTTCTCCAGAGTCGCAGAATTTACTCGACTTGACTTGGTATACATTTAGTGACTATGTTGAGTATTAATTGCTTACCCTATTACACACAGTTTTAAACAATTTCATATTTACTTTGCGTTTCTTTGAGAACAGAGTTGGCAGCCGATATGTTGTTAATGAATTGAGTTGTTTTTTACCAACTTGTTCTACAAACGTCTAGTTTAGGACCTCACAATGAGAAATTTCAAAATGAAATGGCTAAGAGGTGTCTTATCAAGAGCTTGCTCTCACTGTTTATTGAAGAGGTCTGCCTCTCAAAAACTAAATGATCTGAACGTCTATTAAATTCCATTTAAGACGCTGAAAGACATGATAGACTGTAGAAGTCATTACAAAATACATGAATCCTAAACAAGGAGGGCATGAAGTTTTATAAAAACAATATTAAGAGAAATACACAAGTATTATAGGCATTGCTGAATATATTCTAAAATCACTGATTGTTGAGAGATGCCATTCACCAACATCAATGCTTTCAACAAGTAGAAAGAAAGTTCTGGCCGAAGGAAACTGGATTTGATGCGCTCAATCATAATCCATAACCAGTGCAGGTTGAGGTGAGATATAAATCTCGATGCCACTGCTTACTTAAAAACTGGAGAGCAACTCAGCATTGTTCAATCAATGTTTGAGTCAGGTTGTGTAGATCGCAGAAATCGATCTGACCACAGAAGCGTCAGAATATAACCTATCTGGACAGTGTTTTCAAAAATTTCAGATTTTCGGCTGGAACAAATTACAACACAAAGTTACTTCAAAAATCAAATTACTTTAAAGTCTAAATTAAATATCAATATTGAAGAGCCAAAGAACTGTGACTATTTTTACTGAGTCACGCTATCGGGGAAAAACTGATCAGCAGTCCCATTGTTCCCAATTTAATTCATAATACTACTTGAAGTTTCGCAGTCACACCAAAACAAAAGAGATCACCTGAGTCACCTGGTTTGCTGTCAGAAATCACCAATCAAATTCCTACACACATCAGGCCCCTTTGAAGCACAATGACACAGCAGAGGATGCAATTTTCCAAAAATTTGATATTTTTGGGATACTCCTCTACAAAATTGAATAGTAAGCCAACGCCCAAAAATTTGATATTTTTGGAACACTTCTCTACAAAATTGAATAGTAAGCCAACACCCTTTCCTCCTTGAAACTAGGTAAAGCTTATCGAAATCTCTTCCCCTAGAGATACTGTCGCCGTGTGCATTATCTGCCCCTATTATGTGTCTTGCGAAAGCGTTTCGCTACTTGGCTTTATTCATGTCCAGGGTCAACTGAACTTCTGCAAGTAAACGCAAAAAATTCTAGTCTTATTGTCTCAAAGTTCTTCTCTTTCACATGATGGATAAAAATATGTATTCTGAAAACAACGGAAAAATCACTCAAAATCGTTATGAAAGATTCATTGTACCTAATAATTTTCTCAAAATCCCCCATTTCCTATTTCATAAAACAGGGGCACCACCTGGTCGTTGCAGGGCTGATCAAAAAAGTGATGAAGTTTTTTCTTGCTCATCTCCTCACCTTGGAAATGGCAGACGAGGAGTTGTCTCTGACACGACTGAGCAGCGCAGAGCCAGGAAAATGCCCGGTCCACCCCCCTTAAATGGCGCCGCTGAGATAAAACTACACAGAACTCTTCATTCAATAACGTTTTTGCTTCTTAAAATCTTTATATAAAGCGCGGTAAGCATATACCGTGCTTCATGGTCTGGTTGCGAAGATCCACAGCTGATACATGATTCATCACCCATTGCATCCTGGGTTATTTTCAAAGCCTCTCCGTGGCGGGAACGTAATTGTATTTTCTCATCGTGATAATTAAACGTGGAGACCGTCTACAGTGCTGGTAACAATTTTTTAATCAATGCCGTGAACAAAGGAATCTATTATGATCCTTCACGTCCTGCTAAAGCTCTCTAATATTTACATTGCTACCAATTTGCTCAAAGCAGATCGCAGTTTGAAATTTTCTTATCGGTTACACGTGCAAGCTGCGAGGCCATGTAACAGGGTTTCCGATTGGCTGTCATTTCGGCAGGCAGTGAAGGCTGAGATACACCAGCAAGTTACAAAGTGTCCGTCCAGCGACCTAACAATCATTGCTATGACATCACGAGACCCTAATCGTTGGCTTTTCCGTCTTCTTCTCCTTCTTCACGGCAACACAGCATTCCTGCACCCCGTATCACGACTCCTATAGCATTGATTTTCGTAAAACTAGATATCAGCGGGGATTTTGCGACGAGAAACTCGAATTGTCAGTCCAATTTTCAAAATTCGCAAATCCAAGATGGTGGATGTGGCCTAAAATGTTATCTCGGCTCCTATTGCATCGATTTTCGTAAAGCTTGGGACCAGAGGGTATTTTTCAACCAGCAACTCGAATTTAAAATCCAATTTTCGAAATTGTCAAATCCAAGATTGTGGATGAGGCCAAAATTGCTGTGTTAGCTTCTGAAATTGATAAATTCGTTTCTGTTAAACTTGGTCTCGATGTCTCAAGTAGCATATGAGTTGTGCTTAAACCCTCTCATAGAGTCAGATTAACGTTCACTTTATTTGCGGCTGACCGTAAATCAACCAAACGCAGGCTGTGATAACAGAAGTTGCTTTGAACTACAAAAAATATCGATAAGTTTGAATTGATTTTTTAAAATTTTTTGTCTATATCTTGCGTTTTCCTGATAATAGTGTTAAAGACAGGAGAAACTTTAAATTAATGTCAATAAATTTTACTTGCCATCTATTATTTGGAATATCATTTCATTTTATGCGACGAATGTTTATATTTTTATCTTTGCATCTCATATTTACACGGAAATGTTTTTGTTTTCTTTTTGGCACCATATACTTCATAGCTTCCTTCTAATAATAAGTTCAAGTCGTCACTCATTGATTAAACTTCCTTTTCCTCCCATAAATCGTTGGTTAAGTTAGGATTATTCATGATCATGCTGCGCTTATCCAACACCTCGTGTTGGACTTTCCTGCTTGTTTTATCATGTTTTAATTTGTGAATCCTCTCTCAATTTGATTCCAATTCGTAGCGGTGATATAACTGCCCAGAGCATCGTTATGCGTTATCACATCTCCATCTATCAAACCACATCTCTATCCCCTCTCCAATAACTATGGATTGCAGCTGACAGCATTCCCAGTCCTTTGAGATGTTCAGTTTCAAAATTCAAAAATAAATCCCTCGTGAATTCTTGAAGTCAAGGCTCCTCTCTACAATAGGAGCTTCAGCTGTCTAGTTATGGGCAGTGGTGCAGTTAAGAAAAGCGGGCACTTTAATTCGATTCATACTTTGCATTCCCCGGGAATCCTAATATTTTAATCCATTAGATGCTACGTTGAAAACCTTCGCCAACTTTCAGCACTGAACTTCCGTCTTGGGAAGGGAAATTAAAACATGAAATCATCATTCATTGGGCTATCTTCATGATGTTTCTCAACAGGTAGTCGTAGAATGATTGTTGATGTCCTTCATTTTCTGTGCTTCTTTCTCTAACAACATAAACCGAATTTAAACTTTACCTAATTTCTGGTCAAGTTATACTTGGGAACAGGAACAGGGTGTCTACTAGAACCAGAATATCCTTCTCTAAAATCCTTGCTGTTTCAGTTCTTTTTCCGAGATCCTAAAAACATTATCTTTTCAGGGGTTTCCTAATATGCTTGTTTCTTCATCGCTTTTCCGTCGCTTTTTTCCTCACTGACACACATTTTGAACTCTGACGATGAAGGATTTGTAGTTAAAGAAATTCAGATTTGGAAAGAGGCCTGTCCAACAATTCTGAAGCAACAAACTGACTCGTGTTGGGTCGTATTCTAAATTTACCCGAATCCGAATCTGAATCCCAAATTTCAACTTTCGATCCTCAAATCCGAATCCATCGCAAATCCTTCACTTTCAGAAACCCAGTCCTTTATTTTATTCATTTTTTTTTTTTTAATTTTAATGCTGGTTGCGATATCTTAACGCGGCTAGTATTTACACCAATATTTATTGTTCCAGAACATTTTAGAATGAGTCAAAATTTAAGATCAATGAGATCGAGAGACAATATTGATATTCAACACGATTCGAGAACCATAGGGAATCTCCGGGATTCGGCTTCATGGCGCAAATTTTGAAATTTCAGAGGATTTACGGATTCGGGTTCAAGCATTTCGACACCGAATCCCAAATCCATATCCTCGAGAGGATTTGGCCGAATCCCTGTCCTAACACTAGTTCTTTCTTCGAATTTTTCATTAAAATCTTATATTTCCGTGGTTTAATGTGAAAACTATGCAAGTTTTCCCTATGCTTGTACCATCCTTTTCAAACCTAAGCTCTCTCAGTAATGTATAAACAAGGATTTTTCTCATCCTATCATTTTGCATAAAGTGAAAGAACACACCGGTAACACTATCTGATGCTAGTAAAAGCCCTCACCCCCCTTTCCTCTTTCCCCCTCTCAGAGCAATACCTTTAGGATTATTTCAAACTATTAAAGGATTAAGTTTTGTGTAATACTACCTGATGAACCACAAGAAGTCGAGAGTACCCAGGGATTTTTTCAAAATATTTCCAAACCTAAAAGTTATCAGAGTGTCAAAACGGCGAGACGCTTGACTTGAGTCTGTAGATTCACCTTGCATTAATTTAAGAGAAAATTGGGTACTCACAATGATAATTTGTTTGATATGCTTTTCAAATAACTAGCCCAGAAGCAGGCTTATCCGACTGCGAGGAGCTTCCTTGAGGTACAACGGTTGTATCATCACTTACAGTTGCTTCTTCTGTAAATTGAGAGAGAGCATTGATTTCTTGAAAGTTCAAATGGTAACATCCGAAGAGATTAGAAAATATTCATATTCATTCATAGCTACAGGACATGGGACCGCATCTGTCAAGAGGGACCTTATCTTACAGGAGCAAATTTTCCATAACTTTTTGCAAATGACAGGGAAAGAAAATCTGAAAATTTTGGCGCAAGTTTAATGCTGAAAACTCTAAAAATGAAGGAAATATGAGTCCTGTAGCTCCAAGACAAAAGTTCTTAGTTTAAAGAAAAACTTGGTTTAAAATTCTGAGTAAAGTTACGGGAAGTTTCCTCCTGGAGGATAAGGTCTCTTTTCACAGATCTGGTCTTGTGTATATTATAAAGTTTTTGTAGATCAAAATTTGATATTCCAAACATAAAAGCAGAAAAGAATGGACTGACTCGAGTTCAAAAATATCTCCCCTATCAATCCTCAACCAGAAAAACACCAAAAACAAGAACAAGTTACATAGCACCTAACTTTGAGACTTCATTACAGGACAATTTCAATCACCAATGTTTCTATTCATAACCAGGGCAAAATCTTAGGCCATGAGGCAATTTTCATTGATGATTTTGTTTTCCTTTCATTCCAAAGCAACTAAAATGTCATTCCACACCCAAACCTTCAGACCATAAACAATTCTCCTGACCTGAATTTGATGTTGGCTGCTCTGTGCTACTGGATTGATGAGCACGGTTAGCATATGGTGGAACTGTTGCAATGGCCGCTGGAATGGTACCGATTGAGTCCACAGAGTTAATTGAATTGATCATCGGGGCAAAGAATGGGTGTTTGAATGGGGTGGCGGCCTGTTGAGAGCCATGAGAGTTGGATGTAGAAGGCACTTCATTGCAGGTGCTTGTGTTGGAATAAGAGGATGACGTCGGCGAAGACTGCTCCATTGGCCGAAATAATGAGGCGATGAGCGATCGGCGAAACTCCTGGAACAAAACAGTTTGAAATTAGTAAAATGTGAAACAAACGGGACTAAAAAATTTCAGCGGTCTAAAATTTAGGTATCTGAGGAAAAGAATTGCTGCGTTCTTGAAATTAAATCTCGTAATGCTACAACAACCTAGACTTATTCTGAAAAATAACAAGTTGAGGTAGAGCTGAGAACAATTAAGTATTAAAAGGAGCTTTTGGAAAAATGTTGAAAATACATTATATTTCTTTTTGAACATACTATCATTATTAAAAGCTCTTTAACTCCTCATACTTCCACATATCTTGGTTTGCAACAATGCAGACATCTTTTCATGCTTTATTTGTTAAAAAATAATTACTCAATGATAATTCTTTAAAACTTCCGTAATTTTTCTCCTCTATGTGAAGGAAATTCTAGAAAACTTTGAGGGATAATGTTGCTTAGTTCTGTTTCAAAATAATAAAATGGTGAAGAATTTTAAAACACAGCAAACAAGAAACGTGGTTTAAGAGTTTCACAGTTGATAAGTGTATTTTTATTATAATTATTGTAATTTGATTCATATTTATTCACTGTAAATAAAGCAACGCCTCTCCACTGCCTCCAGTACATGGAACGAATGAAGATCTGATCTCATAATAGCCCATAAAGGGTCTTTTATGACGCGACCAATTCATCAGTATGGAAACATGGAATTCACAAAAATACTCACTTGTTCAGTTAAACCAAAGGTTCCACCCTGTGTCTGTGTTGTCCCTGAGCGAATTAGTGGTGAGCGATCATCAGTTTCTGATTCGCTATCTGTATCCGAAAGATATACATTTGTACCCTGCACTTCATCAGCAGAGTAAACTTTTCGTTTACAAGTTGGACAAATTCTTCTGTAGCGAGTCAACCAAAGGTCAATGCATTCACAATGAAAGACTGAAAAAAATTCATATTAAAGACAATTACACAGAGAGGAACTCGAGTTGACTCAAGGTGATATTCTACCGATTACCTGTAGCAAACTTTTACTAGAGCAAAAATAAGACTAGTTACATGTGGAAAGTGTCTCAAAAATCACGATGAGCGCATCGGCAAAGTCTGAAAAGCACTCCTCACTTCATAATTTGCGTAAGGAATTTGCATTTTTTTGAGCTTCCTGCTTCCAAAACAATACTACGGCACAGGTAAACATTTTGTTAGAGGAGTCATTCCATCCAACCCCTGCTCACAAGGATGCTACGCAATATTTAACAAAGCCGACGCCAATCTGCCAATACACATGTGACGGAACGATGATTCTAACCACCTGATAACAATCGATGTGTTTACAATCACATTTTTCTCGCGTTGATAGATATCCGCCTTGATTGACCTCGTACTCTCCTCAACTTACACACAGAAGTGTCGGCCATATTGAGCATAGGGATTGAATGGAATGACTCCTCAAATGAAATGTTCACCTATGCCATAATATCCGTTTTGAAGCAGGAATCTGAAAAAACGCAAATTTCTTACGCAGATTGTGAAGTTAGGCGTGCATTTCAGAGTTTGCCGATGCGCTCAACAGGATTTTTGAGACATTATCTATAAGGTACAACTCTTATTTTTGCTCTCGCAAAAGTTTGCAATAGACCCATTATTCATTGCTTCATTGAAAAAAAAAGGGGAAAAAATCTTGCTTCGTAAAGCAAGACATTCCTTTACTGCCTGGTAGGATGAACTCATCCTCCAGGAGCGCTTCAATTTATTTCTGTGCTATTAGGGAGCTTTTACAGTAATTAGGATCCAGCAATTTTGTGTCCCGAACGAGGCAAAACAGAGTTTCAAATATCTTTTTCTCAAAACTGCATTTTTTAAACAGTCAACTTCAAATTGCCATTATTCCCGTCAGGTCTTACATATTTGGGCGTTTTTTGTCCCACACTGCTTGTAGGGAAATCCTTGATGCTCTAGTATTAATGATTTACTTTGAATTAAGGTATTTTTCCTCAAGGACTGTCTCACGCAGTTCTATTTTTCCTGTAAATATGTAATGAGCTACTTACCATGCGAGCACAAAAGAAGGCGAACCCTCTCTCCTTCAACAAAATCACTGATACAGATGTAGCATGTTTCGTATGGGCTTCCTTTCTTGAATTTCTCAGTGGGTATTTTCTTCAGCGTAGATGATGGTAATCGGCGTCTCTGCGCACGTCGTCTCTCTTTGATAAAATTAACTATCTGTTGGAAAAAAGACAGCAAATTTTAGTATTCCCAGGAAGAACCTGACACAACACTTGTTTTGGCAACCTCTCCTCCAGCATACTCTGCACTAAATCCATAACCACACTAACTGCAATGATGACACATGATGTTGTGCACCATTTTACTTTCAACCTTTATTTTATTCAGAATTCTTCCTACCTACTGTATCAATGCTATGAATTTTCTTGAAGTGCTGATAGATCTCCGCCAAAAATTCATTTCAGTTGTCCCAACAAATTATGTGCTTGCTTTGCAAAGCACAGTATCTCGTTTAATATTGAACATTAAAAAGTCGATATTTGGACAGATTTTATTATTTTGAGCTAATCTACAAAAATCAGGCATTAAAACACGATTTTGTGACCAGCCTAACTGACCCATTGATTAGCATACAATTTTTTTACGAGGAAAATAGCTGAAAGAGATGGGCAAAACATTTAATATTTAATATAGATTGGTATTAAATATGCGGTATTTTCAACTTATATGATTTATTAGGTATGTGATTACATGAGTTCTACTCCAAAAGAAGTCTTGGTTAAGTTGAGAGATATTTTAGCGCGCAGCCTGATTACTTCGTACACATAAGAAAAAAATTTTATCAAATATGGTTAAAGACACTTGCTCATTGTAGCAGAAGAAGTCTCAGAGTAAGTCATGAAAGGTTAAAATAGCAAACTGACAATACTCACAATGTATCCAAGAATAGGACAGAAACAAAATCCAACGATGATTATAAACGGTATAAGTAAATTTGTGTTCCAACCGAAAGGAAAACGGCTGTCGTCAATTATTATTGTGTAGTGGAACAGATACTGATAATCATCCCGAATCCTCAATCCTGCCTCTTCACTGATGAATGTGGAAGGAATTTCAATGCCTGTTGGGTCATCCACAGTCATGGGAACTAGGAGAGAGAAAAAATAGGATTAATTGACAAGACAGACAATACAGTCTTGACGTGTAAGTGCAGTTTGTTCCAGAAAAATTATGAACTGAAAAATCTGACTTAACACTGAAAATAATTTTCAAGTTAACTAAGGGGCTACACCTCCTGACTACTTTAAGTTCCAACCTCCTGGAGCGCAGGCATTAGGCATTACTCCAGGGATGCAGAATCTTCTAAGCTTTCATGTTTTCACACGACCGCTAGTCAGCTTACCACGTTTTTCTCATCAGTTCTTCACAAAATTTCCCACCAACCTAAAAAAGATGACGTTTTTCTTGTTTTCCTTTGATTTTCGACTTTGGACCCCTCAAAATGTACCCTTCTTCCACATTGCTGGGGCTTTTCCACATTTTCTACACCCCTGCGTTACTCTTGTGATTTTATATTATAGAGTAAGATCTACAGGTTGGGTTAGGGTTGTGTTCTAAGGTTTCTGCGAAAAATAAGTTGAAAGGACTTTTACGTTTTTTTACTGCTGCTTGCCCAGTCGTAGTTCTGTGTTCATAACCTCTCTTTCAGATCAGAGGGAAGAATCTGAGGCTTATGCTGAGCTGAAGATCAAATGAACCACCAGCTGATGAATGTGTCCATTTTTACTTTTTTAATAGGTCATAACAACTCCGCCTGGAGGCGAGTTGATTTCTTTAGCTGGTCCCAAGCCCAAGAAAAGGAGGAGGGTTGTGCGTAGGGCTAGCAACTCTACCATGAAAAAACATCCAAACTACGAAAACCAAGACGAAGCCTCGGTAACCAAGATGAATCCTCGGTAACCAGACAACTTACAGATACAGTAACCTAAAGAGAATGGATCACGGAAAAAAACCAAAGATATCATATTAGCAAAGTGATAGGATGGAAGGAAAAGATCATGGACAGAGTAGGATGGAGACGCGTCGTCTTGGAGGCCAAAGCCCACCCTGGGCTGTGGCGCCATTAGTAAGTAAGTAACCAAGTAGCATATCATAACAATCAAATATCCAAAAGAAAATGGCACTCTTTCTTAAATACAAAAATATTCTAAATTGACGTAAGAGCGAGACAGGTAAAATAATTTCTCCGTCTCAGATACTAAGGTGTTTAAGTGCCACAAGTCTTAAAAATTGTATGTACTGAAATTAATCTTACTTACCAACGCGACTAGAATTTACATTATGTACTATGGCGAGGTCGTAATTGGCATCCTGCGCCCAACGGATCTTTTGCTCAAAGGTGCAACCTTCCGCACTGATTAACACAAACCATTTTCCTGTGTAGTTGTCCCAATATTGTGGAGGTCCCATTATTTTTTGGCATGCATTTGGTGGATTGGCATAAACAACAAAACCCTGATAAAAAAGAAAACAACTCCATCATTCCCAGGAAACATATGCCATTACTGTATATTTTTAAAAGCATTAAATAAGTGACAAACAATGGACATATTGTACAGGCTGATTTTTTTCTAAAACCATCACTATAATTCAAAGTATGAAAATATTATGTACATCAAAATTTCGCCAACAATTTTGGAGAGTAGTATTAAGTATTCAGAAATTCAGTTGATAAAGACTTATCCTTCAAAACTGCAGACTTAGGGTCTTTCTTCAGAGAAGCAAGCAAGCTTCTGCTTAAAGAGATATTTCATATTGTTGATGAATTTTTTGGAAACAACTGTATAAACCAACATTAATAATGATTTGAACCATAAATCCATCCATTAATAATTAAAATCCTACTGCATTGATTGTAAACTTAATGCTTTTCTTCACTAATGCCATAGTTGCTGTAACATAAGAACTATTGTGCAATTTTGTAAAAATAAATGGTACCTAAATGATCAAACTTAGGTAAAAAATTCAAAACTTAAAGGACTTCATGCAGGCAAATACTAGGTTTTCTTTACTTTTTTTTCACGCCAAATTTTAGTTTCGTACATATAGCGGGATTTTAGATTGTAAAGTCGGTTCTTTTTTTACTGAATTTTCGCAAAAGAATAAATAAAAAGTAAAAGGAAAAAACTGATTGAAAATTTTACTTTCATCTTATCAAAAATTGTCATCATCAAAATTGATCCATTGATGAATGTAGAACGTTACATTTTACCTTTCATTAAACTTCACAGGTACGTTTACTATTCAACTCTCTGTGGCATAAATTAATTTTGGGTTTCTGATTCTGGGGGAAAAAATATATGCTATAGCTTTTGAAAAAACAAATAGTCCCAAATATTTCCCTTACAAGGTCAAAATTTTGACAATCATTTCTTCAACAAGAAAACATTGATAAAAATTTGTAAATTCATGCCACCAATGAATAGTTCAATTTCCAAAAAAAACAAAAGAAGCGTAGTTATGAATAAGTAACACTGTGCCATAGAGGGTTGAGAATCATTTAATATTCATGATTGCTGCCAAAGTTCTCTTAAGTAAACATCTGGCAACGCAAAACATACTTTCCAACAGCTGTGTAAAAATTGTATTTCTAGTTTTAAAGGACTCATAAGAAAACATGACAAAAGATGTGTTGTAGTGTTTTGATTTTTAATGATTCTTACACTTTATTGAGGCAATTAGACCAATATACCAAACATATGAAATGGATTACATTTTGCAATAAGGAACCACTATTTCTGGCTCATTTTAGAAACAACATATATGCCATTGATTTCCCTATGCAGATACGTGCTTTTATGGAAGAGCTAGAGATAGTGGTTCCTTATTGCAAAATGTAATCCAAATATCAGAGACCCAAAAATAAACCAACTAACCTCAATGCCATCAAAGAAGGGTATTGACCCACCAAACCTCGATGGGGCATCGCGAAAGTCTACATCCTCATAAGAACGATTTAGTGTTGAGTAAACTAATACATCCGCTATTGCCGAACCTATTATGGAGATCAAATACAATATGGTGATATGTACAGGTATAGGGGCACTTTGCCGCCATTGATCAGGGTACATGATGCACCTGAAATAAGAGACAGAAATTGTGCTGAAACTTTAGCATGACTTAAATATTTAAAAGAAAACAAACATAATTTAATTATGAACACAGACATACCATAGGAGTTAGGCTAAATCTTTCGCAAAATGAACCCCTTGTAAGAATTTAAGTATTCTGATAGAGGTTTAATCTTAAACATTTCACATGGAGCATGATTACACAAAAATTGCTGAAATAAACTTCCAATCAAAATATTATCATTTTTATTTTGTCAATCATTAAAGAATTACAACCAGAGGTTTTTATTTAGCATTGGTTATGAAAAATTTACCCTGCTCACATGAAAAACCTGACTACTTATATCCAATAACGCACTAAATTGGCTTGGTGGGTCTTTCAATGAGCAAGTGCCGATATTGAGGTAGTCACATTTTCGTGATGCAGCCTGTCAAAGTAAATTTTAGTAAGCGAATTGACTCATGTAAATTATACTTGTTTCCATGGATGGGAAGTTTAAATTTATACAAAAAAAAAAAAGCCGCCAATATTTTTGTTGGAAGTTACTTACTTTCAGTAATTTTCATTGTATAAATAGTGTTTCACTTGAAATTTTGATGAGAAAACATAAATCAAAATGTTTAAATTTGCACCATGTCTGTGCTCCATAGTGAGAGTTTAGTAATCCACTGCTATTCCTATTGATGGATTATTACGATGAAATATATCTATCATAATCAGTTCACAATGCAACACGTTTAAAATTATTAGACGTTCACAGTAAAAGTGGTGAGTTTCGGAGCATTGCGAGCTGCATCAAAAATTATCCAGGCAATTTTAGGAAATTTAGATGCCTTAAAAAATTGGCATCTTCCACCTACACAAAAACTTAATCAAACCAATGAGGAAATCACACAGAAATATTAAAATGCAAAAATCCATTATTCGGAGGGAGAATTTGGCTCAATATTAGAGAGGGGGCTATTGAGCTACATTTAAACTTTATCAGCTGTAAACATTGTTATCACAAAATGAGCGCGCATTGGCAACCTGAGCTTCGATGAGTACACGAGAACAACAGTGTTGCAGCTCTAACCAATAATGTTCTGTTTTTGTTCACAAAAAACTGTTCAGCTTTCGGCATTCCATTTCACTTCATATAGTTTAATTCTTTAGATGCATGCACTTGATGATAAATATAATCCAATTGGATTAGAGCCCTCAGTCTCACGCACTCCTTAAAAATGTCATAGTTTACTTTCTTTTAAAAAAATTGACACAGTGGAATCAGTCTTACCAGGCACATGGAAATTCCCATATTGCACAAGAATCAATGAATTCGTGTGGACCAAATATAAGGGCAAGACTACAAAGAGATCAAAATTCTGTCATGCTTGGCCTGTATCTATTAATGATACTCACAAACCACACATATAGATTCCTGTGCCTACTTGGCAACACTGTGAGATTAGACAATAACAAGACTATAGTAAAAATACACATGTTGGGTTCCATATAATATCGCGCAATGAATCTTTTATTGCACATTGAGGCTGCAATGAGTATGTTCATCAGCTGAAAAAAAGCATTTTTTCAAAGAACCTCTCAAGCTGGGCACCATGACTTAGTCTCATGCACTTCTGGAAGATGTCATAGTAGGAATATTTTCTTTTAAAAAAATTGCCTTTGAGGAATCAATGTTACCAAGCACGTGGGATTTCCGATGTAACACAGGAATCAATGAATTTGTGAGATAATAATTTTGAAGACACGGCTTATCAACTGACATCGTCTTGTTCAACTCATGGTTCTCACACCTCACTCAGCCCAGCTCCAAGTGCTCAGTTGTTGCTTCTTGAAGACTTTATACTTGAATGTTTTTTCTACACTGCCAGTTTGAATACAGATAAACAATGTCAAATGTAAGGCAGGGATGCAGAGAGTTTTTGGCCTTACCATTTTTCAAACTGACCTTCCCATTTGAAACCCTCTTTTTCCTTCGAAATTTCGAAAAGATGACCTTTTCATGGCTCTGAACATATAAGTTACAGGGCTTTGGCAAAAATCATGTGTGTACTGCAGTTTGGCTACAAAAAAACGACTTTTGCTTTCTTTTCCAAATTTAATACCCCTTAACAGAACCTTCTAATTTTAGCATGCAATCGATTGCGACCTGCCCAGTCCCAGGGTTCAAATGTTTATGCACCCGTGAGGTAAGGCAGAGAAAGAAGAGCTGTATATTTCAATGATTCAATATTAGAGTTACAACAAATAATTGGAAGATGAAATCATAGTTGGATGACTAACCTGCTGAAAAAGTGCCTGCAGAGAAGAGATGGAGAGATGATAATTACTTTTGTAGTTTTATTACTATTACATGCTGATTGTTCTCTAGCTAACACTATTCCTGTAATCTTTTGCTATAAACCTGGTGATGAGCGGTAAATTTGATATGGATGACTTCAGCATGGGGGAATTCAACATAATTAGCAGCCTAAAAATCCCTCCTGCAACATAGCAAAAAGTTATTTAGAATCGGTAACAGAAATAAACTAGCTAGTTCAACAAAACAACTACCCTAATTTTTTCATTCATGAGTGGTGTTCATTCAGAACAAGATGTTTCCAAAATATCATCAGTTTGAAATATTGCTTAAGCTAAAATTTTAATAGCAAACACATAGATAGGTGATTATTCAACCTCAACCATGCCCGACTTCAATATTGAAGGACTAACAAATCTAAAATCCACTTTCAGGCTTAGAGAGGGCTCATGAATCTTCAGGTGCTTTGTCGAAGTAAACTTTCCGTTTGCGTTGGGCTGCTCAACGTTAACGGATATAACGTGACCGTTGACTTACCCGTTGGAAAACGCATTGTCGGTCGTCTCTGTTGACTAAAAACTGTTTTGTTTTGAGTGTGACACCGAGTGCTCAATTACATTTAGAGGTTAGCTCAACGCTCTCAACTACCTCCTGAGACCGATGACTTGTTGACTTCCGTTTGGTAAACAGTCCAGGACATCGGGCAATCCAAGTGGAGTCGAACAACGCTGAGCGTTTGGAATTGGGTAATTCCGTTGCCCAGCGGTCCCAAACAGTTCACTTCGACAATGTAGCTTTTGTTACAAATTAAACAATACCTCACAAGTAGGGCAAAGGCGTAGTCTGTTGCATCAAACACAGAAGTCTCTTCAGAGCTTTATTTACCAATCTCAGAAGAGATCTAAAAAATTTTAATTTTTCAAAGAAGTTCGTCAGATACTTAGCACCTTTTCCAAAAAATTAATTTTTAGTAAGGGACACTACTCAACAAGATTGAGTTAGATACATTGAAAATACTGGTTGAATATACTAAGAAAGGAAAGATAATGAGTAAAACAGTTTCAATCAATGATGAGGGATGATAATAGAGATATAGTCCTCGATAGGTAATGAGGGAGCTGCACCTTAGCTGTGGATATTGCTGGGCACAAGTCATAGTGCGATGTAAGCACAAAATGCACCTCATACAGAGGTAATGTGTCCGGCGCGGGTCTAGTTCGGTACTCCGGCTGCATCGAAAGTCAATGGAAGGTGCTCCCTAGTAGTTCCGTACTCGGACTGCATGGAAAGTCTATGAAAGCTATCCCGTAGGAGTTCGTTCCTTGATGAGTTTCGTAGACATGTTTGTTTTCTCTATGGTGTGTGTACAGTTTGTGACAGTAATGCAGTTCAAGTACCAAACTGCTAGGGAGTACCTTTCATGGACTTTCCATGCAGCCTGAGTACCAAACTTTTTCCTTCGGCACCTTGTCGGCTAAAGTCTTCATCAAATTATACTGGGCTTACTACCAAGCCAGCCAAACTTCTCATGTGTTGCATGTCAGATGCCGTATCTCAAGGTACACAAATGAATTACACGTGATAAAATAGTAAAAAATACCCATCTAACGCAGAGTGTTCAATTGAAAACAAGAATTTATATAGGACTAAGTTAGGTGGATTTATCTGAAACTGAAAATCTGTAATGCCCGGATGTTTCAAGCGAACCCTTATGGGCTGAAGGAACGCTTGGCAAATATGGATTTTTATAAGAATCAGTTTTGGTCTATGATACATAAAAATGACAATTTGGACACAGAAAGATCAAACCATTTAAGAGATTCACTATTTGTCAGTGACAAAAGCATACCACACACTAAAGGATGACAAAATTGAAAATGGTATGTTAGATATTTAGTAGTATTGAAGCAAGTCCAACTTCTGATTGTTAGGGATTGTATCTAAAATAAATAGAGTGGAGGAGAACAAAAATAGGGGAAGACGCTAAATGGAGGACTCTGTGAAGAGGCCAGCCGCTTAGATAGGTGATTGCGAGGACCTTGAAGTATGAAATTACCTGGTCTTTTACTTAGGACTATCTCAGGATCAGAGGTAATTCATTGGGGTGCCTTGAGAGTGAAAATAAGGAATGTCTGAGGCCATCATCGTGGGGCAAAATAAAACATAATCAGGAAAAGAAAAGAGCCATTCTCATTCTCAATGTGAAGGAAGCTGTCTTGGTTACATTCAACATGCTGCCCTTAATATTATCAGAAGGACACTTCAGTGATGGAAAGGAAGAAGTGCTTAATAGAAACGAAAGGGGCAGAATTGCGCGTAATTCAGACGGAAAAGGTGATTTAGGTAGTGATAAGAATAGAAAAACAGAACAAAAAGTTCTAACTTAACCTTAAACTGAACAAATTATTGAAAGTGGAGGAACCAATATTAGTATCAAAGAGGGGTCTTTAGGGAGATAAGGATAATTTTTTGCACACTTACTTTTTCAAACTTCCAAAGCACCTGCACAAACTTTGAACTTCAAATCAGAGAGAAAAATATGATTAATTACGTTCTATCTGCGACTCTCGACAAAGTACATTGCTCACCATCACAATCACAACATTCACAACATGCACGAGACATCATGTTATTGCCATCCTTCTCTTTTTCCGTAGGCTTTGCATTTGCCCTCTCACTCACACACAGACGCAGAGTTGCCGCCTGTTCAAGTTTCAAATTGGAACTCAAAATCCATAGGAAAAAAATGCCTTTCGACAACTTTTGCACAGGATTGAAACGATGGTTTTTGGATTTCAAAACTTTTGATTTCTGAAACGATAATATTAGCTGCAGAGGTGATGTTTTGATCCATTATTTAAAAAAGGGAAAAGTTTCCTAAAATTTGCAGCACAGCAATATTTATAACTTGGCAACACTGTAGCTATAACGGCGCCACTTTTCAAATGTTACCTTGAACTGAGGACTCAGAGGTGGACGGACGACATGAGCAAATTAAGAGTGGAGAGCTACCAATCTTGGAGCGCGGACGAATTATGTACATACAACGAATAACGCACTCGGCCTCCTGATAGACGCTTAATTCAACTGTCAAACAAAAAGGTGTGTGATGGAACAGTTGAGGACAAGTTCTAATGGAAACGCTTGATTTCTGAAACATTGGTCTTCGCATCAGCTCTTCTAAGTATATGCAGTGCACCTACTGGTGTCTTACATTGCACTCTCATATTTGAGCCAATAAGAATTTTAAAGATTACAGAGTAGGCAATATCCTTCAAAGAGGCCATAAAAGAATGACTCTAATACTTACATGAGTTATTACTAATTCTTTAACTTGAAGGCCATGATTGTAGGGAGCCCTAATAGAAAAACCTCCAAGAGAGTAAGTAACTTTAAATAAAATTGAAAATGAAATGACGCGATTAAAGATGTCTAAAAAATTATTTAACGTTATACCAATTTCTAAAGTGCGAAACAACGTATCTCCCTCGGCCGACATTGTGGACATCTAGTCATACTTCATTTTTTCTTTGGAAAACTAGTCAACATCATTTTCTGATAATCTCCTTGATGTTTCTTCTCTGTTGAGGAATACATATTGTGTATAAATTTCAAGCTATGAAGTGGACTTGACCCTCTTCGAAAAAATGAACTAGGGACAGAGATTTGGAAACTCTACGATGGTCGATAGTGACGCACTTCAGCCATCGATATAACGCTAACTTAAAATTAATTGTTATGTAAAAATTCTTTAAAGAATGCGTACCAAAGCCTAAAACTCCGTGATGCTATGTACACTATAGTTTATTCCATTTATATGCAGTACTTCATTCTTGCATAAAGTTTTAGTAATACTAGAAAATTTTCAGTGAATTTATTTACGTATTACTTAAAGGATTCATTAACTTTTCGAGCATGAGTATTATGAACTGATACCAAAAATCTGGTGAACAGCAGTTGCTTTTTAAGTAAGGTAATTATGAATTAATTTCGACTAATATCAATCTTTAGTTATCGTTACTATTAATTAAATCAATTTTCTTCCTACGCCAAAAAAAAAATGCTTTAAAAGTTTTCTTCCTCACACTCTCTCACTCACTTAGGCATTATGTGCTGTATACACTCTCATCCAAATTTCATGAGCAGCACAATTTTTGTGATGAAAATTATAGAAAGTAACCCCTAACCAAGATATAAACGATTTTCATGGATAAAAAACATACTACTCATAAAAAATAAATTGTCATCTACTCCAGTTAAATCTTACGGTAACATTCTCTGCGGTGGTTTGAAAATATGGCAGCCTTAATCTCAGCTTTTCATCTCAGCTGTTGCACTTTGTTCACACTTTGAACATAACAGGGTGGGTGAGGAACACCATTCCATTAGGAAGCCTACTAAAACCATTATGTCGTGCAATTTAATTCATAAAGACTGATTCTTATTTTTCTAGTGAGCCGGAAATTTAAACTTTTTGTGACAAGTGCTAAATAAAAACGTTCATATCTTGATTAGCAGTTAATGTCAGTAATTATGGATGCGCGAATTGTGAATAAGGTGGAATATTGAAGAAAACTTAATTAAAAGCTTAATTTTGTACTTTTTCTATTGGTCCTTTGGGTTTTAAATACCCCATCTACGGCTACAAATCTCAAATTTTGAGAAACAATGAGTAACTCGAGTTAAAAGTCACATCCTTGCATTCTGCATTGCTCTAAAATTTCATGATCTTTGCTGATGTCATAAAGACAATATAGATCTGGGAGAAAGTTCACAAAAGGAGCTCATGAGTAAAAAAAGCAAAATTTACTACAGAACTAAAATTGATATCACAGCATTTTGAAAGTGTAAAATTATCTTAAAATATAAAAAATGATTTAGTAACGTTGATCACTTCATTTGAGGAGAGCTTTTTCTACCCTGATTCGATTTTTCTGATTGACAGATATACTTTCCCTCACCACCGCTAGTCTACAATCTTCGCCAAGCTGTGCTCTGAAATCAAATTTCATAAACGAAATTTCGAAGTTAGAATTGAACTAAAAATTTACAATACACTTATGTATCATAAACCATATTTTAGTGAACAAAAATTGAGGACATTGCACCAAGAACAACCTATAACTGGAAACCGCGTTTTGAGAAAAACGCATTTAAAGTTTTGTTTTTGATGTACTGCGCAGACTTTTCTATGCAGGTACCCTGTTTTGGTGTTTTTGGGTGACCTAACCCTTCTACTGAAGGATGCCGGGTAGATTTTGCGATACATTTTGGATTTACACTCTAATATAGTTAATTTAAAAAAGCGGTTTATAGGTCGTTATTACGTCCAACAGTCATTTTGGTGGCAATATGCAGTATAAATCATTTTAATCACGCATGATTAACGCAAAATAAAAGAATATCGATGGTGAGTATAGAGAGGGGTAACTACCACATTATAGGCCCTTAAATTTATAGGCCCGTAATACGCCCAACAGTCATTTTGGTGGCAAAATGCGAAGTATACATTTTTGGAGGAAAGGATAGTTTGAGAGGAGAATAAATTATTTCAATAGCTCGTTTTTCTGAAATAAAAACAAATCTTTATAAAATGAGATCAAAAAATCGAGCCATCACTATCGCCGCGCCGTGCCGATGCCCGCTAACCGAGAATGATAAGGCCGCGCGTATAGGTCGTTCTTGCACTCATCGATCCAGTGGCCTGACATAACTCGGAAAAAAAAGGTTTTTCGACCTCGAGACGTTACCTATCTATATTCTATCGCTACCACAGCATAGTCCAGGGTACGTAGAATCCGAAAAGCAGATTGGCGTAATAACGACCTATACGCCTATAGGTTGTTCTTGGTGCGGTGTCCTCAATTGTTCGTATAGATGCTAATAATACATTCTAGGTTTTTCAAGCTGAGATTTCAAACTAAACAAAGGCTAAGAGGATTTATAATAACGATTTCATATGATGTTTTAAGAGAACAAACATATATGTATATAAATTGAAGAGTTTGTATTGACTGGATGGCTCCTGCACTGTGCATGGGTACTACAGTCATTTCTTTATTATATATATAGGCAGACCCTTTTATCAGGCATTCTAAAAGACTATTAATATTTACTTAGGTATGAATACTTTAGTGCTGAGCTTATAAATCAGCATTTAAATATTACTATCACATCTGGAAAGATTTAATTTGAATCAGCATGTCTGTATTTCATGTTGCCAAATATTCCCTCACATTGAATTTTTTACCAAAAAGCAAGCGGCAAAATATCGATAAATTTTTTGTGAATTTTCTTTGGATTAAAATTACATAGAAATAGAATTATGAGAAGCACATTACTAAACAATGCTTAATGTAGTATAAATAATTTTGTCACCATGCAAAACTCACTTTGCTTCAACTGCAACCGCGTCAATTTCTTCCGGATTGTGAATAACACCAGCACCCACTTGGAAGCGCTCTACCCCATTCCAGGCAATCATAACACCATTATCGGTGCATAAATGGGGTGGTGGAACTACGAGTCGATATTCCATTTCGTCACAAAGCATGCCAACACATTTTTTCACCGCCCCATTACAGGCAACACCACCAGACAAAACCTAGAAAAAATTCTACTTTAGAACTTTAGTTCTGAAATGGTTTGAGTTACAAAAAGTAAGAGTCCCATCAGAAACAAAAACAAACAAAATATTTTTTGCAAAAATGTGCGTAAAATGTGTAAAGTTGTGCAGTTAAATTAAAAATATGAAGGACAACTTGTCCCAAAAAAGAGAAATGATATCATTTAAGTTACAGTTTGCTTTGTCAGAAAATGCTGTTCAATGAGAATTCTGTAAACATTTTTGTTCATTTGAGGTACCAAAAATCCAGAATTATAGAGGAATAAAACCATGTGAAATTGTCAAATCAGTCGAGGAGAATATATTTTGGGAATAAAATAATTACCAGAGTCTTTCCACTGGGTAAAATATTGTGTCTATTAGCATACTCCATTGCTCTTTGGAGTCGAGAACATAAATGTTTGCAGATTGCTGCTTGGAGACTAGCGCATAGATCATCAATTTCTGGAATTGTTTCATCTACATCAAGATCTAGTAAAAAGACAAAACAAATAAGGTTTAAGTATATTTGAATAGCATTGAGAAAATCAGTCATATCTATATTGGGCTTTTTCAAAAAGAGCCTATCTGTTCAGAGGAAAAATTTGAGGAGCCATTGCTTTCAGCCTGGTAGAAGCAGGGAATGTGATAATTCCATCCAAGAAACCCTGCAAAACAAACCATTAAAACAGGAATAGCCTGTTCGGTGGCCTTGAGTACAAACATGATCTTACTCATGAATGGATAGGATGATCCTACTCCTAAACTGAGTTCACGCAAGAATGGCATCCGAACAAATGGTTCATATTCACATAACGATTAAGAACACCAAAAAGGCAATGGAGTTGCATAGAACCTTGGGTGGTTTTAGCGAGAACTACACATTTTCCTAGCTTCTCTTGTTCATCGCACTCTTTCAAATTAATATGCTTCCCCATCTAGCATATTTTACCAGTTCTACACTATCACACATAAATCTTTCTTCAAACCTCTCAAAGTAAATTTGACTGGTTTACTTAACGCTATCCAGTTATTTAAAAAAAAATATCAATATAAATCAATATCAAAAATATCAATCATAATATCAAGGAGAAAAATAATGCTTTGCGATAAAGAGTAGAACAAAAATTGAGAGACATTACAGGTAATCACATGTAAAATATTGTGGGACAAAACATCGCTATGATGAAATATCATGATGAGAAAATACACTCTGCAGCTGATCCCTTTGGATCGGTTTCTGTGGATAAAGCTTCCATGAGTGATGTTCACTGGACAGTCAGCACACAATAAATACTGAGGGTTGGAGAATTTGTGAACAAGCGTTAAAATTCGGTATAAAACTAAAATTCTAGGTATAGAGGGAAAAAGCTTGTTAAAGCGCAGGTTTCTGTTTTAGTATTTCTTCTTCTTTGACACAACGCTTGGTGTTAGTGGTAGCATAATACAAAATAGCTGACGTCCTTGGTGTGATTGATGCACCCATCAACAGGACCACCACACCAAGATGAGGAATCATAACACGCTTACAATGCTGCCATGCCCGGCAAAATTGTTCAACCTACACAAGCATAGGTGGTACACAGCATTACCATACCACTTGCAAAAACATGGTCATAGATCAGAATCACGAATCTCATACCTAAAACGTATCATTAAAACATGCTGCAAGGTAAAGAATGCTCCAGTTCATGGTTGCTGAGTACTGTAGGACCAATTATTTCATTCAACTACCTGGAGGTTGAAAATTTACAAGTTTTGGATTCAATAACAATGATCTTACAAAACAATACAATTTTAAGCCTCAAAATTACACTAAGTTGCTCTTCTCAATTCTGGAGACAGTTTAAAACCAAATGCATTGTTTGAAAATCATATTATGATATAGTGGTAAAAAAATTATTACCATGTTTTATTTCACTGTCCGATATGTATCTTTGACATGATGTTCTAAGTCCGCCCCAGCTGAAGTTACAGCTTTGGTCACCTGGTATAGGCATGGAGAACTCAAATTTAGTTGGATCACCTTTCTCAGCTAGCAACTCAATAGCTCTGCCACCGCTTAAATTCCGCAGTTCAGGCCGGTTTCTAAGTTGCATTCTGCGAGCAAGCTGCAGATCACAAGATTGCAAGCATACAAGATTTTCACTGACAAGGATACCAATATTAGGCGTTGTTCACAAGAGCGCGGTTCGCAGAAATTAAGGCAAACTCGTTCCAGAAACTGATTATAACTTAGCTATAACTTGTTCCGTGAAACCTCAATTCGTGGAACTAATTGACCCGGACTGCGCTTGTGTGGACAAGATCTTAGATTTAGATACTGATAGAAGATGGTTTCATTGTTATGACACGTACAGGCTAATTTTCCTCATTCTCTCCTTTAGCGGCTTGAATAAAGTTGACGTAGTCAGAATTAGAGTTACAGAAGTATAAAGGTATAAAATGATTGGCAAAAACCAGGGATGCAGAAGGTTCTTAACCTTCCAATTTTAAACACCCATTTTTCCTTAGAACTTTCAAAGTGTAATCTTTTTATATCTATTTAAAGGAAAACTGCTGCAATTTTGCCAAGAACAGGTGATTTCTACGAAGATTTCGCAAAAAAACTCGGATTTTGCTAGCTTTTGCATTTGTAAAGCCCACTTTCAGGGCCTTTTAATTTTTGCATGCAACTGATCATGACCCACCCGTTCCCACGGTAAAAAAGGTTTTGCAACCCTATGCAAAACCATGGACATGAGCCAACAATGGTATGGCTGTGCATAAGATTTTCCAAGTACCAAAGATTTTCTTCATGGTATTATCAAAATTTCAGAGGAATATTTTCAACTTTTTCTGGACTTTTTCCTGAATATTGGACTAATTTTACATAGTCAGTCCTGACAATCATTAATATTAAGCTATCTTTGAAAATACTTGGGAGAGCTTGTTAGGCACTTGCTAAATGTAGATAAAAAGTAATCTACCTGAACTTCGCCAGGACTTGTTGGTCTTCAAAATAAACACATGCAAAAACTGTGACTTTCTAAAAATATTGGCAGAAAATTATTCCTTGTTAGATTTATTTTGCCAAAACTTGCAGACAAGCACTAACTGTGCTATTCATTTGCAAAATTTCCAATATTATTCAAAGTATTTCAACATCTCCTGGACAGAAGAGCATACCTAGCCTGCTCTGTTTCAGTATTTTTACAAATATTAAATCTTTTATCCAAGAACCATTGCGTGAATAAGACTTCTTAGTGAGGAAAAATCAGTAGAAATTACAGAAAAATTCATGAGACTGTTCTCCTTTAGACAAATGAAATTTAAGTGAGAGGTACTAAAACAATCAACCAAGATACATTCTTCCCCATCAGAGACGACAATTTGAAGCAAAGAGGACTTTTTCTCAACTTTCAGAACCATCATAAAAAATTGGCCTTCCTTTTTCTGAACTTTCAGATTTTACAGAGCTGAGGACACCCGGATTTGACTATTAAAACTCATTATAAGCAAAACAAGATAATTTTAAGCTTCTTTCAGTCAACAGCTTCAAGTTACCAGAGAAATTTACCCTACGACAAGACTCTGTCAGCTCTTCCAACTACGTTTTTAGATCAATAGACAATGATCCAAGAACGATAATATACGAATGAATTTCCTTTTTTGTACCACGTTTTGTTACTTACAAATAAATTCAGGCTATCAAATATTTTAGCAACGTTTAATCCTTCATTTTTACCTTGTCTATGGATTCTCCAGGAGCTGAATCCATAGCAGTGCCAAGAAGGGAATATTTGTCTACTGAATGGGCAACAGCAATCAAAGAGTGACATCCCGAAATCAATGCAACCAGAAACGGCAATTCTACATCCTAAAAAAAGAGCAATAATCTAAGACCACACACAGTCTTTAAAAACTTATAAAAATTGAATTTTGAGAAAGGCTTTTAAAATGTTCTGGAAAAAGCGTGCATTAGATATGGATAAATCTTCTTCATCAGTTTTAGGACAATGTCAGAGCAACATCACCATTTTACTAGGATGTCCCTGAAAATTTTTTTATTTTGTCTTCTACCTAAATTCCTATTTGTGCTGCAGAGGTGCAGACTGCAGAAAGTGTTCCACCCTCTAATCGCAGGAAATATGTAAAAGCACCCAAAACGGGCAAGGAACATAAAGGGAGAGGGCATTCATAATTTTTTTTTTTCAAAATTTAATTTAATTTTTCTACATGAATCCACTACTTTCAATGAAAGGAACCATTAAACATTTTTTCAGAAGGGAACTACTGGGCCCATTACACTTTGAGAGGAGAAATCTGTAACGCACTTTTCATGCAAAGAAAATAGTAGAGGGTCCTTTATTAAACAGGTGAAGAAAATAAAGAAAGAACCTTTTTAAACAAAGAAAATAGTTTAGCGCAGTCTTAGGACGACAGCAATGTGAAGGCTGCTTCAAAATTGAGAAAGAAAAGAACTTTTCGCATCCCTATTGCGATCAATTTCAGAGATGTGCTCCAATTTGAAAGATCAAAACACTTTTCTGACCAGGATCGCTCAATACCTTAAAGAGAAGCGAAGGTTCTGAAGATTCATTTTATTTCAATTCATTTCACCTGAGAAATAATTTTCTAGAGGAAATTTGAGCTGCCTGAATCAAGACACATAGAATTATGTGTTCATTAATTTACGCTTCATCACTGGAGAATTTTGGGTTTACACTAAATTGATACTTTTTTCCAAGGCTGTGAATACTTGTAGGAGCTGTCAAAATCTCATCAATAATCTTCCTTGATCATAGGGTAATCAAGAATTTTATGTTCTACAGGACGTGTTTATAGAAAAAACAAGCACCTGCAAGGATTTTAAAGACTTAAATATCGGTGAAAAACAATGCAATTGATTTTACTTTTTGTATCATTCGAGCTGTGAGTGCATGTGCCTCCATGTGATGGATAGGTATGAAGGGTTTTTGGCCTTGTTTGGAGAGTCTTTTACCATGATCTAATCCAACTTGTAGTGATACTGCTAAACCTGTAACCATGGAGAGGAAATTGGTAATTAAAACATAAGTTAAGTTTCAATGAACAAATAAATTGCAACTCATGGTGGTTTACACCGGTTTTCTCAATTTTTAGTTCTTCTTCATTTTACTGTATCAAAACATTAAACTTACCTGGTTTGACCGTTGTTGCAACTGCATCAATGTCTGATAAAGAAAGTTTAGCTGATGCAAAAGCTTCATCGATGACTGATTCAATGCATTCCAGGTGCAAATCCCTTGCAATAGGAGGTAGACAGCCTCCTAATCTGGGGAAAAAAAGGTTACAAAAATAAGTTGAGCAGAGGGAATCTGAGAGATTGTTTTGCAAGCGAGGATTTCCTGGTTAGAATAATTTATTCACAAAGTGGAGCAGTTTCAATAGTCTGAAAACCTATGATTTCAGTTGAGTGTGCAAAAATTAATTTTAAATTAAATTTGAGGATAAAAGTAAATAGATTTGCCAGGGTTACTGGCATGAAAATTTTGTACTACCCAAATTACATTATTTTTAATTGGGAAATCGAAAACCCTTAGGCCCCCCCCCCTCCCAAAAAATAATTGGGACTTTCTTTTAATGGTTCATACTTCTATGCTCCCATGAAAATGGTCTCTTGGCCCCTTCCAAAAAAAAAGTCTAACCTCATAGAGAAAAAAAAGGAGGTGTTTGCATTTCGGGCATCTTGGAATTTTTTTGATGACGTGGGTCGGCACAGCAACTATTATCATCGATTTTCTGGGAAATGATACAATTTATGGAAAAAAGTCTTTCTACAAAAAGTGCTGAAAATTATATAATGAGTTGATTTAAGCAAAAAAATGGGACATTATGGTCCGTTTTTCATACTTCATAATTCTGGATTTCACTGGCCAGGTTGTACCGACCTACGTCACAGGGTAAACAAACCTCAAGATGCAAACACTTCCTTTTGTTTCTCTATGGTCTAACCTTGCCTATGGGAATTTGTAAAATAACGCCTTGTTATATTGAAAAAAAAATGTGTTTTTCTAATACCCTCACATCACTGATACTTAACAATACCATAACCTATGATCAGAGCCAAAGTAATTTTAGAGCTTATGCACTCTGAGCTTCCATTCTCTACAACAAAATTTAATATTTTGGGTTGTACCCTCTTTAGATACACAAATACTCTAGAGAGCATTTAACGATTTTATGGTCAGGGTTCTAAAAGAGCTATCAGCCAGGGTCATATCTACTTAAAGATCAGTCAAATTACTTCTGTGTTTACTTTAGAGGTTCCCTTTCCAAGGATCTAGAAAGTTCTCAATTTTCGCATAGATCAATTTCAGATAATATTCGTAATTGCATCTACAGGTTCTGAAAATTGAAAGGAAAACCATTCATAACATTCCTCAAAAATAATAATTCTATCGAAGTAAATTTGGCAACTCTGGAATGTTCATACTGCCTTCTTCCTTAGCACGGCAGAAGAGGACAATGATTCAGTAAAGGCAGGCAGGGGCACAGAGCAGCTGAGTTCCTCAGGTTTTTTCCTAAATTCTTGAAATTGACCTTATGTTTTCTCGAGGTTCCTCTCCTCCAGTGAATATTTTTTAGCCTTTCTCCTCTATTTTAGTTTGTTTTCATAGATCTTTATTCAAAATGAGTATGCAGCTCAAATGAGGTTTTTAGGTTCTTGCATTTATTCCTACGTTGCAAGAAATTTTTCAGAGCTCTTAAAATGCTATCTACTTCCCTGCCTCAAAAGTAGTGAAGCAATTCTATTAATCAATGGATTATTTTGTGAAGACATTCACTAATTTCCTTTGATTTTCTTCTAGAGGTATAGATCCATCATAGTCAGTGTTGGTGTCGAAACTCAATTCAAAGCTTATCAACGGCGTAAGTCCGCAATCACATATGTCGTTTGCGGTGTCTGAAAATCTCAGCCTCTATGCTATTTTTCTAAAGGAGAACGAATTGACATCATTCCTTGAAGTTTTTGCAGAATTTGTTTTGCACAGAGAAGAAAAATCACGGCGGTTTTAAAGAATTGCCGTCAAGTAGTTTTCCGTTAAAAAAATAAAGTATGACAGGAAGTCTGCGACGTTGCAAACCAAGTTATGTGATTGCCGACTTACACCGTCGATATGCTGACTGTAAAGCCTTCACAAAACACAGCAGGAAAAAATAAAAAAAATAAAACTTGACCGCTTTCACAGAAAATTTCTCATCCAGATTGCTTTCTGCTTTCACTGCTTTCCACCCCTGCAAGGGAGTACCAAGCATATTTCCACGCTGCAGCATTTTCTGGACCCCTGTACCTTTCTATTCCTCTGAAATCTCTGGTGGTGACTATTCAAGAACTTGGTAAGAAAAAGCTGCAAAAAGTCATTGCATACCTTGGTTAAATTCAGGACTAGTTCTGGTTCTGAATTCACAAATATTAGACTAACGTACCTTGCTAGAACTGAAAAAACTTGGGTACCTACATCTGATTCATGATGATTTTCGGTGAACTATCTAGAGTATTTACAACTGATGATTCTTGCTCAATGCTTACATACACATTCACTAATTTTCAAAAATGTACAGTTATTTTCCAAATGCCTCTCAAAACCACTGTAAAAAACCTGCTGAAAAAATGATAATATTCTAAAAAATGCAGTAAAATATCATTATCAAGGGAAGGAACTCACAGACTATGAAAGGCTTGTTGAGACCTTAGTGCTTCTCCTAGAATGTCACCATTGCTGTTCACAATTGCGCAGCCTGTATCATCAAAACTTGTTTCTATCCCGAGGACTACAAAATTTGAAGAATTCCTACTTTTGAATGCAGCTTTACTTAAACATCTGGCAGTACTTGACGCCCTAAACAATGATGAAAACATCATGTGTAATTTCTAGTGAAATTTTCTTAAGCTCTGACAGTTCCTTCAGCTACAATCAGCATGGAATCAAATCCAAAAATCTCCGGACCTGGAAGAAAAAAGTAAGAAGTCATTAATTCTTTTGATGTAAATAACTAAATAACTGTCTTATTTAACACGAGTTCTATGACTTTTGTCGAGGGCAAATGGTGAAGGAAATGCTCAATACCCTCCAGACTACTGCAAGAGGCTGGATATGTTTGTTTATGATTGATAGGCACACAGGTTGTCTGGATGATGGAATTTTGAAGAGAGGTTTGACAATCACAGTTTGGTAATCTGTGTTTTTCAGCTATTCCCGTAAGCTGATGGCCAGACACATTTTTAATTGATTAAGAGCCAAGAAGTCCATTTTAAGCACACAGTAAGTCCATCAGAGACTTAAGGAACGTGCAATTAAGCTTAGTTTTTGTCATATGGCCTCCTAGATTTTCATCGTAAACGGGGAAACATTAGATTCGAGACTGTCGAATTTTCCCTTTTTAAGGGTTTTCTTCTTTATCCATGGATTGCATGAAACGCTACAGATCGGGATTCAATGCGTTTCGGATCAGTTCCGCATTGTTCCACAGGGAAAAAATTCAAAGGGTGCTTATGACAGTGGTTTTACATTTGTCTTTGTTTTGTAGCACTGATTCTAGCTGTACAGGTTAAGCTTCAGTGTAACAGTGCCACCTCGGGAGAAGGGCTTTTTTTTGTCTAAACAGGAGAGAATTGCTACGGAAAGCATCACTTTTTTACCCCGTTCCACTGCCACGTTCCAAGTGTTCCAGTGGAACGCTTGGACCGCTCTCCTGAGGAAGGTTGAGGTTGGCTGAGGGCACCGTTAGGCTGGTTGAACCTGTCCGAACTGCTACAATTGCGTTCCATGGATTAAAAAAAACCCTACAACAACCCAAATGTTCCACTGGAACGCATGGAGCAGGCTGGATCGCGCCGCGCCCATGGACCAGAAAAAAACAGTGAAGCGTTTCATCTTGCTCCATTGCAATCCTCTGTGGTTCTTATAAAAAGAAAGTCCATCATACAATAGCTGCTGCTCGCCCCCTGAAATATTTTCAGACCTTCAAAGATGCCTGGCGGAATGATGTCACTCTGAAAAACTAAAGGAGTGGAATAAACCCACTGAAAATATCAGAAAGATGAGTTTACACGTACGCACAGAAAATTTCTAAAATTAATAAGACACGAGCCATGATAGGTAAGTAAGTATTATAAATTATAACATGTGAATTCCCAATATTTACCTCACTATGCTTGCTGAAGTTGATAGCATGCAGCATACGACCATACGACCACGCGACCACGCTTCTTGAGAAAAATTTCTTTCATGAGTGAGGTTAGGCGATTGTTTACTTCCGGTTGCTTATTTCCTTAGCATGCCTAAGCCTACTTATTATCACTATCCATTAATCCATTATCAGGAAAAGCTTCGGCAAAGTGGTTTGGATAGTTAGCAATTGATTACCTATTTGAAATACAAGGTGAGTTCACACCAGAGACAAGTTCACACAAACATTACAAGAATTATGCTTATCTATTTTTAAACCGTTTGTAACTGAATAACTCTTTTCATTATTGCGTGTCAATGTTGTTTTGAGAATAACAGTTGTATTTCATGAGACTCAATTTAATTGCTCTGAAAAAGGCTAACACACTTATTTTTCCTGCTTTAGGTCAACATCTAGAATAGCCTGTCAAGGTTCACTCAATCCCTGCCGCACAGTCTGCAGTGGCAGTACTAGGTTGCCCAGCAAATGCATCCTTAACTGCGTTATGGTTTGAGCCAGCTTTCTCAAAGCAAAGATGGACCGTGAGAAGAGCTCCTGTTGCACTGAATCTGACAGTCACTGAGGGTAAGCTTCTCAATCAATTTAAACTCATGGGAAGACATGCAAACAGAAAAAGTGAAACGCATTAGGGCCAATGCTATCCTATTGATGGAATTGGATTTCGAATAACGCTATACATAAGCAAAAGTTATTCCTTTTTTCAGACGTTCGATGTGTGCACTTTGATGTCATGATTTATCTTCAAGTGGATCTGAAGCATATCCCATACTATGAAATATTAGTTCTTGTCAAACGTCCTAATTGATCCAAGATTGGGAAACTTAATGAATTTATGGAACTTCTTTCAGATTTTCTGTGAACAATGGTGGAGGAGAATGTGTATGTGGCTGTCAAAGCCTCACTTCATGCATCCGAGACATCTGTTTTTGGATTAGACAAGGACGAGTTGAGCGCTTTGTCCAAAAGATTCGCTATCTCACCTGAAGTTATCAACGGCTATTCACTAAAAAGTATTGACCTCTTTTGCTTTATATCAGTCTATTGTTTTTAACCATTCATTGATTTTTCAGTTTTCTTACGTGTTAAGAGAATGTCCACTTAATTAATGTTTAACGCAATGGCAAAATTTGAGTGTAAGTGTAGTTAGTATACTTCAAATGATGATTATCCATCAAATTTCTTGTTGGTGGAATTGTCAATCAATCAAATGGATCACATACCTAGTTAGTTTAAAAGAAAAAAAAATTTACCTACTTGGGTGGTATTATGCTTTTATTTACTTAATTAGCACCATGGTTCTTCTTGTAAAATTTGCCACCAGATACACCTATATGCATTTCCTTGGTACATACGCCCTTTAAAATGTGAATGTCTCTTCCTTGTAACAGGCCCAATGTCGCAAAGAAATTATCGGGAAAAATTACAGTGTATAATTTGAAGATCAGTGGAAACTAGAAATTTATGTGTTCATTCAAGGGGTGCTACCTTTGTATCAGGCTGCATGCCTTTTTTTGAAATTGTATCCCATCTATTTTAGTATAACCAGTTTTGAAGGTGCAACACAATCATGCGTTAAAGTTACAGGAAATGCTTGAAGAACAAAAAGTTGGTGGAAAAAATTATTTGCATAGTTTTTACTTTGATTTTCTAGATCATTCTGCAGTTTCCATAGTAAGATTTTGAAAGGACAGGCCCAGAGTCAGTTCTAGAAAAATTTAGAGAGCATTATATACCTACTTCAAGAATTTTGTCGTCAAATAGCCGTGATCACCTTTTATTTGAAGTTACCTGCGGCTATGATAGATATTAATGTTCTGTCAAGAGTCAGAGCCGTTCAAAACCATTTTTGTCCCGACATTTATTTTAATTATTGTTTTCTTTGCAACTTCAGGTAATCCAATTTCTGTCATCAATTCGCTGAGTGAACTGGGTTACAAAGTAGTTTGCAGCTCTGGGGAAGCAGAAATAGTTTGGACTTTACGCCGGACATTTATGGTGGGTTCAAACTGTTTCTAAATACTGGAGCGCCCTAAGCCTAACAGCTGTTATATATAATTTGAAAATACTAGAAATATAAAAACATAAACAAAACAGAATAAAAAATTGTCTAATTGTGAATTGGCGCAACATAATGTACACCCACTCCTTTTAGGAAAGTGTATAAAACTTATGTTTGAAAATGTATTATGAGCAAGAAATTCTCATTGCAAAACTGGACTTCATTTTTCAATTAGGAACTACAATATCTGGATTATCCATAAAACCACTTATTTAGATAGCCAAACCAATGGCACGTACGTTGTTTCTAAACTGAGCCAGAACTTGTAGTTCCAAATTGCAGAATGTAATATAATTAATGTTGAAATAAACATCTTTCTTATGAGGAGAAAAGAAAAGCTAGGCTCATGGAAAGTACAAACATTTTCCTTCATCATATTTTAAACATGTAGTACTTGCAGCATTAATGAATAGGTAGCTTAGAAGGTAAAAACCAACTTTTTCAGAAAGAACTTGTTTGCCATCGGTTTTCCTGTACATATGTGTAAGTGCCTCTACAATATTGTCTATACTTGGACCCTTTCTAATGAGCTTTGTTCAAAAGTAGCAGTAAGATGCGTTCTCTGGAGGCATCAGAGAAAAAACGTTGCTGATTTTTCATGACTTGCCCGATGACCAACTTTCGTCATGTGACTGTCATGGCAGCTCATATCTGTTGTCATCGAGTTCTTTTCTGATTTATCGGTTTTCTAGGTTTTGTTTTTGTTTACTCCAGGAGCAAGTTATGGTTTACATCATTGTTTGATGAATTCCTATTTAGTAAGGCTTACATCATTGTTTAGTGAATTCAATGAAATGACTTAGTGAAAATGATGGCGGGAATGCGAGATACTTGAGACATTGAGGTTATCTCAACGCTCAGCGGCCTTGCCCAGCACCTTTGAAAGGTGCTGAGTGTTTGCGTTGGTCCATGACCCGCCATGGCAGTCATTGGGCTATTAGCGAGAATGTCAGCAAGCCTTTAAGAACAATCATCAAACTCTCAACAGTACTCATCGGGTAACCAACAGTTGACCTGATGCCTCCAGAGAACGCATCTAGTACTAGCCAAATCTCCGTCTCAAAAACTTAGGATTCAGGTGTTAATTTTACAGGGATCTGTCGTTTTCTATCTTTCAATAAATTAACTCGCAGGGTTTTTGTTACAGCGACCTTTGATTGACAGCCCAACTAATGGAGCGACAACGACAAGTGACAAAGGTGAGCCAACAACAAATTGAAAGGTTAAAAGGATTAATTTGAGAAAGCTCTCAAGGGACATTTTCAAACACATCCGGACTCATGCAGCAAGTGTCAAATTCGAAAATCGTTTGTTTACCAACTGAGCAGTATTACTTATATGCACCTTGATGTCTATAGATAGTAATTATTCAATTAGCCTTGCACCATTTTAGTATTTTCCGTGAATGGAATTACCTCTGCCTGGTTAGAGTGGTATTCAGTACTCCCATATCCCATATCACGGAGAAACTAAGTGTGATATTGGATATCTAAGTTTTAAAGGTCATTTATTTCATTGTAGTCAAAGGTCGTCTCATGACGTTTTATTATTGAGGTTTTTTGCCTCTGAAGTTGACTCTGGGAAGTGTTTTAATATTAGATGAATGCCATTTTCTGGAAAAAATTATCATCAATAGAATCTCTAAAATACTTGCATTTACAGTCAATACTTGTATTTTCATAAGTTATTTTGAATAAATATGATGCATTTTTCTACTGCTGATCTATGCCAAATTCTTCCTCCCCCTTTGGAGCATTGTTCAAGAAAAAAAATTCTGCACTTTTTTTTTTGCAGAATTGACTTAGGATTATAATTCTAAATTCCTTCAGCGGTTTAAAAGTTACATCGAAGAACAGTTACTTTTTGAAGCACCTACATGATTAATTTCATATGCCATGACGAGAATCGTAGGGTTTCCGGCAGTCTGAAACACTGGCAAAGCCAGGAATATGCAGCGAAAGGAAAATTTAGGAAATTTTGTGAGTTGCCTTAGCCCTTAGATTAGTGCCACTCAAGAGAGCAAGCTAGCAGATATAATCAAGTAACTGTTAATTCAGGGTGTTCAGAAACAGTATCTGGCAAGAGAGAGGGTCTCCACAGGCTACGTTTTTTTTGCCTTGTCCGAAACAGAGCTGAGATTCGGTTAGGTCATGGACAAGTATCTACGCCTTGCTTTCGCCTCATCCCCATTGGCGTGTGATTGCCAATTTGTAATGTGACATTGAGACCATTCGCCTTCTATATTTTCTTCATGGTTATGTCACTGTTGATAATAGAAGAGGCTATTGTCGTTGCGCCATTGTTGCAATAAAATGTTTTCTTTTGTCACTTTTAATAAACCTTGTTTCCCTTATCGATGTTCAGTTTTCTTCACTTGATGAATTACCTCTAATAAATTCATCTTTTTCCCAGAGAGTTAAATACTTTAATTTTTTTTAATAATATTTATGATAATTACAAATTAAACTAAAGAAAAGGAATGTCTGACTCGAAAATTGTTACTGACAAATAGAAACAAAAAACTGTAAGTTGGAAATGTAGCCAACAGGTGTTGAAATTCAGAAAACTGAAAATCTTAAAGTAGAGGGAAAAAGTTCATCCGAGCAAAATTTTCCCTTAATGAGATACGCTGTTTGGTGCAGCACCCTTTGAGGGAAACTTGTGCTTGGATTAGCTTTTTCCCTCTGTATTGAGATTTTCACTTTTCTGAATTTTAACGCATGTTGGGTTTATTTCCATCTTACTGTCTATACGACTATTGCGTCTACCACAATCAGTTTGAGAAATAAATATGTTGGTCTTAGGTTCAAAATCAAGCTGCAAAAAAATGTGGAAAAGTTTCCTGAAAATCCTTTTTCAATATTATAATAGAGAACAAAGACAGTGATTAATATCAAGTACGGTCATGCCCTGATTATCCGACAATTGGTGCCAAGAGTTGCTTCTGATAATCAAAACCGCCAAAAAAAGAGGAAAAAATGCCATTAGGTGCAGGCTTTGTTTGTAACCAGAAAGCACAAGCTTGACCAAATTTTTATCATTTTTGTAAAATGCAGTCATTTACTTGGACAAATGTACATCCCATTTGTCCAAAAAGCCCGTCTCCGCTATGTCAACTATTTTGTTTTCGACCAAAAACTCGATTTTGACAACATCCAATGACTGAAGCGTCGGATAATCAGAGTATTACTGAAAATTTGTTGGCTACATCTAAATTTGAGAGAAGCAAAGCTTTGGAAAGTAGAACATAACGAGTGAAAATACTTTCTGGTATAATGAAAGAACAAAATTCGTTTTGATGATAGTCTTTATCAAAATTTATTTTGTTGAGGTTCGTTCAAAAAAAGAAGAAAATAAAACTTGGAAAAACGAAGCCTCTAAAACTAAAACAGCAAAAACTTTTCAAGGAAGGAATTTGATTGACATACATCCTTAAAAAATTACACTAATATCATAATTCATTGATGAAAAAGTAAAAAATAAGTAATAAATTAAAGTACATTACTTGAATGCATAATAACGGATATAACAAAACATAATTGATCAATGTTCAATATAATTATTAATTTCTTTTTAGTTCAATGTCTTTTCAAACCTTTGAATTATGGATTTTCTTCCGTATCAGTTTCATCCAAAACTGACTGACTAGCATGCATTCCAGCACCTTTCTCATTATTTTCTCTGCTAGCTTTTTTAGAATCAGTTATAAGGGAACATCTCATGCTAGATTTTTCTGAAAATTGACTGGTATGCTAACTTTTAAGATAAGATATTGAATGAAAAGAACAAAATTTACATAAAATTTTTCCAGTTCCGAATTTAAAGATGATTAATTTCGGCGACTGTATTTCATAACCTCACTGTCTCAGACTTTCCATGCTGACTGGCAGCCTTCTAAATCTATTAAAACTAACAAGTGAGGATTTTAATACTAAATAAAATTGTCTAATTTCCTAAAATTTAATACTGAAGCTGCAAGAGTGGCAATGAAACCAGCTAAAAAGAGGTATATTTTTGTTGCCATGGAGTTTTTATTCATTGATTTTGGAGAAACTAATTTTTTTGGGGGAAATATTGGGAGTTATACTCCTCTCAGGAGTGTCAAAAGGAAGGCAAACAAATTCAATCTGCTNGGGGGGGGGGGGGGGGGGGGCTAGAATAGTGACAGAAAATATTTGGTTCAAATTTAAAAGGGATTTGCTCAGTTTTAGGTTCTCTCCGCAAGACAGTTTTAGTGCAGCCTTTAGTGGAGGAGACTTTGTGATTACGTTAAAAACAAATCAACAGTGAAACTGCAAAAATGCGTACCTCAATTTGCGAAACTGCAAATTACCTGTCATACATGATCCATTTTTTGAAAGGCCAAACACTGACACTATTTCTTGAAAACTTCTTAAATTTTTTGAACCAAAACATTAGTGTTGATTCTTTGTCCTTAGATAAAATAAAACAGAGGTAAGGAACTTGCATGCAGTTACACTATCATAATATGAAAAACCCTATAGAAAACAAAAATTTACCTCCAAAGAAACTCGAAGGTTTCCTACATCTTCTTCTAGACTTAAAAATTTGCTTCCAGCTGAACAAAATCTCTTAATTTCTCCATTAGCTATTTTTATGAGCTTGTCATGATCATTCTCTCACAGCACTTTTAATAATTATGGTACCAATAAAATTCAATTTTTTTTTTTAATTCATCGGGGTTAAAATGAGAGTGAAAAATTCTCTAGCAAGTGAAAAATAAAATTTCTAACTAAAAAGGTTCTTTCACAATGAGAGGGACCATTAAAAATAATTACACATTTCTTGAATAGTTTATACAGCCTGTATAAAATAAAAACATTGCACATCTACTTCCCCCATCTCCACTTTTATGGCTTAAGTACTTTAACAGTGCAGTTAAATTAATGATAAGACTTACTCCTTCGTTTTAAGGTTAATACGTCCAATCAGGAACAGGCTCAAACAAGTTCAGGCCTTTAGAGGTATTATGGAAAAACGCTGGAAGGTTCTGAACTGCTTACCCTATTTGTTGGAAATAACTTTAGTTTACCTGTGTTAAAGGGATTTGCATTTTCACAGTTCATCTTCCGGATTTTTGCTCATATTTTTGAAACTCATGGGTGATAGGTACAGTTCCGAAATTTTTTTTGGCTAATCATCTTAAACTTCGCCAAAGTACTTAACATCCAGCTTTTGGGCTGTACTTCCTTGATTCAACATCCTCATAATGATTAATGGACCACTAGACAAGGTACTCTGAGTATTCAATTATATGTTTTCTCTTCAAAATCCCACGCAGACTTTTGACCCAACCTCAGATTAATCAGCGTTTTTGTTGACACTCATTTCAATTAAGCCTTGATAAATAAGGTCCTACTGCGCCTACAAATTTAAAATAACGATTAACTGCTCTATTGATTTAAATAAAGCTCTAAAGTCTTATAGGTTAAACCCTGCCCTAGAAAAAGTAATCACAAGAAATCAGATCTCTTGAAAGAGTAGAGGGAACAAAGAGCTTCATTAAAACGAAACTGACTTTTTAAGCACTTGAGCATTCGCTTGGATTAATATCAACTGACTTGGAGGCTAAAGTGGGAACAGTATTAGACTGACCTTTCATTGAGTCAGTTTCTAAAAGTCTTTGATTTTGTTCGGGCGCTAATTTATTTTCATCAACAGATGAAGTACCTAAATAGTGGATGGACACAATTGAATTGTGCCTAGACTTTAATTCTAATTGAATTGGAAGATTATCATCAGCTTGAGCTAGTAGAGGTAAAAGTTTGTCATCATCAGAGTGACAAGGTTGTGTGTCATCCCTCCGGTTGAGGACACGTGGAGTAAGTGGACTATTGGTTGTGTTGGTTGGTGTGTAATAAATTGAAAAACAGCTACCAGACTCACGACACTTTAAAATCGGGCACTTGGTTTCACCCAATTTTGCATCACCCTCATTACATGAACTCAGAAGTTCATCTATTGGGTGACTACCCTCCAAAGTATGGCATTTACTTGAAGCTACAATTTCTCCGACGTCTCGGTCACTGCTGAAGTTGATCTCAGACGTTGACTGGCCGCAACCGTTCTTGCAGTTATCAATATTGAAGTTTTCCAAGACTTTGTTCAGAGCTTGCTGTTGGTACTTACAGTTCTCCCTGAACCTTAGCACTTGGTGGGCGCTGAATTTCCGGATCTTGTCCCGCTGGAAGACATAGTTTTCGCGCACTTTACTTAACTGAGAAGTTGTGTAATCACGTACCTTGCGCACCTGAAATAAAAGATGAACCATTGTAGACACTGATTTTAAAAAAAAATACCTGAGCTGGTGAACAGCAGCCAGAGTCTAGGAAGAGAGGTTGCAAGAGGACCCCCCACCCTTAAGTCTCTTTTATAATTTTTGGACTTCGCAATTTTTTTCTGCTATGATCCTCTGTTGAGAGGCTTCTGAGGGTGCCTTTGAGTGTACAAAGCAAATCATCTGAAGATCCTTCATTTCTGTCAGAACACTTAGGTCAAATCAATGCTGCGGAACCACTTGACGAACAAAGTTACTCAAGAAGAGTTTATACTTTCACCGATTACTTTTTAAGGCCCCAAAACTAAGCAAAAGTCTGGAAACTCTCTTACTGGGACATTAATGTTGGCAGCATTTCAGCTTAAGGGATCAACCTAGCTAGATGGGAGTCCTTTACAGAGGTTTCTGTTTTTAACTTCATTATATTTTGATGATCATGTTTTTTTTTTTTTTTTTTTAAATTTTCTTTCCCGTTCTTAATTATTCAATGTTGGGTGTATCAACAGACAGGGTTTTTTAAAGGTGAAGCCTTCTTAACCAAAGAATGAATTGAGTGCACCAATTAGGACATTTCAATATCTCCATACATGATTATAGTCCAGGCGCCTGGTAAGTCTACCGGGAATTTTGGGTACACAGCGATTTTTTTGGCTTACTTTATGTTTTTTGGGTCGTTGAATCCGAATCTGAAGTTTCCTACCGCGTATCTGGTGAGCATTTTCCGCCATTTTGAAAAAATGGCCTAAAAAGGCCTTTTTTTGCGGTTTTTTTTATATAGCGGCTACGCATGAGAAAAAATCCCGGATTTAGATAATGTTTTGAATAGCTGACAAAATTTGGAAGAAAATGGTATATGAATATGCTAGGTTTGCTCAAAAATTGAGGAACCTCGGATCTCGGAACTTTGGAACACTTCGGAACTTACAAATTGTTAGCTGACCGCGGCGAGCCGGATCACGCGTTAACGGGTGCGACGCGAAAACGTGAATGGGCGCGATGTTCACGATGCCGTATCTTCCTCAATTTTTAAGCAAACCTAGCATATTCATATACCATTTTCTTCCAAATTTTGTCAGCAATTCAAAACATTATTTAAATCCGGAATTTTTACTCATGCGTAGCCGCTACATAAAAAAACCGCAAAAAAGGCCTTTTTAGGCCATTTTTTCAAAATGGCGGAAAATGCTCACCAGATACGCGGTAGGAAACTTCAGATTCGGATTCAGCGACCCAAAAAACATAAAGAAAGCCAAAAAAGTCGCTGTGTACCCAAAATGCCAGGTAGCCTCATTTTTAGCTACCAGGCGCCTGGACTGTTAAGGCATCAGGTGCAGGAAGGAAAGGTACTTCTCGAGTAACCCTAAATATAAAAGTGATGGAAAGAATGTTGTTCCCAACTGTTTCCCAATGTTGAATGAGATCACAGTATATCGATGGCGAAATTCCCAAACTGTGTACATATCTTGTTTGCGGTGTTTTAGAATATTTGCTCCAAATGTATTTCTTTGAAGGAGAACAAATCGACATCATTCCTTGAAATTTTTACAGAATTTTTTTTGCAAAGAGCAGTGAAATCAGGGAAATTTACGTTGAATAGTACGTTGAATTGACGTGTCCATAATGTTCCATTTAAAAAATGAAGTATGACAAGTGTTTACAACATCAGAAATCGAGATACATGGTTTGGGAGTTTCACCGTCAATATGACACCTATCAGAATATACATTAGATGAGGCTTTTAAATAATCATGGTGGACGATTCCCTTGGATAAAAATGGTGGATGAATTTTTTCAAAATCACATTCCTTTGAAAAGGAGGATAGGTGAGCCTTTGAGAAATACATGGATGAAAGTGCTTTTAAAGCCATGGCGGATGAAGCTTTCTAAAAAAAAATGGTGGATGAAGATTTTCCCTCAATGATATTAACGATGATGAAGTACAGTAGAGAGTGAACTCACTTGGTCATTATACTGTTCTTTGATGGATGGAATGTGACCAGCTCCATAATCTTTTGTGTCTTTTGAATCCTTCACTTGGCCATGATAGCTCTCCCAGATCCATTTTGTCTGTTGAGCGCAGTCCTCTTCTATCTTTTTGATCTGCATTTTGATAATCACAGAAAGTAACCATTAAGAAACATATTGTAGTCTACTTGAGACAGGCAGCTTGCAATATGCTTATCCAAGGTGAAACTGCAGGAATGCATACCTTGCTTACAGTTTATCAGAATCTCTGCTCCAATTATTTTATTAAATGAGAACAAACCAACGCTATTGCTTGAAAGTTTTAAAGATCGATCTTCAAACAGAGAAAAAAATCAGGAAAGTTTCCAAGAAATGATAGTGAGTATTTTTACTCATATACTTAAGAAATGAAGTATGACAAGAAGTCTGAAACGTCGAAAACAGAGATAAGCATTCCTGCAGTTCCATCATGGTCATTGTGAATCAAGAGGTTCAAAAGAAAAAAGAGAACAGAATAAATTTGCTGGTCAGAATTGATTAAAGTCGTTTTTGCATGAGGCTCTGATTGTCCTCCGCACAAAAGTCAGTGGGAACATTTTTATAAGAATCTTTTCTGAAAATTTTCGAGCAGTATACTAAATTCAGGAGTTCATCCATACATCCATAATTTGGTTGCAATATGTATGACACTAAAAAAATCAAGGGTCAATTTTTTTTTTTTTTACTAAAGAATCTTCCTTTAGACTGTTACTGCCTTTACAAATTTTCTAGCTCTGTGAAAGAGGCGACAAAGGGTCCTTGCAACAATTTTGTATATTTTTTACTGAGATAAATCCTCATAGTCTACATGACGTATTAATAGTGCAATCTGTGCTTTTTTTTCATGATTCAAACATTTTTTAAATACTTCCCTTCTCTTGGAATCTTTGTAGTTTACTAAAATTTTAATATTGTGATGACCAGGGAAGTCAGCTCGGGAGTTTCCGTAGCGTCTCGGGCCAGAGCGAGAGATAACATCGCATCTGTTCTTTTTTACAGCTAGAAACACTTGTTTTCCCGGCGGCAGGGACAGTACGCTGATTCAGCATCCCCCACTGCTGGCCCGCGGCGCTTCGGAGGCGACGAGGACCCCCGGTCGCGACTGCAGATCTAGGTGGACGAGAGCTTCCGTGGCGCACGGAGCTCGACCTCGGGATAGGTTTTCTTTGTAGGATTTGACGAGTAAGATTGAAAGGAGCGTCCGTGAGAGTCGGAGCTGGTTTTGTAGGATTTGGTCGGTTACGTCGGATACGTTGGTTGATTTAGTCTGCGTAGGACTTAGTAGATTTTTCTTGGTTTCACTATCGCCTTCAACGGTTAGTTTTACCCCTCCTTTATTGGTCGTTATTTTTCCTATCTTTTTTTTATTCTCAACTTGCTAGTCTTCTCTTCTTTTTTTTTTGTTATCCACTGTCAAGTTTTATCTAGCTCCCCCTGTGTCTTTTGAATACAATATCTATTTAGTTTACACACATCAAGTCTCTTTCACTTTGTTCATTCTGACTCTTCCCATAGTTCTTTTTTTTCTCTCTTTCCCTTTCCTTTGACTAAGAGCAAGAGGCACGGTCTGGCCGTGTCTTGACTGGTCTGGCCAGTCAGCCCCAAGGGATTTTTCCATTCTTTCTCTCTTTGAAAGGAGAAAGAGGCGCAGTCTGGCTGTTGTCTCGATTGGTCTGGCCATTCATCCCCTTTCAAAGGTTTCTCCTTCACGACTATCCACCTTTTCCTTAGGGCAAGAGGTACGGTCTGGCCGTATCTTGACTGGTCTGGCCAGTCAGCCCTAAGGGTAGTTTCCATTCTTTCTCTGCACAAACGCAAGAGGTACGGTCTGGCCGTATCTTGACTGGTCTGGCCAGTCAGCGGTTGTTCATCATCTTTCCCTTCACTACCCCCTTTTTGCCCTAGATTCCCCTGCCCTCTAGAGGGGGATATTATCTTTTTTTTTTCTTTTTTTTCTTTTTTTTTGGTCGCCACAATATATTGTTGAAGCGGTTCAGTAGGATTTCTTTGGCTTGTACATATGTCTCTGTGGTATGTTTCAAGGGATAATCACCAAGTCAATGTCATTTTTTCCAGTCTTTGTACAGTAAGTCTCAGCTTTGATGATGATATTTTCTTAAAGTTAGCGTCAAATCGAGTTTCACTTGCCCGTTGATTGTCATGTTGGACATCTGGAGTACAATTGTTAATTAAGTCATCTGAAAAGTCTGGGTTTGAGTTTTCAAACGGCATTGATTCTTCAGTCAGTATTTTCGATTTTTTGGACAATTTTCATACTTACTGTCATGTTATGATTACTATTGATAGTAAACTGTCATCAAATATTTTGTTATTATACATTAAGAGTTTAAAGTTAACAAGGGTTATGTTTTACTCATTTAGAGTGCTAATATTGGTGTTCTCTTTGTACTCATATGCAACATTTTGCTGAATTTTTAACCTCTATCTTCAAGAATTTTGCATGCTTAGTTCTATCAAAGGTTTCACATAATTCTTAACTTTATTTTTGTTATCATTATTAGCTTGTTCTTGTCACTTGGTTATGTTACATAGGGACATTTTTGAGAGATGTTTTATACTTTTATTAAAATTTGAACACCTTCTTGAAAATGTACCTATATTTCAAAAAGTTTCCATATGCCAGTTTCCACTCAACAGGCTGAAATAATGAGGGAAAATAATAAATAAAAGAGCTCTAACCTGGGCCATATAGTTTTCCCTTAATTTCTCAAGTTGCTGAGAGCGGTACTGCTCGGCAGCCTCTATCATTTGATGAATATCAGTTTTCTGAGACTCCTCTTTGCTCTTGCCGCATATCCTGAATCAAAATTAAGAGCAATCATAGTTACATTGAAGAATATAAAAAAACTCTGCAGAAGTGAGTATGTAAGTTTCAAGAGGTCAAAAGTTAGAGAAACTGCCACCGTAAAATTTTAGAAGGAAGGTGAAGAGCTTCAATACTCCCTCACTTTGAAAACAAATGTTAAAACTGAATTCATTATGCATAACTGGATCTGTGAATAAAGGATCTAAACATTCCAGGGATAATTTTTGGCGAAATTATGTTAGGCAAGTATGCTCAAATTGTTATTGAAATGGAGTTTCTATTGAAACACTCTCTCTACCTTCTTAGCAGCATGGCACATGATGATTAGATCTTGTTTGCCGCTAAAGACTTTTTTAACTTTATGATAAACTATCTGATTTTTCCACAAAATTTTGCATGGAAATAACTGTGCTGCAACCCTGCCAAAGTTTCTGAGCACAGCCTTTTTCTTTTATATTATATTTATTTATATATATGTTAGATTTATATATTAGTTTACCTTTTTATTTATGAACTGATATCACTACAAATAGAATATTTCTGCATCAATTAAAATAAAACATTCTAGAGTGATGGAGTAAGACTTACTTTTTGCACACAAAAATAATTGCATGGACGACAACAGTTCCAGTGAGGAATATCACAGCACAAAAAATTCCAACAGCAAAGCTCATGAATTGACGCTTGTTGAATGTGTCTGGGTCCAGACGAATGGTTGTCACAGCTGATATATTGCCGTTTTTATTCAGAACAAAACACGTGTAATTGCCAACATCCTCACGCAGTACTTTTTTAATGTGCAATGATCCGTTAGCCATCACATTCATGGTGTCTGTTTCAATTGCGATACGCTGGTTGTCATGGACTTTGGGATGATTTGTTTCATTGAACAATGGATCATGGAATGTAATTCCATTGGGCGTGAACCAAGTAATCGTTGGTTCTGGGTGGCCAACTGCCAAGCAGTCTAGCATGGCTCCAGAGAGCAGCATATAATATGTTAATGGTGAGTTATATATAATTTGTGGCTCATCGCACCGTAGCGTGCTCAGAAATTCTACAACATTAATTTGAAGAGCCTCTTTACATTGAAAATTTGTGTACTGCAGATTGACCTTGCTAAACTTCTCCCAAAACTTGATCAGCCATGTAGAGCGGCAGTCACATTTGATCCTTAAGTTTTCAAGTTTTAAATTTTTCAAGTTGTCTAAACTCAAGATAGAGACAGGAATCCTGCTAATATTTGTAGAGGCAAGGTTCACTGTATGTAACTCAGGTTTGTTGATAAATATACCATCATCGATGCTTTGCAAGATTGTGTTATTGCTGATGTCAATGCTTTTCATTTCTTTTAGATCATGGAATAATTCATATTGAAGATGGACAATATTTATATTGTCAATGTTGAGATATTGAATGCGTTTGTTCTGATGGAAAATATCGGTTGGAAGATGTTTCAAAGGATTATTACTTAGCTTCAGTTCCGTTAGGTTCTCTAAATACTGGAAGACCAGCAAGGGCAGGTATTCAATCCGGTTATTATTTAGAAGCAGTCTCCTCAAGCTTGAGCAGTCTTCAAAAACATCTTTGTCCAGTATTTTAATTTGATTGGAGCTTAAATCTAATTCTGTAAGCATTGTCAGATCTTCAAAGAGAGTTTTGACATCTTCCAATTTATTATGACTTATATTCACATACTGCAAGAGCTCATTCTTTTCTAGGGCATCTGAGTCTATGGATGGAATCTCATTTCTGGATAAATCTAAATATCGCAGTTCTTTGAGGTCTCGGAGCATGCATCGTGTGATCGGTGTCACAATTCGATTATCACTAAAATCTATCATTTCTAGGGCTTCAACTTTGTAAAACAAATTTTCATGGAGTTTTTTAATGTGGTTTGATTTGAAAACCACTGTTTTCAAGAACGTCAAAGGTCTAAATAATTCACTATCAAGAGCCTTAATTTGGTTGCCCGCCACATTCAAAATTTCAACCTGATGGTGATTCTCAAAAAAATTAAAATCAATATGGGTGATTCCATTTTCATTGAGTACCACTTCTTTTAACTTCGTTGTACTTCCAAGACTTTTATTTGTTAGCTCAAGAATCAGGATTCTCATTAATTTTAGGACTCTGACATCCTGCGGAATGTTGATTTTACTAAAATCTACATCCTTGCATTCTAAAATATTAGGCAAACACTGGCAGTTTGAAAGGCAAGGCTCTGAGTTATTTAAGGCAAAAATACTAGCAATGAAGCAACACAACAAAAGAAGTATACATGATGGGGCTTGTCCAACAACAAAGCACATTCTGACTTTTTTGGCATAGTTTTCCCTCCAGACTATGCAGTTTGTGGCAGGTTGCTTATGACTGAAGCTATGCACACAGAGTTTGAATCAGAATCTGAAAACATATTAAAACTTGAGTAGTGACAAGGAATTGAACAATCTTTCTTCCTAATTAGATAATGAAAGTCTTCAGCATTTCTATGTACAGTGACAGTTAAATATTTTGTTTGTAGAAAACAAAACATAAAATTAGGTACCACAAATGTAAACTTTAATTAAAAAATATTTACAAGAAGGGTAACTTACTTTCTGATAAAAATTTGTTGGCCAAGTTTCAATTTATTCAGACTAGCAATGATGGATGCCATTTTTAATCTTCAAAAACATTAACTCATGATTCAAATAGCCAAAACAAAAATAAATCAGAGGACTCTCGAGAACTTTTGGCGAGATCATTGTGGGCTCTTATTGAATTTTTTTATTTTTCAGTTTTCAAATAAATTTCTAGCTACCCCCATGAAAATTTTTCAGGATACCTAGGAGAGTGATTTTTTTTCTTTTTTAAGTCATCAGACCCACATGAATTGCAACAAAACATAACTGCAATAGATGAGCACCTTAGGAGAGTAGTTTTAACTTTTCTTGAAAGTCTTTGAGCGACAATAATTAGCTCAAATTATTCTACAGCATATTTTGAAAACGTGGTAGATTCTCTAGGGCTTTTTTTTATGCGGATCGCAGTGGAACGCGATGGATCGAGGTGAACATCAGTATTTTTTTATTCCGTTCCTCAGCCGTGATCCAAGCGTTCCAGGTGGATCAGGGTGGAACGCTGGATCGATCTTCCGAGGTGGGGCGAGCTCGCAATCCACTGTGATCCTAACCGAATGCGAGGAAGTTGCCGTCCCCAACAAATCAAAACTCTAGGGCTTTTTTTTTATACGGATCGCAGTGGAACGCGGTGGATCACAATGAAAATCGGTATTTTTTTATTCCGTTCCTCAGCCGTGATCCAAGCGTTCCAGGTGGATCAGGGTGGAACGCTGAATCGCTCTTCCGAGGTGGGGCGAGCTCGCGATTCACTGTGATCCTAACCTAATGCAAGGAGGTTGCCGTCCCCAACAAATCAAAACAATGACAAATCTAACCAAATTCCAAGTTCGGATATTTTTATCACTTGGAACACTGTGGATCGGTCCGGATCGCTCAGGATTCCGATCCAGTGCGTTCCACCCTGATCCGCGATAAAAAAAGCCCTTCTGATCAATGTGCCATCATACCTAACCTCAAAAGAATATCAAGACGGAGGCTGACTATCTCTTAGTCGCACATTTCGCAAATTAACTTCCTTCTTTCGGAATTTTTAATTCAATGCCTTTCTGCATATTCAGTGACTCTGTAGATTAGTTTGACATGGGTGGCATAATAAATTTTTCAAGATCACCCTAATCGAGCTTCATCAAATTCAAACAGAAACATTTGTCTACTTTTCCACACGGACGCATGGTGTCTTGATAATCATGTCAAGCTCTTTTTGATCTCAGAATAGCAAAACTACTCTAATAATGGAGACGTTCAGCTTGAATTTTGCTTGCGCTTATACCTGGGTCTCGAGTTAAGCAGGATTTCATCTTCCCGTTTAGAGTGCTTACGATGATTTTCCTGCGACCCAGTTCAAAATATGCAGCTAACTACAGCAACATGTTACGCCTTAGTGGAGAATAAGTGCTATTTTTCCTGATTCCATGATTAACAAGCCAAATAATATTATGGTAAGCTGCATTGTCCTCAGCTAACTTCAGAGGGTCAAGTTAAATTATTGCGCCAAGAAAATACTGTAAAATACGAAACTTTTAAGAGAAGAAATGTGGGCCTGACTTACTGATTAACTTTGCAAAATATACAGAAGTAAAGCTACTTCCCAAAGAAGCTCTTGCTCATCGATAGGTTCTTTACGCACGTTCAGTTCTTCCTATGGTACATTTGATACAGAGCATAAACAGGATTTCGCACATCTGCATTGCTCATGTGCGGAGAAATAAGAGCGCTGACCCAAACGAAAGGAAGGAAATCTTAACAAAACTTACGAAAAACGAAATCGATGATGTACAACCACAATAAGCCAGAAAATTAAGAAGATCCTAACGAGAACGAGAAGAACGAAAGAACCAAAAATATACAAAACCAGGGACGAGTTCCCTGACAAAACCAACAAAACGCCGAGAAGATTACGTCACTTTGATCCAGTTGTGCGTCATCAAGATGGCAACTAAACTCCCTCCTTCCCTCTCTACCACCCTCTCTGATGGTTGAGTGCCTGTCTTGCGCCTTTTTGCGTTGCGTGCCATTTGATTTCCCTCCTGAAAAAACCGGCCATCGGCCATTTCTTCAACGGCTAGTGGTGTCAGTTATAAAAATGTCAGAAACCTTCAAAATTGGAACTTTAGTATGGTGAGTACAATTTTCCTGTCTTAATATTTCTTCCTTAAGTATTTCTGTAGCTTTCTACATATTTTTGTGAACCTAAAACAATCTGTTTCTTTGTTGCAGGGCGAAAATGAAAGGATTCCCACCCTGGCCGGGCCGGGTAAGTTGTCCATGCTTATGCCCAAACGCACTTTCCCTCCATTTATGTCACAGACGAACTCAGCAATTATGTTTAAGTCCATTGCTATTCGTGTGTTATTCTCAGTTCCCTCACTCCCTCCAAATATTCCCTCCGCATTACCTTCATACCTTTTCTTCGCGCAATTATTATTTGTGGCAAACTCATTATTTACATACTGCTTCTCGGACATAACCTAACAACATTTGAGGTTGCAGGAAACGGTTCTACATTGACTTAATCTTTCCCATTGTCTTGACACTGATCTTTGGCTTATTTAGCCAAAACAACCAAGTGTCCAATCTACCTATCATATTGATTAAATGTCAGACTAACATTTAAGTCTGGTTTCAGAGTGACATGATGCCTAGCACTGAAGCGAGGGTGAAGCTTTATCCAAACTTATCACTTGAAGCCCCATAGCAAGTGTCATGCTATGCCTATGTCCCGCTGTCTAAATCGAATATCTCGCAATTTTGATGCACTATAGATACACACTAACGTACTCTCATTTCTGATGGTGAAGTTGTGGGAACCGTAATGCTGACCTAACTTCAGTTGAGATTGTTATTTGTGTCTGCTGAAGTCTTGATTGCGCCCGCCTATAATCCCAAATTGTGTTGCTTTCTTTGATAATCTATGTATATTTTTGAATTTTTTGACACTGTAAACTATCCTCCAATTCTCAGCAATGCTCAAGGTGGGTTGTTTAAGTCAGGAGAGTCTATTTTTGAACATTACTCTCACATTTTATAACATTACACTCGAGTTGATGTATCGAGTTGGTTCATGTATCATCTCATTTTAGGGATATGGTCAGTTTCTCAAGTATTATTGTTTGACCACATGCTCCTAAACAAATGTTGCGTAGTTGTTAATATCAACTTTGAACTGTATTAGCACACACACTAATTTTACACAAAAACTTTGGAAGGTAAAGAGGGATGCAATTAAGGAAACGTTAGTTAGCCTAAGTAAGCTGTCTGGCAAGCAATACATTGATGGCTGAAGTTGTCAAGCGTGCATCTCTTTTTGCGCTGGTCCAAATCTTTGCTCATGCTTTAGTTTATGAAAGGAAACTCATGTACTGTTGTTTTTAAATTTTAATCTATTTTTTCTAAAGAAATGAAGATTATTTGGAAATCTTCAAATATTGCCATTTAGGTATGCATTTTTCAACTTTAGCCATAGAGAGAATAAAGGATGTGTTTGCATCTTTAGGATTGTTTACCCCGTGACGTAGGTAGGTACAATATGGCTTCGATATTTTGGCATAATTCGAAGTTTGAAAGACGGGCCAGTTTTTTTGCTCAGATCAACTCACAATATAATTCAAAACACTTTCTATTGAATTCCTCTGTTCCTTAAACGGCACCATTTTTAAGGAAATTAATGTTAAAAACCGTCTGTACCGACCTACATCATCAAACAATCCAAGATGCCTGAAATGCAAACACCTTTTTTTTTCTATGAACTTTAGCCGTGGAAATGATGTTTTAGTAGTGTTGTGCGTTGCCAGTACTAAAAGGAATTGTCTTAGGAAGTAATTACGCACCTTTACTATCCAAAACAATTTTTATTTTTGGTATATTTTTGTTGAAACCTTGAACAAACAGCTGTTTAATTTCAGCTGATACCGGCATCCACGTGTACTGTACTACTTATTTGCTGGTTATTGACTCTTACTATCCTCTCATTGACAGCAGGTCAACTGCTGAACAACTCTAGTGGCTTGTAGAGTAACCCTAAAAATTCTAAATGAAAATCATGCTCATTGAAGTAATGTTTCAATCTTTTTTCTATTTCAGGTATCAAACCCTCCAAAAGACGCAAAGAGACAATCTGTAAAGAAAGGCCAACATTGCATTTACTTCTTTGGGAGCAAAAATTAGTAAGCATTTGTCTCTTGGTTGTTCAACTTTATTTTCATCCATTATTGTCACAAAAGCATCTGTTGATTTTGTCACATATCGACGGTGAAAGTCGGCAATCACATAACTCGGTTTGCGACGTCGCAGACTTCCTGTCATACTTTATTTTTTAAACGGAAAACTACTCAACGGTAATTCTTTAAAACTGCCGTGATTTTTCTTCTATGTGCGAGGAAAATTCTGCAAAAACTTCAAGGAGTCATGTCCATTTGTTTTCCTTTAAAAAAATAACATAGTTGCGGAGATTTTCAGACACCGCAAATGAGTTATGTGATTGCCGACTTGCACCGTCGATATGTAGTGTATATATGTGTGAGATCATCAGAAGTCACTTCTAAATTTTTCCAACCTTTGATTTTAAAGAAAGAAATGAAATGTGTCCTTTAATAAGAAAGAAAGTTTTGGGGGATGAAGAACAGAAAAACTAATATTCGGTGAAAGTCCTGAAAAATTAGTCATCATGTCAGAAGTGTCAAAAAAATTATCAGGGCTATCCGAAAAAAGATAGAGAACCTTTTCTGAGAAGCATCTCATGGTAGAATTTCCAAGAAACTTGAATATTTTACTTCTTTGTCATTCTGAACTATCGACTGTAGTTATTTCCTGAGTAATTCCTCAATGCAGACTTTTTTTCATGTTTTTACTTACAAACTAAGTTAAATTGCAAAAACATTATCTCCGAAACCCCTATTTGAAGCAGATTTACCATCCACTGCAGTTAGCCAGAAAATATTCAGAGTTTTATATTGAGATACAAGTCCAATCTCACCAATATTTTGTCACCTTCCAGGCAAAGTATCACAAGCGCCATGCGACGTTTAAAAATTTCCGTCGCCATTTTATTTTTTTACAGAGAAATTGTTCAACGAAGCTGTCCGAAAATTTCACTGAATTTTCTTGGTGCTGCCGATAAAAGGACCCCGCACGGTTCTTATGGAAAATTGCCCTCGGTCAAATGCGTTGAAACTTCAGTATGTTGTGCAGCATGTCATCGTGAACAAAAGTTCCAATAGGCCAAACAAGATCCCATGTGCGGTTTTCGAGATATTCGCCGTTTTATGTGCGTAAACGGAGGTTTCGCGCGCTCCCGCCGGAGCCATACCATTGTGCGGCGCCGCTCGTGCCCTTCCCTCCCAGTCACTCTCCGCTGCCCCGCCGCCCATACCTTGGCTCCTCTATCGCTCCAACTACGACGCTCACGAGGCTGCGCCCATCATTACCGGATCGCGCCCGCACGCCGTCTTCTTACGCGGCCTCTTCTTCGGCCATGTCGCCTCTTTTTCTCATCGATCCTTTCTCTAAGTCTTCAAAAACGTTTAAGAAGTCCATTTTTACTAAACATGATAATGCTAATATCACTAATAATACAAAAAGAGAGGAAAAACAAATGATAATCCATGCGAAAGTACGTAGGAGAGTTGGAATGCCTAAGAGACGTTAAATAAAACAAATTTTTTTTTATTTTCTTCCCTCTTCCTTTCTTTCTTTCTTTCTTTTTTTTCTTCATTTTTCTCATGTGGAAGCAGTGAAAGTAACTTCTGTCGGAAGATGATGTTGATGTTTTTTCTTTTTTTTTTCTTTCTTTCAATAATGACGTGGCGGAGGTTGAAGGTAATTAGTCAGCTGACGATGCCCAAGTAGGAATTAAGTTTGCTTTAGTCTTGACTTAGCTTAACCGCACCAATGGAGGAGAAGAGAGGGATCATTAATAACTGAACTCTAGGAAGAGAGATGTCCATTTAGGCGTAAATGGTCACATTTAAAGTCGCTCCAACTTGCAGCACCACCTTATCAGCCATCTTATTATCTGCTGATCGTATCCTCTAATCAGATTGTACATCCAAGACGAACTCCAAAGAGATGATGAACAAGAGTTGCAGGTCGATCGTAACATTCATGCGCATACGCGGCTTTTTTGCGAGTAAGTACGAGTTTACGATCGGCGATCAGAACCCTCGACCTTCGAAAGTTACTTAGGGATTTTCTTGCAATGGTCTTCCAGCCGCATCTTTAATGTCTTTTTTATGGAACCTGGAGAAAACTCGTACTCACAAAAAGCCGCGTACGCGCATGAATGTTACGGTCGACCTGCAACTCTTTTTCATCTTCTCTATGGAGTTTGTCTTGGATGTACGATCTGATTAGAGGATACGATCAGCAGATAATAAGATGGCTGATAAGGTGGTGCTGCAAGTTGGAGCGACTTAAGATGTGACCATTTACGCCTAAAAGGAAAGAAAATTAAAAAAAAAGGTTTGTTTTATTTAACGTCTCTTAGGCATTCCAACTCTCCTACGTAGGTACTTTCGCATGGATTATCATTTGTTTTTCCTCTCTTTTTGTATTATTAGTGATATTAGCATTATCATGTTTAGTAAAAATGGACTTCTTAAACGTTTTTGAAGACTTAGAGAAAGGATCGATGAGAAAAAGAGGCGACATGGCCGAAGAAGAGGCCGCGTAAGAAGACGGCGTGCGGGCGCGGTCCGGTAATGATGGGCGCAGCCTCGTGAGCGTCGTAGTTGGAGCGATAGAGGAGCCAAGGTATGGGCGGCGGGGCAGCGGAGAGTGACTGGGAGGGAAGGGCACGAGCGGCGCCGCACAATGGTATGGCTCCGGCGGGAGCGCGCGAAACCTCCGTTTACGCACATAAAACGGCGAATATCTCGAAAACCGCACATGGGATCTTGTTTGGCCTATTGGAACTTTTGTTCACGATGACATGCTGCACAACATACTGAAGTTTCAACGCATTTGACCGAGGGCAATTTTCCATAAGAACCGTGCGGGGTCCTTTAGTGAAATTTCCAAACAGATTCAACTAACAATTTCTCAGTAATGAAATAAAATGGCGGCGGAAATTTTTAAACGTCGCATGGCGCTTGTGATACTTTGCCTGGAAGGTGCCGATTTATCATCAATCACAGGTGCCACCTAAGAAGGTGTGTTAAGATGCTAATTGTAAGTGGCTTGATTCAGAGCTGATCGGATATTGTTGCAGATAATTGAAGTGTAAATGATCTAAGTTTAATTTTGGTCTTGTTTCTTTTGATCGTTCATATTCTATTTAAAGATTCTGATTCTGAACCATTCTGTTAATTTTCCACAGTGGGTATATAGAAGAACCCCAGTTAAAACCTTACTTTGAATTTAAAGACACCCTCAAGAATGCAAACAAATCTGCAGGTTTCAAAGAAGCTGTTGCAGCAATAGAACTGTTCATTGAAAACAAAGGAGAGGTGAGTTACTATACATTTTTTTTACAGTTTCCTTTGTTGCTGGGGATAGTAATCTTCTGAGCATTTAAAATTATGGCAACCCACAGCAGACTTCCAGTCATAATTTATTCTTCAAAGCGGGAATACTCCTTAACTTTTCCTTTCTATGTCAAAAATATTCGGTAAAAATTTCATTCAACTAAGTTGATTTGTTTTCCTTGATAAAATAAATTAGGACTGTGAAGGTTTTAACATGTTGCAAACCAGATGTCTTCGCAGATTAATAGTTAATGTGCGTTTTGTGAATTCTCTCAAAAGCTATATTTAGTGATAATCATATTTTTACCATGGTTTATTCTTTTTTTCATTTTTTCCCCAATTAGTATTTCCATGTAGTTTTATTGTACCTTTTTTTTTTTTTTTTGGTTTTTTTCTCTAGAATTTTAATGATACTGCGTCTCTCAATGATTCTGAAGAAGCATTTAACCGCCTAAAAGAATCATCTGTCCCAGACTCGGAAAATGAAAAATCAGCAAAGCCGGACAAACCAGAAAAACCGAAGAAACCGAAAAAGGTAGGAAATCATCATGTCGTGGAGGCATTACGCTATGGAACATAAATTTCTTGAGCAGCCAAGTCCATATTTATACCTTTGTTATCAGAATTTTTCAGTGTCTGCACTTTCAAGGGCTCCTGCAGACCGAGATAGCAAAGATTTTGATTCAGCAAGAAAATCCACAAAATATTAAGAGATTACGGGGGAAAACACTGAAAATCAACAGAATCTTTGCTTTTTATACTTACGATAGTAAAAATTTTAACTTTTGGTTGTTTGAGTGGTTCCAGTGCCAAATTCTCTTTTATCTTTCCTGAGCAAACAAAGGTCTTTCAGAAATACCATGTACACTGATTTTTCACAGGCCCATTTGTCATAAGTCTTACCTCAGATCTAACCGAAAAGACATACTTTACAGTGGGAACTAGAGGCTCTCATAAGGTTGTTTTCTGCTGTGCAGCTTTTATTCCAGACTTGATACTCTTCAGAGTAAGATCTTGCAACCAAGATGAATGAAATTTTTAATTTTTTGCAAAATTGAGACACTGAAGGTCACTTCACATATATGCCTAAAATGACTCTTTTAATTTTCTCAACCTTTTTCAATGGTCTCTGTCTTAACAAGTGCTAAATCGAAATTTCAATAAGATCAAAAAAAAGAGAAAAGAATGGTGAGTGTAGCGGATAATTTCTTTGTCTTATCCGAATTGCCACAGGTAGGTTATCTATATCTAACAATGCAGGCCCGTACTGGCCATATGGGACTACCGGGACTTCTCCCGGTGGGCTAGTCTACCACAGGGCCGGTCTGATAGGAGAAAAAGAGAAGCAGAGAAGGAAACCTTACGAAAATTAACCTCTGGACAGTGAAAACCTCTAATAATCGTAGGTAGAGTCGTGCTTTTTGCAAAAGGGACTGGTTCGTCAGAATTCGACTTCTCAATGTCTCAATCTCTCTCTCTCTCTTTGAATTTCAAGACCTCAAATTTTTCCCAAAATTTTCTTTTTTCTCTCCTCCTGCCTCCTCAAATTCTAACATCATGTCAGGATCGAGAGATCTCTTGAGCAGTAATAGAGGCTGTTCCAGTAATGGAACTCCTGGGCCAACAAAAGCTGTGTTTTTTATCGGGGGGAGGAGGGAGGAGGGAGTGATAAATTATTTTAGCAAGAATGTAAGTTTAGAAGTACAAAAAATCTTGCTCAATTTGGAGCTTTGGAAGCTTTATTTACATAAACACAGATCAGGAGAAAATATCAAATTTCGTGTTATAGGGTCAATTTTTTAATAATTTCGGGGAAAGCCCCCGTCCCCCTGACGCCCCCCCTTCATACTCCTTGGGGGTCACTCACCAGCGGAACCAGTCCAGCACTGTTACCATGACTACTAAATAGCCACGGATCACCCATGGGTGGTGTTGCAAGGACTTATCACCCCAGAGCAGTATTAGAGAAAATGTTTCTCTCGGTAAATCCCTCTGTAAAATTGATAAATGATAAAGCAACAGCACAAATCAAAATCAATTGGGTATGAACCATAGCGGAATGAACAGATTAATATGAGCAACCTTGATACACAATACAATTTTTTTTTGTGACTTCGATATTTTGTCAAGCTTTGAAGTAGAAATTAATTTGGTATGTTGTTTTTTTTTTAGGATGTAACTGCAGCCAAAATTAAAAGAGAAAATAGCAAATCAGGTGCCTCACCATCTGTCCCGAGGAAGAAAGTGAAATCAAGTCACCTTGATGACAGCACTTACAGTGGGTTAGAAACAAGTAGTATTTTAAATCACGTCGGCTCTCCCAAGAAAACTCCCGGATCAAATCTTTTAGACAGACCGACAAATATAATCAGACCTGTGAGTATTTCTTTTACTATTTTTTTCCTTCTGCTGAGGCACCTCTGTACTCACATATCAAGATTCAGTATCTCTGCCATTTCAGTACTTGCCTCTTTGTAGTTGGTTTAGTTATCAAAAACTATGATCATTAAGGAATGAATGATGATGTGTTGATTTTCCTTTTCCGTTGTTTTGAAAAATATTAGAAAACGCTAGGGTAGAAGGTTAGATCCGGGATGAAAAAACATTTTCGTCAATTTCTATAATCTGGGGGTCATCGGAGGTCATCGGTCATCGGTCATCGGTCATCTGAGAATCGGACGCATACAGTAGTAGCTTGTCTCACAAGCTTAAGTGCGCTTAGGCAGGTGAGGACCTTTGCATCATTCACATCCCTTTATTGCGCAGTGAGCTAAAAGTCATCCTTCACCCACTGAGTTAACTCTCATGGGTAAGACAAGGTTCAATCTCACTTTTTTATGGTGAAATTTAGCTTCTTTAAATACTGAAGACATACTCGACTCGGCTTCTCATATGGCCTGTCCAATCCCGGGCGAATCATCTAGGTTGACTCCAACCGGATTTGTAGAGTACTTGACTTTACCATTTCAAAGTGAAGATGACACATAGGTCAGTGTAAGTGGCAGGTGATGGGGTTTTCCAATAAGAAAATACCTTGTTGGGTTTGTATCGTACTAGGTTTTCAAAGGAATGAGTATGATGGTGCTGAAGTGACACTAAATAACATCTACTCCTAGTTCTGTTTTTTCCCAGTTAATTATTATTTGTACTCTATCTCCAGGACACACCTCCTCTAGATGTGGAAAATATATCACAAACTCTAAGAGAAAAGAATGTCCTTCCCTCAGACCTGAAGTTTGGTTTCCTCGGTTTGGGTATAATGGGTTCTGGGATGGTCAAAAACCTTTTAAATTCTGGTCACTCAGTCATCGTATGGAACAGGACTCCAGACAAGGTGAGTCGAAAGTTTTCAATTGTATACATTCATTTTTTAATGGGTCAGCTGCGCTGGTCACAGAATGGTATTTTGATGCTTGATTCTTGTAGATTAGCTAAAAATAAGAAGATCTGACGGTACAGCAATTTTCTACGTTCAACACTTACCAAGATATAGCGCTTTGAAAAATTTGGTTTATAACATCATCCAACGCGGTAGTGATATCCTTGGTTTCTTCCTCCTTGCTTTCATCCGAGTTACATGTTGAGTAACCAGTGCAAGTGTATGTTTCCCTAACTGATGAAAGCAAGGTGGAAGGAACTAAGGGTGTCACTACCGCGGTAGATGATGTCATGAACCGAGTTTTTCAAAGCAGGGTATCTCGGCTAATATTAAACGGAGAAAGTTGCTGTTTGGACGGATCTAAACATTTTCAGCTGATCGATCAAAAGCAAGTATCAAAACGAGATTCTGAGTCCAGCGCAACCGACCCTTTCTTATTGTCAGCTACTGCTTGTATCTCCCTTTTGCATAGACATTGGAAAATTTTGCCGCAAAATTTTTAAAATGTGCTTAGAAATCTGAAAACCAGACAGAAGCACCGATCATAACCCCCTGATTACGAAAATATAAAGCAAAATAATGTAAAATTGGCCATTTTCCGGATTTATCGCGCGGATCCTGCGAAATCATCCAAATTTATCCGCAAAATCTGTACATTTTGGTGAAATTTACGTATGTATGCATGTAAGACAAAATTTGCCGCGCTTTTTTTCAAAATAAGAAATTACGGAGTTGTTTCTGAGCATTGGTCGTCATTGGCTACCAGCTATCAACTTTCGCCAATGGCATCAAAATACTGATGAAAGAAATGGCGGCAACTGGGCCATAAATATGACCTCCAATAATTTTAACATGTAATCATGTTAAAGCTTTATTTTAAGCTGTCAAACGCAAAAAGCGCTACAAAAATAACTGCAAAATCAGCATAAATAACAGCGAAATTCGGGGGAAATAACTGCAAAATCGGGGAAAAGTAAAAGCGAAATTTTCCAATGTCTACTTTTGCATACTCTCAATTTTTGTCAAGACATTAAGAAGATATTTTTCCGGCAGTAGTCACAGTTAAGTAATCTTGTGAATAGTCTGCAAGTAACTTAGTAGTGAAATCGTTTTTTCTATACCTTTCTCCCTCTTTCCTGATGTATTGCTGCAAGAAGTCAAGTTTCACTTCTGTTGTTAACTTTATCGGCCATACTTTATCAAATTTCGTGAAACTTTTTCTTACCGATTCTTCTAAAATTGTTGTTGATACTTCACTACACCTGTCTCGAGCGACCGCTCATCGTCAGGTGATTAAAAAAATGTATAAAAACTAAACTTATGGTGCGTTTTCGCGATTGCGAGTAGTTTCGTAACTGCGCTCGCGGATACGAAACTACTCGCGATCGCGAAAACACACTATAATTTTAGTTTTTATACATTTTTTTAATCACCTGACGATGAGCGGTTGCTGGAAACAGCTGTAGTGAAGTATCAACAACAATTTTAGAAAAATCGGCAAGAAAAAGTTTTACGAAATTTGATTGCTGAAGTAAAGTTTCTTCATGTTGATGGTGAAGCTAAAAAAAAATCCTACCTTGACTGTGGTGTCTCAAAATCTCTGTCCATTTTTGAGTTTCCAACCTGAGTGCAACTAACCCCTGTTGAGGAGCATGTGCACGCAGAATCTAGTATGGTAATAAAAGGGTTAAGTTCTTGCTTTCCAGTAACCTTTCAGTGGATTTACAAAGCAGTCATCAGCGCAGGTAAAGAAAACCATTAAGCTTGAAACCAATCGCTCACTCTTTTTCAACCTGTGCATCAGCTACCAAAATCCATAACGTGAAAATAAGCTTGCGACTGAAATACTTATCTGCGTTGATTAAAAATTGTACATTGTAATGACCGATAAATCACCGCCTTATTAATTAGATGGTAATGAGGAGTTGCCACAGGGAGTAATCATAAAAAAATTACCTTAATACTGAAAATTCCATCCAAAAATTTTTTTTCTTTTTTGAAATTGATTACAATCCTTGAAGTGTGAAAAGAAGGAAGGGAATGTAATCTTCTATGTAAAAATTTCAACCATTTTCCTTTCGCTTGCAGTGTGCAGATTTTGTAAAAGCAGGAGCCGAACAAGGAATGACTCCGTCAGATGTGGTACAAGTAGCTGATATTACATTTTCTTGTGTCGCTGATCCACAGGCAGCCAAAGATGTGAGTAGTCAAATGTTCACTATTTAGTTCACTATTCACTGTTGTGCTCAGAAAGGATTTTTTTCTTAAAAATTTCTCAAGTTGTTGCAAAGGAATGAAAATCATGGTGAGTGGTTTAAAATTCTCATCAATCTCGGTTGTTAAAATTTTTGTGGGGAAGGATCTGTAGACCCTAGGGCTGTTCTATCGGTTGTCGATAAGCTACCGAAATAGTTCCGCCAAGAAAAAGTTACGAGAAGAGCGCTCTTACTGATAGCGATCTGAGTTTTCGGAGCTGACGAAAATAAGCTGTTACCATTTGTACATCTATTTTACGTGCCGCCGCGCCAGGCAATCTGACAAACCGACACACAGGGCAACAATGCATTGAGTGGGAGCTCTCAAAACTCCGATAAGGCGGGCTGTTAACGATATCATCGCCACTGTCGGTACTGCCGCCAGTTTTGGTAAGAGACGATACCGATAGCGTTCCGGCAAGAATTCGTTTGAACACCCCTAATAGACCCCTCTTTGCTTCTGGTTGTGAATGTGGTTTTTTTGAAATGTGAGAACTCTGTAAATATCTCCATGTCTTTACAACTCCAGCAGAAAGTTCGAAAGATTCTCAGCCGCTAGGCATAAATTTCTTTATTTCAACATGGCAGCTACAAGTCTGACGATAGTGCAGATATTTAAAAACCTATCTGGAATTATTGGAGAAAAAAGTACCGCAAATTTACAAAATTTCTGCATTTTTGTGTATCCCTCTCCAGAGATGAGTTCTGTTGGACCCTGAACTCCCATAAGAGCTAATGTAAAAATGTGAGAAGAGTAACTACTGCTGTAACCTTGCGAAGGATCTTCACAACTAACTTATGTCGGCCACCAAAGAAAATTCATACTAAGACGAATATATGTCTTAATTGAGTCCTGTCCTCTTTCACAATTACATAGTGATGAAAATAGGTATTGTTATTTCTCAATAAATATAGCCGCTGTACAGTTTATAGTTCAAATATCAACTCAACTTAACCTAAGAACAAAGGATTGATTAGTCAAGGTAAGGGGGATCGGCAGTAACAACAGTTTGACCTATAAAACTTGTCGCAGCCCTTCCCTAGGTTGAAGTAGTTGTTCGAAGAATCTTGCAACAAACAATTGCGCTCATGTGTGCAAAAAAGTACTAAATGATTATTTAAAGGGAGGTCCTTAATTTTTTTCATTGATTGGAAAGAAATAGCCAAATAGAAAATTAAATTTTTCCTAAGGAGCACAGTAGTTACCATGACTGAACATGATTTGCTCCCATGATAATATAGTAGACTTATGTAGCCTTTGCTGATAGTTTGAAATTCAAACAAGTGAAGTATGTATTTTATATGTATTTATGTATTTTTAATTTTTCCTGCTTTGGAGCTTCATTATTGTGTATTCGCTATCAGAAACCAATTGATAATCCAAGACATTCATCTGTTTTTCGCTTATAATTGCTTATTTAACTCTTTGTAATCTTACAGATGGTTTTTGGAAACTGTGGTGTTCTACCAGAAATGAACCCAAACAAAGGATATGTCGAAATGACCGGTATTGATGCTGAGACCTCACAAGATATCGCAGATGCCATTCTAGGAAAAGGAGGGCGGTATTTAGAAGCACAGGTTCAAGGAAGCAAAGTTCAAGCAGAAGAAGGCACTCTTGTCCTCCTTGCAGCCGGAGATAGGCAGCTTTTCGATGAATGTCAGTCGTGTTTTATTGCTATGAGCAAGAACTCATTTTACCTAGGTAAGTGTTGAGCTCACCTGCCTGCGAGACGAGGCTTTTACTCTTAGATATTTTCCTCCTAGGGAGGAAATAGAAGAATAGTGGAAATGGTCATTTTCCCTGGTACAGTTATATCTTCAAGAATTAGATGAAGCCAGGACTGGTGGTTTCATTAGACGTAGGCAAAGTTTCTAGTAATTTCCATTTTGGCATTAATGGAGAATTTGCATGCAAATTTTTATTGCTTCATCTGAAGGTGCTTTAAGAGCTGTTTTACAGTATTTTTTATAATTTTTTTCTGATATGGGAAATAGTATAAAAATAGATTTAAAAGTAAGAAAATGCTTTGCCTAGTGACGTCATCTGGCAGCATTTCTCATTTAAACACTCGTATTTTAGCAGATTAGATCATTTTGTTATATCTTCTCCAATAATTGTTCAATTCATGAACCAAGGGTATCCTCGTGTTCAGTTCACGCAGTAGTTTCCATTTAAATACGAAATTCATAAAATTTCATACACCTGCAAATTCTCTATTGGTCTTTTCGGGGAAAAATACGATTTTAAACCAAAACATCACAAATTCGCTTGAGTTCTTTAAAAATTTTCTCACAATCATATGATTTCGACGTAAAATCGAGGTCTAAACTTAAATATCAGAATTTCATCACAAAATTGACCTTACCATTTAAAATCATTAACATCAGCCCAAATTTTGGCAAAAATGTTTTTTTTTACCAAGTGGTGTTCATTTTCGTCTGGGGAGCAGAACATTTCAAACTTTAATTTTTTTGACGCACCCTAGTGTCCCTCTTTGTGTCAGTCGATGCTGAAAGTTCCTTTTTCTATTTTTCTTATTTCTTTTAATTATCAAGCATACCCTTATTTCAGAGTATTTCAGTTGTAAAAACTTAATTTGGAAGGAGAAACAGTTAAATTTTTTCCTATTTCATCACTACATTCATAATTTATATGAGCTTTAACTAATCTGAAACTTATGGGGTAGTTTTCTCAAAAGAGGATGTTCATGGTAAGAGCCTTCTTGCACCTAGCCCCGCAATTGCTCATCAAAGTTTGTAATTTTTTTCATGGTATGCGGGAAACAAATAAGTTTAATCACAAAGTCAGTCTGTGTGTCCATATGTTGATTAAAATATTTGCCTTGTCTCTAGGTGAAGTGGGGAATGCTTCAAAAATGAACCTTGTTCTGCAGATGATGGCAGGAGTTACAATTGCTGGCCTTGCCGAGGGAATGGCACTCGCAGACCGAGCAGGGTTACAACAGAAGGATGTTCTAGAAGTAATGCAACTTACAGCCTTAGCGTGTCCAACAATTTTGGAGAAAGGCAAAGGTAAGGCGGATTTTCCAAACCTCTTGTCCAATTCAACATGAACTCTTAAATCTTTTTGCCCTGTAATTTTCCAGCTGGTTGCCCGACGTTTTACCTACATGCATTATATCCTCGTGATATATGACCCACAACATCAGACCTACACACATTTGACCTAAAAATTTAGACCTACAATTTTTTTTTGCCTACAAAATTTTATGCCTACAAATTTTTTGACCTACACGGTGTTTGGGCTCCATGTCCATGTACGATTACGGGAAAATTTGGCAACTGTTAGTGCGGATCATGATGCTGATTGCGATTAGGTGAAGTGGGGTGTAGGAAGGTGCAAGTACAAAGTTCAGATCAGGTGATGTTTGGCTCTTAGCTCATTGTTGACAGCAGTGGTTTGCGAGCTGTTGGCCGGGACTAATCTGCGGACCAATAGCTCCTCTGAGGGTTTGCGTCTGCGCTTTATGAATCTGGTCAGAAGGAGTCATCCCTCTTATTATTTTTTAAGAGAGATGCAAAAAGAATACCGCATCATCGAGGTGATGATCCATGAAATCAAACTAGGCAGACCAGTGAAACATCTCCATTGGAAGAATTATATGTACATAGGTGAACACGAGGCTCTTCACTTTATCCGGCCAATATGAAAGGTTCACTGAGAAGGACGAGGTACTTTCAGAAGAAAATCAAGATGAGGAGAAAAAAGAAGAGCCAAAAATCTTTAAATATCTGCGTGCCTTTGGTAATAACCTGGAGTTGTGAGGTAAGTTTTCACAAGGAGTTCCTTTTTGGGGTGATGCTTTTTTTTTGGTAGGTTGTGTTCGCAGATCGAGGCAGGGAGGTAGAACTGTATGTAGGTCAAAAATGCACCGGCAAAATGTCAAAATTTTTGTAGGTTAAAAAGTTTGCAGGCCAAAAAAAATGGAGGTCTAAATTTTTAGGTCAAATGTATGTAGGTCTGATGTTGTGTGTCAAATTCCACGTAGGTGTAATGCGTACAGGCCTCTCTGCTGTAGCCTCTCAGACGTAAATTGACTAGAACTTGAAACATTTTACAAATAATTGAAGCACTTAGAATTAGGGTTTGATATTTTGCAGCAGCTCTCAAAAAGCTTTAATTCCCTGTGTCTTCCCCATTCTATTCAGATCTCTGTATTGTTCTGTAGAAAAAATAGATTCATCACCTAATTTCATAAAATAAATTTACAAAAATCGGAGCAAATTATTCTCTCCAGTGGGGTGATATGAGCAAATCTTCTCGAACTGTGCCTATAAATACTATTTCATAATCATAATGGGTGGCAGTCGAAATGATGTATAAAATAAAGTTAAGAATCATTCATGGGGCAGTAAAGATTAATGCTTAAGCTATTTTTAAGAGGATTAAGTCACTCATTTAGCAAGTGAAGAGCCACAAACTGATTTCCGCCATGAAATGGTAGATCTGATCAGCTTCATAAAATCGCAACCCTGAAGGTATGGTTTTTTCATGTTTTTCTCAAGTTTTATGGTTTTAAATGAGATAGGAATGCTTTCAGGTGCATCAAGTTTGAATGAAGGAACAAAGTTACAAGTCTCATTCCTCCCAAAGACCTAATATTGAGGACTAAGTTTAATGACTTCTTACAAGTTCGAAATATTTTTTCACAACTTATGTTTTAACAGGAAAAAATCTACATCTAGGTAATCGAATTCAAAGCTACTCCCAATACATTTTCCCCCAAAATGTAATGTGGTGCATATCTGTTAAACTTGGTCTTATGTAGATACAGATCCTATGTATCTCTGAGGAAATAATTTTCTTGGATTGATACAATTTTGACCAAAGTCCAATTTTTGAGAAAAAAAGGAAACATTGTGTCATTTAGTATGCTTCTAATCTTTTGTGCCCAAAAAATGTATGGGCCTGAAGTACTCTTTTTGAGACAAGGCTCCAAAGAGTTAATGTAAACTGAATTATACAATTTTCCCTGTTTTTCTTTAGACTTTGATTTTGGTGCTTTGGCCTGTAATATAAATATCAGTTCACTGCGAGCAAGATAAGCATTTGAGCTTATTTTAACTCAATCAATGACATCTCCTTCTCTGTTGTTTCAGCGATAATTGATGGCGGTTTCTCCACACACTTGCCGTTACAACATCTGCAAAAAGATCTAAAGCTGTCGCTTAACCTCGGTGACCAGTTGGAGCAGCCACTTCCCCTAACCGCATCAGCAAATGAAGTCTTCAAGCATGCAAAACGCCTTGGTTACGGGGAGCATGATGCGTCTGCTGTTTACATTCGCGCTCGTTTTTAATCCTCACCAAATTATAATTTGTATGTCAAAATCAGCTTCGTTATGGATGACTCAATTTTGACTCGTTCGTACTTTAATTGTACCTTGACCTATTCTGTATGTGAGTTTTATCTTTCTTCAGCTGTAAATATCCTTCCAATTTTTTTTTTTGTATTCTCTATGGGGGGCCAATTATCTAAATTCATTCTCAAAAATTTTCTTTGGTAGAGGAAAAAATATTTCTAAGTAAGAGGAAAGTATGTATTTTACACACAATAGCTCCTATTTTTTTTATTCTGAGACCTCTACTTTTTTCCTGTACCCTAAAATTTGAGAAAATTAGTTTCATTTCAACAAAAATTAGAACCGGTGAAATTACGATCAATGATACTTTTAATTTCTCACAAATAACCTGCACCAAAGTGAAGGACAGAAATCTTCATCTGCCTATTTTTGAGTGTTGAGTAATGAAGCCTAACAAATAAAATGCCGGCAATTTCGACCATAGGCAGTTAAGAAATGCTCCTCACATTACTCAACTCGTTAGGTGTCAATTTGTATGATGTGTTAATATTTATATATATTTTTTGTATCTTTACTGTTAACTGTAGTGTTAGTTTTGCCCCAGAAATGGAAGAAAGGTCGACAATGAGTATTTATTTCCTGGACATTATTTCACACTCTTAAATTGTTCATTCTCCCCTCACTTTATTTATTTTCATTTTTTTCTCAGTGTACCTTTGATGTTGACACTATTTGACCAGTAGTAGCAACTCTACTTTCATGGGGGTAATTTTCATAGTACCCCACTGCGATGTTAATAAAGGATCCATAACTATTCTTGTATGGTCATTTTCCTTGAAAGCGCACATTGTCTGGCAAGTTTCTCTTAATGTTCATATGCATATTAAAGTGTTACTCACTTTTGGGCAAGATTTCTTCGAGAGGCCTCGTATGAGTGGTGGGGAATATAAAACCACAGCTACCCAAGTTTCAAAAAGAGAAACATTATATACCATAAATGACAACAATGCAATTGAATCTTATCGATAAAACTGATTTTGATAACTTCATTGAGGCTCAGGGAACTCCTCGTCACAAGATCACCCAAACAACAAAGTAAATTCTTTTTTATCTCAGAAAAATTGCCCATGTGAATATTTTTTCAATTCAATTTTTTACTCTAATTCAATTGGCTCCAGGAAAAAGGTCCAAGTCTGCCGTCAATATGAATCAAACATAAAAAATTGATGAATTGCATAACAGGAAGTGGAGTATTTTTCATGTCCTTTGTTCTCTCGGTAATTTATGATTTGGACTACATTTTGTAGTTTTGAACTACAATTTCTGGCTTTGTTCAGAAACATTGTATGTACCATTAGTTTCCCCTTGTACTTAAGTGTTTTAATGGATGAGCCAGAAATTGTAGTGCCTAATTGCAAAATTAAGTACATTTAATCCTGGCTCTCATATGAAGTTGACACTGTTGTTTGATCGCTTTCCAGTGTTTGATGAAGAACGAAGGTGAATAAGTGAAAAAATCTGAGCTGAACCAATGATCACTCTTTTTAGCGCTTTTTATTTTCCCTTCTCTTCTCCAGACCGAACCCATCGATCGATCTCATTTGCACTTAATTTTTGCAATACTTGTCCGGGAATTCTGCTTCTCCAACTCATCTCTCATTTCAAATGTCTCTCATATCAGCTCTGGACCGCGGCCTTTACTCTCTCTCCCATATATTCATAGCCAAAATCATCCTCAGAAACTTGAAAATAGACTGTAAAAAGAGGTTTTGTGGATTATAATTTGGAAAATTATTGTAAATGGTGACTGGATCAATGATTTCAAGTTTGTAGAATGTGACTGTAATTAAATTGTTAGAGTTGGGAGTTACTCAAGTTACACCAACTCCTATAACATCATTTATTAGAAAATTTCTCATGTGCTGTATTATATCACCGCTTTTTTCAATTCTTCTAGACAATGTAGGAACTTAATGTTTAAAAGTTTTTTAATTTATTCCATTCACATTTCAATTTTTGTAATTTTCCTCATTTTATTTTATTTTTTCTACTCTACAACTTTCAGTGATGATTATGGCATTCATGTCGGAAGGTTATGTATGTATATTTTGCTTCCCTGTAACTGTTCAAAGCAATCCAGTGATCCTGAGCCCTACAAAATGCTTTATTTGTTTGAAAAAGTAAATTTCTGGTTGCTATTATTTTTTCCCCGTTCAAAATTAAGATTCATTTCCTCAAAAAGATGGCCCAAGAGTCTGCACTTAATTTGAATATCCTTCATCAATTTTAAAGCCGTTGGAAATCAACGAGTCAGTGTATTCTCTCAGTGTATTGATTCATTTTTGCTGAGGGATGAACAGAAAATCAGCATAATATTCAAGCTACGGATATATAAATCATCAGAAAAATTGTGTGATATCACCTCCTAAGTTAACATTTTAAACTCATTTTTGCTTTTCTTTAAGAAAGTTCATTTGATGCCTGCTAAGTGCAGTTAAATAACTAAAATTTGATCTTTTGAACAGGGAAAAATGTATTAAAATACTGAATATATTCCTAAATTGGTACGTAGAACATCAAATTTTAATGCATTCTGCCTGAAAAGTGCTGTATTCCCACTTCTCTGAAACATTTTACCCAGCTGTATCTTTGTGACTTTATTTTGTTTGTCAAGCATAACCCTGTATTTGTTATTCAAAACTCAAAACCACTCACTTTATAAAAAATCCTTGTCACTTCTTCTCTCACTTTGTATTTATAAATAATTTTAGATAAAAAAGTGAAAATTTATCACATAGATTAAGAAGGTGGGTTTGAAAAACGAAAACTCCTCAGCTTCTCAGAATGAAACTGACCAGATAAATGTTGAAAGTTGCTTCCTGTAATTTAGTCGGATTTTCTTTTTCTTTTTTTTTTACGACCATTATTACGGATAAATTTATCAGACATATTATTTCTTCTGTGTGATTGTGCCAGTGATTGTGTGAGATATTGCAAAATTTTTCCAAAAATGGCATTTACACCAGTATAATTAGTCTTTTTAGTGTTTAACAGATTTTTACAAATTAACTCTGTGATCTTACTTTGCCTTATCCTCGCATTAAAGTTCGACGTTAGTTTTGCAGTTGGACTCTAATCCTTTTCCTCTAACTGTAAAACTGCTCCAACAACAGTCAAACTCAAAGACAGAAATGAGGTTTAAGGATTATCATGTCTATCTAATCATATAACACAGAATCATGATCAGCCATTGTAGGAATGATGTTAAGAATCCTCACTCTGCTCTTAAGATTCATTCCTAAAGGATTACAAATACATGTTTGATGAATATATTTATTAAATTGTTGCTTCCCAGGCAAAGGAACGTAACATCCATTGCAATGTTGCAAAATTTCGACTCTCCAGCTGGTGGGCGCTTTTCATCAAAACCATCGCCGATTTTTCTGCTGATTGAAAATCAGTGGAACTTAGGACCGGAATTTCACAGTCATAATTCAACTAAATATTAAATTGTTTAAGTCAATTTTGCAACCTCGGAATGATGGTACGTTTCTCTGTCTAGGAAACAATGAAATGTAGACGTAATGGTTCAAAAAAAAGGGGGGGGGGGGAGAATCAGCTATTACAGAAGCATTGAGATAGTATGTAGTGGCCTACATGTCACTAGGCTAACATGATTTTCAAATGCGCGTGGCCTATGTTGATATTTTGTATTTCTTGGTTCAGAATTTTTTATGAATTGACATATTTTTATCTATTTTTGTAAGTAAAATAGACATTACTGCCAGCAGATCGAAATAAATAATTTTTCAAAAAGTATCTTGAAATCATTGTTATAAGTGAAATGTATAGCTCAAACAGTCTAGTTCTAAAGAGTTCATTTTTTTGTTAGACCAAGAAACAGAATTTTCTTTTAGAATGCTCGTAGAAGCTATATTTTTTTTAAGCAGTTTTTTAGAAAAAAATTTGACGCTGAAAGAGTCCTGTTTTTGGTAGAAGAGCAGCGACTGTAACTAAAGTTTGAAATCTCATTGCTTTTCAAAATCTTTGATTCACTCCTCTTGAAATCCTTCAATGATTTGATATCAAATGCAGTGTCCATAAAAATGTGCAATGAAAGTCAGCTTTCCAAGGTACTCTAATCATTGACTTATAACACAATCTAGACTGCGCACCGGGCCCGACTTTAGGCGGGGGAGGTAAGACAGCTAGGGGGGTAAATTAGGGTAAAGACGAGCCTTCAGCTTAGTTGATACAGCCGGATATACAAAGCGTACCAGGCAACGGCACAGGCAAGACTTGGCATTTCCATTGTCTCGGTACATATTGCAATCCGAGTTGCCTTTCGTCTTGCTGAAATTTCCTAATGCGCGGTCTAGATTGTATTATACATCAATGACTCTGATCTACAGATCATCCCTGACATTTGAACTCGTGTACTTCAATTACATCAACGTCAAAAAACAAATTACTTAAAAATCAGACTCTGGTCGATCTATTTCTTTCATGTGTTTGAACCACAAAGATGTACTTTTAAGATATTTATATAGCTAGAAACAATTTGAACGGTTTCCTTTTGTTCAGTTGTATGTTTTTTATCAGTTTGTCAGAGTGCAAAAGCTACACTGTGTAATTTTATTGAACTGTTGTAATTTTATCGAAAACCTAGCTCTGGTCAATGGTTAAGATTAAGTATTTTTTTCTCTTTTTTTTTTCAACCTAATTAAATCAACAGGCGTTGAGCTGGAGAGACTTGTAAACAAAGTTGTTACATGTGTGTGCCCGTGCATAAAAGCAACCCTGTTTTTCATGTTCAATAAATTTTTCAAAAATAAAAAATGACTAAAATTTATTGCTGATTTAAATCAAAATTACATATTGGTGACCATCTGCAAAAAGAAGGACCAAAGTAAAAACCTTTTTAGTGCTGTATTTTTTCAAATCAAGTAGCAAAAATCCTATTTTGAGATGACAACAGGAAAATATTTCTAGTGTTGGGAAAAATCGATTGTGAGCTGAAGTGTTCACAAAAAAATCTTCTTTTTTTTGTGTCTACCAGTGGGTGTGCATTTGAAAATTTGAAATAGATTTTTATGGAAACTATACTTCATTTACCATCAACTTCAGCCTGTCATTATTATGGACATTTATACGGTTTGGTTTGTCATTTTCGGGCAATTTTCATCCCAAAATCTTCGTACAGAACTCCTCTATGCTTTGGCATGAATGACTCATTCTTAAGTTTTTGTGGACGAAGGTTCCTTTTCAAGTGGACGGTTACATTCCCTCTTATAATGAAGTTTAATCGAAGGTGTATGAAATCAAGCAAACACGCATTTATCGATGGTGAAATCAGATAAACACACATATGCAAGGTTTGCAACTTGAGAAAATTTCTATAATGTTAAATTTTACTAAAGGGAGACCAGTTATTTTTAATTTGTGAAACCCGATTGATTCATCTGAAACTTTTTGATGATGTATTCTCAGAAAATATGATGTTCAAATTTTGGTTGATCTCTTTTGAGGAAAAGAAGTGAAAGCAAAAATAAGTAAATTTCACAACGGAGTTATGCGTTTGTCTAGTTTTGCAATCATTTAAGCTCACGCCACACTGAGTTAACGCACAGACACACACACAGAGACAGACACAGGACAGACAGAGGATCTGCTATCCTGATTCATCTACTTATTTACAACGCCAGACAGAGAACAACTAATCTGCCGTCGAACTTAAAAAGTGCATAAACTTAGACTCTACCCATGGCCCATGGCTACTTTCAAAGCTACTACATGTGACAGCAACTAACAGTAACCTCTCTCTTGGTAGTTCAACCTTTGAGAGAAGATCAATTCTCATTTTATGTGAATCTCATAGACGTCAAAAGTCACCTTGCTCTTTGGTTTTTAGAATTATGGTCAGTTAATAATAGGACCAATCAGGTAAAATCATCGCAATTTTTATAAATCCAAAACAGTCTCTTTTGCTAGAGCATGTGGACTGCATTTTGTAATTTGGAACTACAATTTCCTCATACATTAAGACACCTATCTGCAGGGGGCACATTATTTTGCATCCATAATGAGCTAGAAATCATAGGTTCTAATTGCTAAATGTAGTCCGTAATATTTCAGGATGATTCAAGTACCTATCTCTAATATCTACATTAATGTCAGAGTTCAGAGGGAAAAAATGTTCACAACTTGTGTCACCTCAGAAGGCTGGATACCTGATGAACATCGTAATGAATTGTGAAGGATTATGCTTGAGTTTGATTGGTTGCTTTGGAATACTCTTCTTTCACAACCAGGAACTGCTTATTTTGAGTTCTCATGTTTTGACTTGTGGAACGGGCAAACACCAGGGCAAAAATAAAGTACCAGGTACTGAATCACAAAATTTAGGTGATGTCTTATAAAGTAAGCAACCAGCAATCGGAATTTCAAAGACAATTTTGAATTTCTCCTCAAAACTCTTTTCTGAAACTCAAACTTTTTTGTCTCTCTCGCACACTCTATGGCGTCCCGGCAGGCGATTTTATGTCTCTCTCGCACACATTAGCGGGCTCCCTGGCTGTTTTCTGTCTCTTTCGCACCAATAACGGGCTCCCTGGCTGTTCTCTGTCTCTCTCGCACACATTAGGGGGCTCCCTGGCTCCCTCTTGCACACCTTGGCGTCCCGCCAGGCGATTTTCTATCTCTCTCGCACTCCTAAGCGGGCTCCCCGGCTTTTTTCTGTCACTCTCGCACATCTTAGCGGGCCTCCTGGCTGTTCTCTGTCTCCCTGCTCGCACACATTACCGGGCTGCGTGGCAGTTTTCTGTCTCTCTCGCACTCATTAGCGGGCTCCCTGGCTGTTTTCTGTCTCTCTCGCACCCATATCGTCCATCTCTCTGCACTTATTGATCAGATGCGGCATTATGCGGCTCATCAAAGGGACATCTGGCGCACACACACACTCGCAAAAATACAGGCTGGGCCTCGTAATTTGGTCCGCGGTGGTAGTGCGCTGGGGAATTCCGTTGCCGGCAAAAGCACCCAAGTGCTTTCCGAGCGTGAGCCCGGGAAAGAACGGCCGTAAACGGGGAGCGGGGCTCATCTTGGATTGGTCGATACGCTGTTTTGTCGCCTCTCTCTCTCGCACTCATTGGGCAGATGCGGCACGTCAAAGGAGACCACTCGGCTTTGCCAAGCCGCTTCCGAATCGTCCATCTCTCTCGCACTCATTGATCAGATGCAACATTCCGCGGCTCGTCAAAGGGACACCTGGCGCACACACACACTCGCAAAAATACAGGCTGGGCCTCGTAATTTGGTCCGCGGTGGTAGTGCGCTGGGGAATTCCGTTGCCGGCAAAAGCACCCAAGTGCTTTCCGAGAGTGAGCCCGGGATAGGACGGCCGTAAACGGGGAGCAGGGCTCATCTTGGATTGGTCGATACGCTGTTTTGTCGCCTCTCTCTCTCGCACTCATTGGGCAGATGCGGCACGTCAAAGGAGACCACTCGGCTTTGCCAAGCCGCTTCGGAATCGTCCATCTCTCTCGCACTCTTTGATCAGATACAACATTCCGCGGCTCGTCAAAGGGACACCGGGCGCACACACACACTCGCAAAAAAACAGACTGGGCCTCGTAATTTCGTCCGCGGTGGTAGTGCGCTGGGGAATTCCGTTGCCGGCAAAAGCACCCATGTGCTTTCCGAGCGTGAGCCCGGGAAAGGACGGCCGTAAACGGGGAGCAGGGCTCATCTTGGATTGGTCGATACGCTGTTTTGTCGCCTCTCTCTCTCACACTCATTGGGCAGATGCGGCACGTCAAAGGAGACCACTCGGCTTTGCCAAGCCGCTTCGGAATCGTCCATCTCTCTCGCACTCATTGATCAGATGCAACATTCCGCGGCTCGTCAAAGGGACACCTGGCGCACACACACACTCGCAAAAAAACAGGCTGGGCCTCGTAATTTGGTCCGCGGTGGTAGTGCGGTGGGGAATTCTGTTGCCGGCAAAAGCACCCATGTGCTTTCCGAGCGTGAGCCCGGGAAAGGACGGCCGTAAACGGGGAGCAGGGCTCATCTTGGATTGGTCGATACGCTGTTTTGTCGTCTCTCTCTCTCACACTCATTGGGCAGATGCGGCACGTCAAAGGAGACCACTCGGCTTTGCCAAGCCGCTTCGGAATCGTCCATCTCTCTCGCACTCATTGATCAGATGCAACATTCCGCGGCTCGTCAACGGAACACCTGGCGCACACACACACTCGCAAAAATACAGGCTTTGCCTCCTAATTTGGTCCGCGGTGGTAGTGCGCTGGGGAATTCCGTTGCCGGCAGAAGCACCCAAGTGCTTTCCGAGCGTGAGCCCGGGAAAGAACGGCCGTAAACGGGGAGCGGGGTTCATCTTGGATTGGTCGATACGCTGTTTTGTCGCCTCTCTCTCTCGCACTCATTGGGCAGATGCGGCACGTCAAAGGAGACCACTCGGCTTTGCCAAGCCGCCTCGGAATCGTCCATCTCTCTCGCACTCATTGATCAGATGCAACATTCCGCGGCTCGTGAAAGGGACACCTGGCGCACACACACGCTCGCAAAAATACAGGCTGTGCCTCGTAATTTGGTCCGCGGTGGTAGTGCGCTGGGGAATTCCGTTGCCTGCAAAAGCACCCAAGTGCTTTCCAAGCGAGAGCCCGGGAAAGGACGGCCGTAAACGGGGAGCAGGGCTCATCTTGGATTGGTCGATACGCTGTTTTGTCGTCTCTCTCTCTCGCACTCATTGGGCAGATGCGGCACGTCAAAGGAGACCACTCGGCTTTGCCAAGCCGCCTCGGAATCGTCCATCTCTCTCGCACTCATTGATCAGATGCAACATTCCGCGGCTCGTCAAAGGGACACCTGGCGTACACACACAATCGCAAAAATACAGGCTGGGCCTCGTAATTTGGTCCGCGGTGGTAGTGCGCTGGGGAATTCCGTTGCCGGCAGAAGCACCCAAGTGCTTTCCGAGCGTGAGCCCGGGAAAGGACGGCCGTAAACGGGGAGCAGGGCTCATCTTGGATTGGTCGATACGCTGTTTTGTCTTTTCTCTCTCTCGCACTCATTGGGCAGATGCGGCACGTCAAAGGAGACCACTCGGCTTTGCCAAGCCGCCTCGGAATCGTCCATCTCTCTCGCACTCATTGATCAGATGCAACATTCCGCGGCTCGTCAAAGGGACACCTGGCGCCCACACACACTCGCAAAAATACAGGCTGGGCCTCGTAATTTGGTCCGCGGTGGCAGTGCGCTGGGGAATTTCGTTGCCGGCAAAAGCACCCAAGTGCTTTCCGAGCGTGAGCCCGGGAAAGGACGGCCGTAAACGGGGAGCAGGGCTCATCTTGGATTGGTCGATACGCTGTTTTGTCGTCTCTCTCTCTCGCACTCATTGGTCTCCTTTGACGTGCCGCATCTGCCCAATGAGTGCGAGAGCGAGAGGTGACAAAACAGCGTCTCGACCAATCCAAGATGAGCCCTGCTCTCCGTTTACGGCCGTTCTTTCCCGGGCTCACGCTCAAAAAACACTTGGGTGCTTGTGCCGGCAACGGAATTCCCCAGCGCACTACCACCCGCTCGGCGGTGACTCGGCTAGCGAGCCTAGCCTAGAGGCCCTAGCCTCGGCTACCGAGGCTCCCTGGCTGTTTTCCATTTCTCTCGCACACTTTAGCGGGCTCCCTGGCTGCTTTCTGTCCCCCTCGCACCCATTAGCGGGCTCCCTGGCTGTTTTCTGTCCCTCTCGCACACATAAGCGGGCTCCCTGGCTGTTTTCTGTTGCTCTCGCACACAAGCGGGCTCCCTTGCTGTTTTCTGTCCCTCTCGCACACATTTGCGGGCTCCCTGGCTGTTTTCTGTCTCTCTCGCACCCATTAGCAGGCTCCCTGGCTGTTTTCTGTCTCTCTCGCACACATAAGCGGGTTCCCTAGCTGTTTTATTTCTCTCGCACCAATTAGTGTGCCCCCTGCCTGCTTTCTGTCTCTCTCGTACATATTAGCGGGCTCCCTGGCAGATTTCTGTCCCTATTGCACACCTCGTCGTCCCGCCAGGCGATTATCTGTCCCTCTTGCACCCATTAGCGGGCACCCTGTCTGTTATCTGTGTCTCTCGCACCCATTAGCGGGCACCCTGGCTGTTTTCTCTCTCGCACACATTAGCGGGCTCCCTGGCTGTTTTCTGTCTCCCTCGCACACATTAGGGGGCTCCCTGCCTCCCTCTCGCACACCGCGGCGTTCCGCCAGCCGATTTTCTATCCCTCTCGCACACTTTAGCAGGCTCCCCGGCTGTTTTCTGTCTCTCTCGCACCCATTAGCGGGCTCTCTGGCTGTTTTCTGTCTCTCTCGCACCCATTAGCGGGCTCCCTGGCTTTTTTCTGTTTCTCGCACCCATTAGCGGGCTCCCTGGCTGTTTTCTGTCTCTCTCGCACCCATTCGCGGGCTCCTTGGCCTTTTTCTGTCCCTCTCGCACACATAAGCGGGCTCCCTTGCTGTTTTCTGTCTCTCTCGCGCACCTAAGCGGACTCCCTGGCTGTTTTCTGTCCCTCTCGCACACCTCGGCGTCCTGCCAGGCGATTTTCTATCTCTCTCGCACACTTTAGCAGGCTCATCGCCCTGGCTTTTTTCTGTCTATCTTTCACACAGAAGCGGGCTCCTTGGCTGTTTTCTGTCTCTCTCGCACCCATTATAGCGGGCTCCTTGTCTCCCTCTCGCACACTTCGTTGTCCCGTCAGGCGATTTTCTATCTCTCTCGCACAGATTAGCGGGCTCCCTGGCTGTTTCTCTCCCTGTCGCACACCTCGGCGTCCCGCCAGGCGATTTTCTATCTCTCTCGCTCACTTTAACAGGCTCCCTGGCTGTTTTCTGTCTCTCTCGCACACAGCGTGCTCCCTGGCTGTTTTCTGTCTCCCTCGGACCCATTAGCGGGCTCCCTGGCTTTTTCCTGTCTCTCTCGCACGCATTAGCGGGCTCCCTGGCTGTTTTCTCTCTCTTGCACCCATTCGCGGGCTCCTTGGCTGTTTTCTAGCTGTCTCTTTCGCACCCATTAGCGGGCTCCTTGCCTCCCTTTCGCACACTTCGTTGTCCCGCCAGGCGATTTTCTATCTCTCTCGCACATATTAGCGAGCTCCCTGGCTGTTTTCTGTCTCTCTCGCACACAATAGCAGGCTCCCTGGTTGTTTTCTGTCTCTCTCCCTCTCGCACATTTTAGCGGGCTCCCTGGCTGTTTTCTGTCCCTCTCGCACACCTCGGCGTTCTGCCAGGCGATTTTCTATCTCTCTCGTACACCTCGGCGTCCTGCCAGGCGATTTTCTATCTCTCTCGCACACTTTAGCAGGCTCCCTGGCTGTTTTCTGTCTTTTTCGCACATATAAGCGGGCTCCCTGGCTGTTTTCTGTCTCTCTCGCACCCCGCATTAGCGGGCTCCCTGGCTTTTTCCTGTCTCTCTCGCACACATTAGGTGGCTCTCTGGCTCCCTCTCGCACACCGCGGCGTTCCGCCAGGCGTCTTTCTCGCACACATTAGCGGGCTGCCTGGCTGTTTTCTGTCTCTCTCGCTCTGTCATTCGGCCACTAGGAAATTTTTTATCCATGTTTATGTTTTGAACCAATCGATATCGATACAATCACCGCTGTTTGTTGTATCGAATACGATATAATGCGCCATCCCCATCGATGTTCTTTCGATCCGCATTTCGCTTGGCCTGGCTGGCTGGCACTCTGGCAGTTCGCTTATCATCGTATCATCCACTACGCGACCTGCCCCTGGTCCCTGGTCCCTCCTGGACACATCGTAAACATTTCGTCATATTTATCAGAAATCATTCTTGCGTAAATGTATATACTTTTCAAAGCATGTTCGCACAGATTGTCCTTCACGTCTTTATATTTCCTCACTAATTACTTTATAGATGTGTCCAGTCAAAATCGCTATGTTAATCGTCTAAATTCTTAACCTTTTTCATGTGTTGCTAAAATTATGTGCTGACAGCGTTTTATCAGTCTCATTCATCCAAATTGGAAGTGCAATTTTCAACCGGTCGTCTTTGCTAATGGTTTTGACAGTGCATGTTATCAATTTTATGATCCTACCACGAGGTTAGTCAGAGCTCGTCAATGTCACCTCGCTTTCGCATTGCAGCAAGCAGCTAAGTCTCGAAGAAATATAGTCTGTCATCTAGTTCCGATGGCTTCTTGCACTGATCTCTCAGGGGCAGATGTATCCTCGCAAAGCGAAGTCGGGGCAGAGGGAGCTGCCCTGTACAGTATCTTATTGGGCCTGTGCGAAAATAATGTAAGTTTTTTCGAAAATGATCAATCTGAACCTGGTCAGAAGTTGCACCAATCTTCACTGCAGATGCAGGAGTGTCTCAAAGTTCTCTCCCCGAAAGTTGAGGAGCTGAGAACAATAGCACCACAGTTTGATTTTGATGAGAATACGCCTTACAATGGGTATCGCAGCTTTGTATCAACAATGGATATGTGCATAACCTATAGCTTAAAGCTGACACGTCAAGTCTCGACCAACAGGAGCTCATATTTTTTCCGCAAAGCTCACTATGTCAAGTAAGTGATCACTCAATTCGGTAACAAAGTTCCTCCACTCAGTGTGGTAAAGGAGTTTTCTCCAATGTTTCTTCTCTCACAAGCTGTGCATATGTAGTTCTTGAAACTAGTAAGTACGAAAAAAGTCTCGGAAAGAAGTTGTGAATAGTACTTATTGACGGTGCAAGTCGGCAATCACATAACTCGGTTTGCGACGTCGCAGACTTCCTGTCATACTTCATTTTTTAAATGGAAAACTATTCAACGGCAATTCTTTAAAACTGCCATGATTTTTCTTCATTGTGCAAAGAAAATTCTGCAAAAACTTCAAGGAATGATGTCAATTAGTTCTCCTTTAAAAAAATAACATCGAGGCGGAGATTTTCAGACACCGCAAACGAGTTATGTGATTGCCAACTTGCACCGTCGTTATGTAAGGCTTATGGAAAACTTATCATCCTGGAACTCTCTACCCTGTATGTCATTGATTTTGCTTTGAAACCTCATTCTGAAACTGTGGTAAACACCAATATTGGTGGCTCGACCAAGGAAACTGTGTATGTTGATTATAGTGGTTCACAATTTCTCAGGTGTGGACTGTCTCAATTTTTCATAGCGCCCTTCATGTCATCAGAATCTTTCCAAATGTACCATCTATAGATGTTCTCTGCTCTGTGCTCCCTTAAAGAAGCAGTCTGTCCCTTTAAGATACTTTTACTGATCTTGAAAATGAAGGCAACTTACTCATGTGGATTTGCTATCAACCTTCCTTGATTGCAATTATGGTAACTTATCATCAGCCAAAAGTCTCCTCTTTTGTATGTTCTCCAGAGTACGTGCTTACCCTAGTAGCACAAAGACGTAAAATTTACCAAAAAAAGACGTAAAATAGACCAAAAATAAAATGCCGATGTAGTCATTTTTACAAGAATAATTCGTAAAGAGTACAAGATTTTTTACGTAAAAAGATTGAGTTTCTTTACGTAAAAAGTTATGCGCAAAAAAACTCTTGCTTCCTAAAATTGATTAAAATGATAAATTGTAAAGAAAAAAATATACTTTTTACCTATCTGAATCTGTAGTCAATTAATTCTCCTTGAGATCAACTTTCAAATTATTATCTACCTGTCGGGAATTGAACCTGGGACCTGCCTATCAGGAACCGAATGCGCTACCTACTGAGCAAACGAGGCCTCTGTATTAGCGGGGCGAATTTGCGCTGTATAAGTGAATATTTTCATTGTTGAATAGGTATGCGTGAGAATGAATTGTGGAATATTTTTTGAATTTGGAAAAACTGGTTAAGGACAAAAACTAATATTTATCATAGATATTTTAAAGATGGTACACCTACTTTCAAAAGTACCTTTGTTGTTCAGGAATATATGAAAAAAATTATGAACATTTTAATAATATGTCCCCCTTTTTTCTTTTTTTTCTTAAATATTATTAACATGCATCAATTTTTTATAAGAAAGTCTTAACTATTTTAATAAAGATAAGCTATTAAAATCTTCTCGAACTTTTAAAAACTTTGGCTTATTCGTTCAGAACAATGTGTTTTGGTATCCAGTTTTCTATTCTTTGAGGCTATACTTTTTTTTACAAACAATCTTTAGGGGACATTAGAATTTTTTGCTTAATTTCCTTGTCATAAAAATTACGAAGGTATTTCCTGTTCGGTCAATTCAGCGAATTTTCCTTTCAGACATTTTTTTCCTGATTTTCTACATGTAAAAAATCGCGAATTTTTTCCGTACAGATTTCAGTTCAATCCCCCAGTTTTTTTTACGTCTTTGATCACAAATTTTTTACGTTAAGTTCTCAGACTCTGATTTTTTACGAGTTCTTCTACGTACATCTTTCGTACTTGTAAAATTTACCAGTTTTAATTTTTTTTTCACGAATTATATTACAAGATGTGCTACTAGGGTAGGCTACATAAATAGTAGGTCTGGACAAGGTCCACTATGTTGATTAGTTTCTTCTCAAAATTTCACTCAATTTATGATACAAATTGTGTATAAGCGTTGAGTAAGTCAATTTTCTTTGAATATACCAAAAATGACCTTTTTTGTCTTCTTTTCAGGGAGTTGGAAATTTGTGCGCAAATGATGGATTCGTTGAGAAGCATTGCAGAACTGAACCTGAAACTTGTGACCTGGTCACAACCAGGCAAATTGTTTGCATTGGATAAAAGTATGTCGTTCGAAGAAATTTATGTCAAAATCACTGAGATCAATCTCCATTGCTTCTATGGCAGATGTATCGGATTTCAAGTAAGGCACAATTTTTTTTTCAGCCCCTCTGAAATCATTGATAACTTCTTTTCATTTGAGCAGACAACATATTAGCAAGCCAATTACAAAAATGAGTTTTTTCACCAATATGTCATGGGTAGAAAGTTCCAAGCTTTCCCTCAAATTCAATCAACCTTCTCCCATTTTTAACCAAACTTTATGATTGCTACTCTCTAAAGACACAAGAAAAAAAAAGAATAAGAAAAACCCCCAGAATTTTTTCATCTCTCAGATGCCGTACTTAGCACAGGGTTCCCCTGTTTTTCCCTGTTCTTGTGGGGCTCCTCTACCTCTTGAGACTAGGCGGGTTGTCAAATCAGGAGGTTTCTGCCCTTTCTGATACTAACAGTTTCCGAACATAGCTTCTGAAGAGGGCTTTTTTTTTATCCGAACCACAGTGGACCACAATAGAACGCATCACTTTTATATCGCGTTCCACTGGGGCGATCCAGTGCGTTCCATGTGTTCCAGTGGAACGCTTGAACCACTCTTCCGAGGTAGGTTGAGGTTGGTTCAGGCTGGTTGAACCAGCCCGAACCACTATCATCACAATCCATGCGTTCCACGGATAAAAAAAAAGCCCTAAGGAAGTGAAGGATCTTTCACCATCAACAAGTTTGTTTGTTTTGTTTTTTTTTTAAACAAATAAATTTATTATGATTTTTACATGGTGGAAGCTATGCTTTACGGAGCATAGCCCTAAGGCCTTGTTTACATACTAATTTATTGAAGCCTAACTTAAGTTTACATCTACTTTTATTATCATTAAATTCCACCTGTAGTTTCCTTTTATAGAGTTACTGAATGTCTAAATTGGTGCTTGAAGTTCCTCAGTCTTACAGTCTTTTAGTCTTCATTGTTCTCCTCGGGATCACCTATGGTAGGTGTTTCATCGAGGGAGGAAGGGTTATCTTCTGTTGTATCTTCTCTCAGGATCAGTTGTTTTTGTATAAGTATTTCTTTGATATATGCATATCGACGGTGTAAGTCGGCAATCACATAACTTGTTTGCGGTGTCTAAAAATCTCCACCTCTATGTTATTTTTTTAAAGGAGAACAAATTGACATCATTCCTTGAAGTTTTTACAGAATATTCTTCACCTAGAGGAGAAAAACCATTGCAGTTTTCAAGAATTGCCGTTGAGTAGTTTTTCGTTTAAAAAATAAAGTATAACAGGAAGTCTGCGACGTCGCAAACCGAGTTATGTGATTGCCGACTTAAACCGTCGATATATCACTTTCCAATTGTTTCTTGATTCAAGCATCATCGGTACGGTGTTATCTGGTGTTAGTGTTGTTGTAAAAGTGTATCTAATGCTTCTTTTTGTGTTCTTATCTTTTCGCATGTATAAAACATATGCTCCGGTGTGTCTTTGGTATTATTTTTACAATGTGGGCAGTATGGGTTTGATCTTCGTTAGAATTTGAACAGGTAGTCTGCATACGCTCCGTGGCCGGAAAAAGTGGGTTAAATAGTAATCAGGATGTCCGTGTCTTCTATATGTCCAGTGGTGTAATTCTGGGATTAGACTTTTTAGCCAATAATTAGAGGATGATTCCCATTATATGCTCCGACGTGCCATTCTGTCTATTTGTATTTCTTCTGGGTCTTCTTTCATGTATTTACTTGTCTTCTCTTTTATCAATATACTTTCCGAAGGAATACCGGAAATTACACTAAGACAAAAGTCTGACATCGTTCGGTAGGCGCTGCACAATGTTAATTTAAGTGGTCTTAGAGTTTTTCTTATTTCTTCTCTATTCTTTTTCTGTTTACACTCGGCTGCCCATGTTATCACACCATAGAAAATTATTGAGAGAACTGCATGTAGGTATCAGAAGTTTTCTTCTGATGAAAGATGGTCCGTGCAGATTGGGGAGTAGGGGTCGGAAGTGTGTCGTTACCCTTTTCGCCTTTTGGCAAGCTGCTTTGATATGCTGGTTCATTCTGACTCCCTTCGTTATTTTGAATCCGAGGGATGTCAGGGATGATCCAGCAGTGATTTGCACTTCTCCTATTGATAACTCCATATTTCCTGCTTTCTTTGGGCCATGCAGTAGAAGTGCTTCTGTCTTTTTATCTTCGGTGAATAGATCTTTTTTTTAAAGTTTTTGTTTGATCTGTTTCGTTACTGTCTTTGTAATTGATTGTATTTCTTCTATGTTGATGCCTGTTATTACTAGCAAAGTATCATCCGCATATGCTTGTTTGAGGGTTTCCGGAGTGGTGTTCATGTTTAAGATTTCATCGAATATTATAAGCCAGATTTTTGGAGACAGGCAGCCTCCTTGTGCAGCACCCAAATTGAGTTTTAGCATAAAGTCTGAAAATACTAAGTATCTGTTTGTTAGGTATGATTTTGTGATTTCTATGATGTAAGATGGTATCTTCCTTTGGAGCATTATTGTTTCAATGATGTCCTCCCAGCTTACACTATTAAATGCATTTTTTATATCTAGGTTTAGTAGTAATAATAATCTTCTGCTTGTATTGTTGTTCTTGACATGATGTTCGTTTATCCGTTTAATTCTCGTGACTGCATTGGAGGTATTCTTCCCTATTCGAAAGCCAAATTGTGCAACGTTAGGGGTGAATGATTGAATTAAATGGCGGTTTATTATAAATTCAAAGATTTTTGCCATTGACTTTAGTATGCAGATTGGTCCATATGTTTTTGTCGTGTTAGGTTGTTTTGATTGTTTTGGTAATAGTACTAAATGCGCCGTTTTCCATTCATCCGGGAAATCGCAGTTTTTAACTAAAGTAAAAGGGAATTTAAGATTTCTTTAAACGGTTTAAAGTTACTATTGATTAATATTTTGCTTAGTATTGGTATAATGTTGTCTGGGCCTGGGGCTTTGTAGTTCTTTTGTCTTCTCAGAGCACTGTGTAATTCTTCATCCGTGATCGGTGGTATTTCGTTTTCTGGGATTTGTATGCATTTCCAGTTTATATAGCCGTGATCAGGGAATAATTCATCAATTGATTCCAATAGCTCTTGTTTGGTAAGAGTGTTAGTATCGTGAATGGTCGGTCTTTTCAATTTATTGCAAAAAATTATATATCGACGGTGAAACTACCAAACCACGTATCTCGGTTTGCGACGTCGCAGACTTCCTGTCATACTTTATTTTTTAAATGAAAAACTACTTAACGTCCAGTCTTGAAAATTTCTGTGATTTTTCCTCTTCGTGCGGAGAAAATTCTGTGAAAATTTCAAGGAATGATGTTGATTTGGTCTACCTCAAAAAAATAAAATGCGAGCGTAGATTTTTAAACACCGCAAACGAGATACGTGGTTTGGTAGTTTCACCGTCGATATGCTTCTCCCTCAATATCTTTGTCCAGGTCTTTTATGATTTCCATCCATTTTTCATGTTTGGATTTTTTAATTTGGTATTTAAGCTCTTTTTCCAAATCTTGATAGTTTCGAAGATCTTGTTCTGCTTCTAGATTTCCTTTTTGATGGCGTGTTAGTTTCCTTTGTGCTTTTAGACACTTTTTCCTGGTTTGATTAATTTCGTTGTTCTACCAGTATGGAGTTTCTCTAGGTGGGACTGGGTTTTTACTTTTGAAGGTTTCATTCCCCGCTTTTATTATTATTGTCTCGCAGATTGCTGGTGAAAGAACTGAGTGTTTTAGGTGTTGTGTTGTTAGTTCTTTTGTTAGTTTGGCGAAGTCGGGATATCTTTTTGAGTCAAGTATCCATCTTTTCTTCGTTTGAGTTTGTTTTGTTGTTAATTTAAGTTGAGAGTTATACTCTAATTGCATGCAGGGGTGGTCGCTCAGGTTTATATCTTCCAAGATTTTCATTCTCAGATTATGTGCTATTTCTGGTGTACAGATAACTATATCGGGAACCGAGTCTCCTCTAGAACTTGTGGATGTCAGAGTGTATGTTTCTATCTGATTGCATACTACTAAGTCCATTGCTGTTAACCAGGATTCTAAAATTCTGCCTCTGGTGTCAGTTCTTTATCACCCCAAAGTGGAGATCGGCAGTTGAGATCTCCCGTTATTATTATATTGCCGTGGGTTTGGTGGATTTTTTCACTGATTTCATCTAATTGATCCTTTAATTTGTCTGTTGGGTCATTTGGGGAAAGATAGCATCCGCTTATAGTTAGGTCTCGCCATTTGAAACTCGCGAAGTTTTCATGTTGTTCCCATTCTGTAGATTATCCGATAAGGTTCTGATTTGTTTTTACAGCTATTCTTTCTTGTTTATTTAAGAAGTATCCGTCTTTTACTGCTCTTCTTTTGTTTGGTTCAGAAAATATGTTTATTCCCGCGTGGCTTTGCGTGCTTATTCGATATATCAGATCATGGGCATTTGGCATCTCATTCAGGTTACAGATAAGTGCGGTGAAAGAATTTTCTTCGTTGTCGGAGTTTGGATGTTTGGAGTTTTTAGTTCTAATTATTTCTCCTGATGTTTCTCTTTAGTTTTCGATTGGTTTGTGTATTAGTCCTACTGGGGAGTCATGCGAGGTTATATATGTAACTTTATTTAAAGTTGTTACCATCAACAAGTTGGAAATTTCAGCCTCTAAAGAAGCTATTTCAATATATTCTAAATATAAAATGGACCAAATATAGCAGAAACGAACCAAACCACATTTGCAAAAAAGTTGAGTCAGGAGCAATTTTGAATAAAGCTATTTCCGAAGCTTTTGAGATATAACTAAGACCAAAAGCTCGTAGTACCATTTAAAAACATTTGTCACTCAAAAGACCTTGTGAATTTTCCAAACCCCGAACATAATACTTCCAAATTGGGGCAACATAGTATTGTTCCTTTTCATAAATTCAGTTAAAATTTCTTTGAATGTCAACCGGAATTCTCACGCTTTTTCATAATTTACTTTGGGGTTTTTCACATTTTTACTTGTAGTGCTAATAAAAATATTTACAAATAAAATGAATACAGATCTTTGCACACCTAATGTTTATTTTTAGTTTCTCCAGCAAGGAATCATACAAAGTGGAACTTGCCCTTTGCAGTTTTCGTATCAGTTTTCCATTTCCCTTTACGGGTTCTACAGAACTTGTTTTCTTCCTTGCAAATTTCCATGAATTTTCTTGTAGGTGAATGAAAATAATTGAAATGTGAATAAGCAAATCGTTAAAATTTTCAGGATTATACCAGTAGAGATATGATACTATAAGACCATGCAGGCAGGATATTAATGAAGAAAATTAAATATTTAAATGGAAAATGTGTTGATAATTGACTGGATTGTAGAGTTTCATAATTCTGAGAGATGAACCACTGTTTAACTGCAGTTTTTAATTATTGACTCATTCTCTTGTGTTTGCAGTTTAAAGAATCACTACAGCAGGTTATAAAGACCTTAGCCATAATGTTAGCATCTTTCAGTGAAGTATACTTCTGCAGTGAAGGCAGTATGCTCGCCAGGGCAACTAATTCTGTCTGGCATAGTAAGTATACAGTACACATTTTATCACTCTTGTGAATGTTGTTCTCAACAGGAATTAGGATCAACCAATTTTAAATTTTGCTCATAATGATTGATGGACCGAACATAAGAAATAACAATTCAATCGACAACTTAAAAATTTGGAAACCTTTTTTTCAAAAATCATTGGAAACTCCAAATATTTATTTGTAATTGATAATTTCTGCGCTGAAAGGCTTGCAATGCTGCCAAGATATTGCAACTTTTCACGACATTTGCTGCAAATAAACTTCATTCAAGGTCAACTCACTTCCCTACAAGAGTGAGGCAGAATTTGGAACAGATTCAGAGAAATATTCATAGCAGAGCTCTCGATAGGTTATTTGTAATTAAAAAGCTATGTTGCTCAATTGTATTTCACCTTCAAACGCCCTTTCATTAAAGAAATTCTTAACTATGTATTCAAGCAAAAAATCATGGAACGGTCTGAAACTTGCAAAGGGAAGAATGCTGGTGAATTTTGCAAATTTGATTTGCCTTATACTCTCTAAGACTCAAAGTATATTTTCGGGGTCATTTCAAACTGTTTCTCAATAACATTCAACATATTAAAGCGTAGTGGGCTGCAAAATAATTCAAGGGGATTTTTAAGAAAAGGTTTTCAGATTTTGATGTTATTGACAGTAGATGAGACGAAATGAGCTGAAGTGATAACTATGTGGAAGCACATCTTTCTTCATTAAATTTTTACTGATCTAAACTCTATTGAAGCAGGCCGTATGGCTTTTCAGGGACTACAGATTTTTTTTAGAAATTAAAAGAAAAAAGAATTATTATGAACTAAAATTTGTCTGGTTCAACAAAATTCATATGATCATTTCATGTTTTACTTGAGGATGTCATGGTAACTGATTTTTGTCATGTAACATAGAAATCTACATGGTTTTTTTGTACCTTAAATCATCCCATCTTTGGGGTATTTTTAAAAATGAAATTCTGATATCAATAACTGTTACTCACCTGATATTAGAAATACAAGAGAATCCTTAAGTACAAAATAAGGGTAAAAGAAAATATTATCATATGATCCTAAAAGACCAAAGAGCTGTTTAGATCCAAATTCATGCAAGTATAAAGCGATTTACTTTTTAATGAACCTGACCGCAAAATGCCAACAACAGCTCCAAAAAACTTTCACTAAAATGCTTTCTATCAATTCCTATTCTACCATTGTTTCTTTAACTTTCAGGCAGCAAGTATTTGGTTGATCCAGAATTGAGAGCCAAGCGGATCGTTCAGTGTACAATCTGGGCCTCTGTGGAATTTTGCAAAGCTTTCTGGTTTTTAGGAGAGATAGGTATATCACTAATTATTACATCCATTATTAGATCTCCATTATTATGTATGAAAATGTCAGAAATGAGCAGAATTATGAATCATGTAGGAAAGTTTAAGGCAGTTAGCAAATGATATGAGAATCCTATTAAATTTCGTCTCATGCAACAAAAGTCCTATCAGCTGAAGATTTGTAGAACCCATTTGGTACCCACATCTACTTTTTTTCACTTCAAAGTTGCTACCAATGAGAGACTGAAAATATTTGAGTAAAGAAGGTAAAATCCCCTCTCTTTATGTAAGTTACTAGCAGTGTTCGAAACTCACAGGTGCTGTCGCACCAAATGCGCCTAAAAAGCGGCCATGGCGCCTAAAAAATGAAGGCTCTGCGCCAATTTGGCCCCTAAAAATTGTCCCCTAAAGATCTGAATTTTCATATTTGGTGATATTCGAAATTTTCAGCACTATAAGTGAAGGCTTTTTCTATTCTTCTCGATTTCATCCTTAGTGCTTGTGTCTCCTCCAAGTTACAGCTACTTACTAGTTCTGTTACGAAAAAATCTTGCGTCTAACTTTTCACTAAATGCGCCGCAATATATAAGCATAAAGTCAATAAGGCCCCTAAAAAATCTTCAATGGCGCCTAAAAATCGGGCTTGATGCGCCACATGGCTCCTAAAACTCAAAGCTGAGTTTCCAACACTGGTTACTAGCTAGTCAGTAGAATATCACCTGCCTTATGGGAAAGAAACAAACATTTTTGGATAAGTAGCATCTGAAATATTAATATTTATGGTGAAACTTAAAATTAAAATAAAAATAAGTTCAAGACAAACCACGATGCTATTCATTTTATGTATAATTTAATTACTTACATGCCAAAGCTTTTTGAGACCCCAGGTCCCATCATCAGGGCTTACATTATGGGAAATGGTTTGCAGTGAAGAATAATATTGAGCTACCACATACTTTAAAATAACTGTCCAAAAATTTGAAGCAGCAAACTTCCCCTCCCAGTAATGGTTCTTATTGGAAGGGAGGGAAATATTAAATCACGAATTAGCTCTATCCTTAAAGTTATGAACAATTTTTCATATTTTATCAATGTGTTTCCGTGCAAAAGTGCGCCTATGCCTCAAAAAAACTAAACTTTGAAAAAAGGGATAATATGAATTTTTCTCCTTTTTTTTCAGAACTTTTAAATAAAGTACCAAATTTAGTTTACAGCTCTGTGGCTGTAAATCGTTTGATAAAGCTGGAACCTGTGCCCTTACAGATAATCAGTATGACGGGTTCTACAATTGACATTCCTGTACCCTGCACATCCGTTGGTATTCAGCCCCTGAATGTTCGATTAATTGCTAAGCTTGTCTATGAAGGCATGGTAAGTTATTTCTGTCAATTTAACCAGGAAATCTTCAATTAGACAGACGCAGATCCAAGTAAAGTCTTACCTGCTTGAGTTTGCTGTCGCAGGATAATCTGTCTTAGTCTGCACTTCTTAAAGGAATTAAAAAAAACATAGGGCATTAACTCTAGTTCTGATCTTGAACTCTATTTTGCAGGAAGAAGACTGTGTAGGAAGCCCAACAAAGACAGCACCGGTACCAAGAAGCACTGAGTTGGTTTTCCATTGCCATGGAGGTGGGTTTGTGGCTCAGAGCTCGCGTTCCCATGAAATGTACTTAAGAGAATGGGCAATTCTTCTAAACTGTCCAATGGTTTCTGTTGACTACGCTCTTGCCCCTGAAGCACCCTTTCCCAGAGCCCTCGAAGATGTCCTGTATGCCTATTGTTGGACACTAAACAATGCTGCTCAACTTGGTTCAACTGCTGATAAAATTATCTTTGCTGGTAAGCATAAAAACCTCACTTTAAAATTCGCTTAGTACCTATAGCCGAAAAGTCTTTTACTTAATGTGAACTTTTGTGCTTTATGAAGATTAGTTGATTCATTTGTTGGTCTTCAGTTGAATGACTGTGGGCTGTGACCTAATCCACGAAAGAACGCCAGTGGTGTAAAAATGCCTCATCTTTCAACCGCGAGGAAAGTCTCAGATTTGATAATAGGACAAAATGTCCAGAGATAAATGTCCAAAGTACAAAAATGTCCAAAGTCTAAAAAGTCCATATTCGAAACAAGTCCAAATATCTGGAATGTCCAATCGCGGTATTATGCAGTGACGTGGCGTGAATTGCGATGTATCGATTGTCCTGCCATTTAAACCTATGGTAAAGGATCGATAAACTGGGTGTTCGCAGCGAACACCTTAATAATCGATTATTTACCACGGATTCAAATGGGGATATATCGAAAATCGATCATTCACGCCACGCCACTGGTATTATGGCCAAAAGCAAAAATGCCCAAATGTGAAATAATTTGACTAAGTGGCAACATAAGGAGCCTGGAAGCTTTTTATAGCAATATTCATTGGAATAATGAAGAACCAGTGATTTAGAGTTTTCCTAACCTGTGACTGGACTTGGATCATACATGCACTAAGCAACAAATATCATAGAAGTCAAGAAAAAATCAGAGTACAATCGAATTAGGACAGAATCCTCTAGCGCGTCCAGCGGTATCAAGAATTTAAGGATGAAGACGATATTCCATAATATCCTAGGGGAATAGCCTATTATGATCGAGTTACGCAACAAGCCGCAAGATGAAAGTGATGAGGAAGCATGAAGAATTTCTATCAACAGGTGAATGGTAATATTAATTATGACTCACAGTAACTGGACATTTGGGTATTTTTAATTTTGGGGATGGTACTGCTACTGGACGTTCCAGGTACTTGGACATTTTCTACTCATGGACTTTTCTTATATTGGACATTTTTTTTACTCTGGATATTTGTTTTTGGACATTTTGACCCATCACCCTCAGATTTTTAGGAAATAGACTGATTTAGTGGCCACGTCATGGTTCAAATGTAAACAAAGGCATAATCTTGTCTCTGATTCACGCTCTTTGCACCATGGTGGTAAAATGCGTCCAAATGTTTCTTATAATCAAAATTTCTTGTATTTATTGAGCCCTTAATTTATTTATGACCGGTCAATGACTAATTTTTGATAGATTAACTCAATTAACCTTTGAAGCACTTGCACATGAAGTTATGTTAGTTTGCTTTGGTTTGAACCAAGAGTTTGATATTATATTGAACGACGTAGTCACTAAATCAGTCTTATTTCCAAAAATGATAATCCCTTTTTTTTATTTTTGACTTTTCAACTACGTAGCTCCTAAAGCTTTGGGCGTCTAATTTTTGCAAAAATGTCAAGTATAATTTGCCTCAGTGAGATGCTTATAAGACGATTTTCAAATGACCCTGCATGGAAAGTCAAGAAGCCAGCCAAACGTTAGTTTTTAATTTGATATTCGTTACGACCTCTTGAGGTAGATGAGCATTTAAATCAAACTTTCTTCAAGTTAGGTTGGAGAAAAGCAGAGCTGAATTTTGCAGCATTTTATGTAATGCTCCTGACGGAGATGTGGCACCTTTGCTGTGTTCATTTTGCAGAAAATTTTGTATTAAAGCAGTTATTGATGTGACGAACATTATGCAACTTTCTTATTTTCCTGGCCAATGGGAGTGGAGAAAGAAGAGTTTTCATCGACCATCGTTATTTCTCTTAGATAATGCGAGTAAAAATGCTACAAAATTCTTGTTTTAGTCTGCATTTTTCAAAATTTGCCTGCTTATGATTCAATTTTCAAAAATAATCGTGCTCTAGAGGTTATGGAGAAAATCATTTCACATAATAACACAATTTAGTTGGTGCCAAATCTCTCGGTTTTCTGTGCGGAGTCCTGAAAAGGCTAAACATCTTTTTAAAAATGGAGCAAGTATTAAAAAGGGTTAATCAAGATATGCATTTGAAAAATTTGCTTGCCTTTTTCCCTCAGGTGATTCTGCGGGTGCTAACTTATGTCTAAGTCTAGCTTTCAAGTGTATCGAGCTTGGGGTGCGACCACCAGATGGGATATTCCTTGCCTATGCCCCCGTATTGATCTCATTTCTTCCCTCCCCTTCTCGTCTGCTCAGCCTCTTAGATCCAATTTTGCCCATCGGATTCTTATCTGCCTGTCTCAGAGGTATGTCCCAATTTAAATTTTTAGCAGACTGCTGACTGTAGAATACCTTCGATTTTTTTTTTTTACGGTCAAGCTGCTCTCTACTGCCAGATTAAAAGGTCACTAGTGACATTTTGATTCTAAGAAAGATCTTCTTCCTCTTATGATACAATGTACCTTCAATTATGTCAAGGAAAGTCAAGTCATTGAAAAATTCTTCCACCTATATAGTAGTATTCTGCCACCGTATATATAGGTAGGTACTAAAATCAGTTCAATGCTCTATTTGAATCAAGTAGACTCAGGTTTTTGTGCAAGTGAGAAGTTTGAATTAATGAAGACAAAGCTGACATATTTTAACTCATGAGTCGAATTCGGAAAGTTCCAACTGTATTCTATGTAAAAGTTCAATCAGGTGACGTACGGTGGTTCTTGATTTTGTATTCTGTAGAGCAGTTTATTCCACCTAATAAAGATTTTACCAATACATGACCAATTTGGCACCTGCTTTATCGATTAATCATAAAAATTTAATATTTTATGAAAGATTTTATGAATCCCTCCATAAGTTTTTACTGCGACAGAATCAAATTTAAAGTGGGGAAGGGAATCGGAAATTTGCATCTTAAGCTGACAATATCCATTATCAATATTTCTCATGAGTTGTATCATAAAAAACAGCAGTGAACACAATTGTGCGTCACCTAAGTGTAGGAAACGAACAAAATTGTTAACTTTTTTACCAGGAGCAAAATTGGGTTTTCTTGATGAGTACCAGTCTAATACATCCAGTCCTATACAAAGGTACAAAGTGACTTTATTTTTAATAGTAAAATGCTAGAAATAGATTGTTTTGTTCATTTTTAGCGTATGCGGATCCTCAAAGCAAAAGTGAAATGAGCAAGTATGAGCACAGGTTGAAACGTACCTCTTCGGTGAAGATCACTGATTCCAATGTTCCTACCGTTTCTTCTCCCATCGAGAAGCCCGAAACTGTGATAATGGATGTGAGTCCTGTGGAAAACAAGTTCCCTCCAAATCTCTTAACCAAGTCCAAGTCATGTGAATCAGACTGTGATAGTAAACCTGTGCTAGCTCAGAGAACGGTTAAATCTAGCTTCGGGATAAGGTCCATGGAAGCAGTACCAGACTCCGATTTTCAGAGGGAAGAACAAGTTGTATCCAAGGTGCGTATTATATTCCTTTTTGCTTTGTGAACAAGGCGTCAAGCCAAGAGTGAAACGCTAGGTTTGCTGAAGTTGGTAAAATCAAACTTTTGAATCGGATATTCCCCAAATGTGAAGATTACCATCAAAAATTTTTTCAAAAGACTGAAGTTTGATGATTTTAAGAAGATATTTTGAGAAAAAGGCCACACCTTTTATTGTTTTACATAGAAAATGAAGACAAATACACGTAATCAATAATGTAGGACAAGGTGATTCAGCTGTAAAAAAATGATAACTTTCATAGCATTGGGTAATAACTTCCTAAAATCCATTAGTTAGAAGACATTTCCTGTGTAATTTGACATTAATTTTTCCCCTCTCTCTTAAAAGCATGAACTCTCCTAGCAAACTCTCTACTTCAAACTCCTCTCTCAAACCAGTTTCTTTTGCACCTCTGTAAATCTATGAATTTTTAAACAATTGAGTTAAAAAAAGTTGCGTTAAAAAGTGAATGAAATAATCCCTAGCTTGTATTACCTGCATTTTGCTTACTTGTAAGGAAGTCAATGACCAAGCTTTTGCACTAAGACCAGGATTTTTAGTCATTTATTTCAGGCTTATCTGCCCCTAATTTTTTTTCCTCCAAACAATCTAAATATGATCAGGTTCAAAAGAAATATCCAAAGTATTCATCATTTATCCTAATACTTTAAGATTTGGTTCATTTAACTAAATACACATCAATTGATTTCCAGGAAAAAAGTTTTTTGAAACGCTTGTTTCCATCCATTTTCATTTTTTACTTTCCATTCTCCTAAATCCATGATACAGAAACTTGAACTTAGACTTAGTATTCAGCCCCTTGCTGCATTGCAAAGTTAATTTATTTTTTTTGTGTTTTTAGGTCGGTTCGGACTGTCCTATCGTGAAAAAACCCTCGCCTCTTGTTGAAACCATAGTTGCCCCCTCATCTTGTCTCTCCTTAACATCATCCAGCTCCTTGCTGATTAATACCATTCAGCAAGTAACTTCAGGTCAAGAGGGAAGATACAGGAAGAGTGACGCCTCATCGTTATGCCCAACAGTAGAAATCCCTGTAGAGTCCAAGTCAAGTATTGAAGATTTCACAGGAAAAGCAGGGTTGGTCTTCGAAAATTCTCTGTGCTTGGACAAAGTCCAAAATGAACAGTCAACCAGCAAAGATACTTTGTGCCCTGAAAGTGATCTAAAAGGAACAGCGCAGGATTTATTGCGTCAAGAGGAAAACCAAAATATACAACCACCTAACTTCCAAAACCCAAATAAAGAGCTGAATCTACAACCACTAAGCACAGACATCGCGCTGTGTTCAAACGTGGAACAAAATCTGCCCTTCCAGAGCACCGATAATTCTCAATATCCAGGAGAGGATAAAAGTTTAATGAAAACTCATTGCTCAAAAGACCAAAATGTACAGTCCCCCAGCACGCAAAATTGTCTCAGAGCTGAAGAAAATACAACTAAGCAATCTATAGATACGAGTCAAGCACAATGTGCAGAAGATGTTGCACTAAAAAATTATTGTGTGGAACAGTCACCAACCACAGACAATGCTCGGTCTCCGAAGAGAGCTTTGAGTCAGCACACATCCTCAACTGACGAAGCCACCAAACTCTCTGAAAATCACAAGTGCAAAGAGGATTCAAAAACTGAGATTGATGATGAAAGTAATTCCAAGTTGAGGCCGGAGTTCTCCAGAGCTGTTGAAAGTGTCACAACGGCTATAACAAATGTATTTATCAATTTTACGAAAAGCAATAATCAGCCTGCAAAAGTAGATCAGGGGTAAGTTTTTTTCTTTGCTCTTTTTAGTGGCTAAGCTAGGGTTTGAAGCCCTGTGTAGTGTCTTAATTTCAATATACGACTGATTATGAGTTTTTACACTTATTTTTAAAAAAATAGATGAATGAGATGTAGATAATCTACTCAAAAAATTAATGTCTGAATTATTTATTGCAAATTTGGAAGTAAAATACCTCTCAAGATGAAAACAAAGTATGGTGAAACAATTTCATTGACTATTGATAATCAGTCAATGAAATATTTTCTGTCACACTTTTACCGTGGTTTTTCAAATTTTTTGCCACAAAATTTGATCAAATATTCCTATTACATAATTCTTAGGGCTCCAATTTATTGAAAATAATATAAACAAAACTCATAAGTTGTTGTTTATCATTTGATGGAATACAATGACATTTAAACATTACAAAATTTCCTTTCACAAATCACATTTTCAATAGTTAATTGTTGAGAGTTCCTACTTGAAAATTTCGCTGATTTTTCCTCTATTTTCGCACAAAAATCAGGAAAAGTTCTACGAAAAATTGCTTAGACATTCCTGTGGAAATTGACTCTTTTGGCTCAATTTTGCAACCTTGTAATAGAGTTAGGTTCCTTTGTCTGGGAGACAATAAATTAGTTACATATCAAAATGGTGGTAACACACAGAACTTTAAACCCTGAATTCACCTTGAATACTCTTTAGGATTGAATTTGAAAACACTTGTCTTCAAACACTTTTAAGCGGTGTTGGATGCCAAAAAACCAAGTGCGGACTCTAGAAAAAATGCTGTCTGCTTGTTAGGCGGTTGACACAATCCTTTGTAGAAGGCAATGCAAATCGGTTCGCACTTGATTATGGCCATCATGGCCTCAACCAAAAGAGCTTGTTTGAACCACAGAGTGTGCTTAAGAGAAAGCTAGTGGAACTCTTGTGTCCCTTGTGAAATTTTTGCAAATCCCTGACGCAAGCATGAGCTCCACTATCTAGTCTTTTAATACTACATTGGTTCTTCTTTTAAAAATAAAGATCAGCTCCGGTGTTTATTTTTTTATTTTATTTTTTTCTTGTGTACTCTCATTAAAAATTTTAATTAATCCTCAGGGTTGAAGCCTTAGATGAAGAAGAAATTTCTATTCCTTTAGAATACTTCACTGTTAAACCACCAGCGGACTACTATCTCTCTCCTATTTTGGCACCAGACAACCTCCTCAAATCATTGCCAGCTATAAAATTATTGGTAAGGAAATTACATACTTGTTCATTTTTTGTTCCATGGCTACAGGTGAGACCAATTGTTGATATAGCTGGTATACAAATTTTTGGTATATCTGATACAGATTACAAGGTCATCATCTTTTCTTGGGAAACAGAGAGAAATATTGAAATCCAATGACTTTTGATATCATAATCAAATCTCTAGAATGAATGAGCAGTCCGGATCATGGAGTCTTTGTAGATACATGACGACAAGACATAGCCCAATCTTAACCATGGAATATATTGCTATTCGATGTCTTATCAAGCTGCTTTAAACTTTCAATAATCAGCCCGTAGTGGACAAAGTAAGAAACCGAGCATCACAGTTCACAATACATCTGCTGTGCTAAAACTTTATTCTAGTCATTGAATGCAGTTGCACTTAATAAAGATCATTATCTGATTTTAACGAAGTATGAAAAACGATTATCTATTATCATTTAAACTTACCTACTATTATTTGAATTTTGCTCAAATCTCTGACCATACTATTATTTATTTATGGTAAATGATTCTACTTCAAATAAATTCTATTTTAATACAATTTTGTGTTGTAATTAAACTTGGCTACATATGCTTAGTATTCCCTGTGTTACAATTGCTTTTCAATGCTTTCAATTAGCAATTTGGGGCAAACTACAGGGTGATGACATGGTAGTTTCTCTTACAAATGAACACAACTATAGTTCAAAGTTGTGAAATTTCCCCTCGCAAAATGTATTTTTACCCGTAGAATCTTGAGTATTTCCCCGAGTTTTCCTTTGATCTCATGCAAAAATAAGAAGTATGATTGATAAAAATTCCACAGGTAGATTCTTGTAAAAAATTAATTGTCTTCCTAATTAATTTTGCAACTTTAGAATGGAGGTATCTTCCTCCGTTCGTGAAACGTCGAAGTATGTGTTTTAAAAGTTTCAACTAAAGATCACTCCTCCTTGCTGAAAAAACTTAGTTTACTAGCTAGTGCTTGTTTTCTTCTTTTATACTGTGAAAGTTGTGGTTATAAGAATTGAAAAAAATTATTCTCAATTTATGCCTCAAGAATGTAATTTTGTCAGTTACTTGTATGCTCTTCAATTCGGTCTTTTCTTTGATAAATTAGACAACAGAAATGGATCCCTTTCTGGATGACTGCGTCAGCTTTGCCAAGAAGATGAAAGCAATGGACCATGATGTTTCACTGGACGTGTTACCAGGCCTCCCTCATGGCTTTTTAACATTTGCTCTAGTACGTAATAAACAACATTAGCACTTTAATAACTGAGAATGACTTTAACACGCACATTTCTGTTCTTTTATAGCAAGAGAAAAATTGGTATAGAATCTAAAGTTTAAAGTGGATTTACTGTACTTTCAAGAACTATTTGAAAGATGATCAAGCAATTGAAAATTCCTGGATTTTAAAAAGTCTCCTCAAAAGTCTTTGAAAGTCACAACATATTGTGCTACATTTGGTATTCTTTTAAAAAAATTAATCGGAAAATACTTTGAAATAACTTTAAAAGTATGTTCTTAGTCGTTTTGATTTTTGATGTATTGTGATCACTTGGGTCACACTTTTGCCAGTATTTTAAAGTGTTTCTCAATTTAATTTTGTTTATCTATGCCTTACATATCACAACAAGATATAACTTATGAAGATTCTAAACACAATAGCCTTGAAATCTTGTAATTTTTAAGTGATCAATGGGCTAAAGATCCCTTCTTAGAATTCATAGACAACCACCACAGTTGTCTGAATTGAGTTTTAAAAACCCTTAAGAGTGAATTATTAGGAAGTAAATTCAGCCATAATTCCTTCTATGTATGAAGTAAGAAGCAAGTATGAGTCAGAGGAGCACGCACAAAAAACTACAGTTATCGCAGATTATTGCTACACGGAAAACATTAAATTGCTGCCTTAATAATTCAATGGACCACTAGACAAGGTACGAATTTAAGCGATCTGATACATGTTTCTTAACCAGAATTTCACGTAGAAAACGATTCACACAACGAAAATTGTTGAAACCAACTCCTAACGAAGATATTAACGTTTTTATTTCACATTGGTTACGAGGAATTTGAACTGCCCGCTCACAAGAAACTCGAAGCTCTACGTGAGTCAAATCGCCCACTACAACGGTTTCAGCAAACTTCTCAATCGAGCAATGTTCATTTCCCATCATGTGTTGTTCAAACTATTAGCAATTTGCTATAACTGAGCCAAAGCGTCAAGATTGAGGTTGCCAGATTTTTATATCGCAGAGACTGTCATGATAACTTTTAGCGCGCGATGCGAATCACGTAGAGCATTGAGTTTTCATGAGCGGGTGGTGTGAATTCATGCATCAAGAATCATTAAATATCTTCGTAAAGAGTTAATTTCAGTAATTTTCGTTGTGTGCATCGTGTTTTACGTAAAATTTTGGTTAAGAAACATGTATCAGAATGCTGAAATTCGTACCTTCTCTAGTGGTCCATTGCTAAAAAAAGTGACTGCAATGTTTCAATGTAGATTATCCAACAAAAAAATGCTACTTTAACCACCCTAATGGCTCAATTAGCTTTCAATAGTGGTTAAAGTAGCATTTTTTTGTTGTAAAATCTACGTTCAAAAGTTGTTGTTACTTTTTTTAGCAATCAAATCATTGAATCAGCAATTTAATTTTTTCCGTGTATGCCGAAGCTTTTCATTAGTCACTGACTTACACACACATGAAACTAGTATTCTACGATTAGTTCGGGTCAAGGACCACAGTCGGAGCCTCTTGTCGCACACCAGCAAGATAAAAATGTGCTGTACAAAACGACAGTTACTACACAGCTACAGCACACTGACCAACAAGAAAATGGTAATGCTATCTAGCCTAGCAGTGAACTTTTTTAATTTTATGGCAAGGGTTGATTATGGGTTTTCTCAAACTTGAGCAAATTTCTTGGGTGGAAAATTATTGGAATTATGAATCATGCTTGAAAAGACAAACACAATTTTATAAATGGACCACTAGACAGGGTACGAATTTAAGTACATATCGTCACCTTCCAGGCAAAGTATCACAAGCGCCATGCGACGTTTAAAAATTTCCGCCGCCATTATATTTTTTTACAGAGAAATTGTTCAACGAAGCTGTCCGAAAATTACACCGAATTTTCTTTGTGCTGCCGATAAAATTTAGTGAAATTTTCGAACAAATTCAACCAACAATTTCTCAGTAAAAAAATAAAATGGCGGCGGAAATTTTTAAACGTCGCATGGCGCTTGTGATACTTGGCCTGGAAGGTGACGATATTCCAATACTTGTTTCCTAAGTAAAATTCCATGGAAAACATCGTTTGGGTAACGAAAATTGCTTAAATCAACATTTAATCAAGATATTAATGTTTTCAGCCAGCATTGGTTATGAGAAATTTTAATTGCCCGCTCATAAGAAAACAATTCTCAACGTAAGTTAAATCACGGTTTCTTAATAAAGCAGTGTTACATCTCTACCCTGTGTTGTATAAAGTGTGAACAACGTGCAACAACTGAGTGGAAGCAGCAAAATTGAGGTTTTCATATTTGCATGCTGCAGAGACTGATATGGCAATGTTTATCGCGAGCTTTGACTCACATTGAGTTTTATTTTTTCATGAGCTGGAGATTTGAATTCATCTATCAAATACGTTTAATATCTCAACTCTGAGTTAATTTTAGCAATTTTTGTTGCCCCAATGAATCATGTTCTACATGAAACTTTCATTGAAAACATGCACCAGAATGCTTTAATTTGTACCTTGTCTAGTGGTCCATTGTTGCAGCCTCCTTCAAAGGGGTACAAGCAAAACGCGCCATTTCGGGCTTGGGGCGGATACCTTTGAGACTTGCCCCATTCATTCACCAAACAATGGCCGAACTTTTCCCAAAGTTTCAAGCTCCTTAAAAATTTTGGGGAGATGCTGCGGAGGGTCTAAGTGAATAATCAGCTAAATTTTCGCGAATTCGTTACTCAAAAACTAAGAAGTATTGGAAAACGCGGTTTAAACGAGCGCTTTCACCGTGACAAGAGTTTTCAGAAAATGTATAACATTCTAGGGTTTTGTCAACTTCAACACTTTCGCCTCCGAAGCGCTGGAACACTAAAAAGAAGATCCACTTTTTTTTTTACGTCCGAGCCAATTCCATGAAAAGCCATTTTTTAATTTTGATGAGAAACTGATATGTTGTTTCTGACACTCTGTAGCCCCTTTAGCTCTTTACTGTATGCTGGGGAAATGTTTTGGTCGCAAGTTATAAGAGCGGAAAGGAGCGAAGGTTGGGGAAATCAGCTATTTTAAACTGCGCGCGCAGCATTAATCGGTAGGAGAACGTCCCCTTCCGTTCAGTTCTGCCAATCATATTCCTCGGCCGAACTCGCATTGTTGCCAGTGTCCTCCGATCAACGCCGCACGCACAGTTTAAAATAGCCGATTTCTCCGACCTCCCTCCTTTCCGCTCTTATAACTTGCGACCAAAACATTTCCCCAGCATACAGTGAAGAGCTAAAAGGGCTACAGAGAGTCTGGAACAACATATCAGTTTTTCATCAAAATTAAAAAATGGCTTTTTTTGGAATTGGCCCGGACGTGAAAAAAAAGTGGGTCTTTTTTTAGCTTTCCTGCGCTTCAGAAATGATAACTCGAGCTGCAGTTGACAAAACCCTATAGTGTTATACATTTTCTGAAAGCTCTTGTCACGCTAAAAGCACTCGTTTAAACTGCGTTTTCCAAAACTCCTTGGTTTTCAAGTAACAATCGGGCATTGAAATGAATAGGACAAGTCTTCAAGGTATTCACTTTAAGCCCGAAATAGCCCGTTTTGCATGCATCCCTTTGAAACATACATTTCAGTTGAACTGTAATCTAAGCTTTCACTGAAGAATCAGCAGAAGAGAACACATAATATTTCCGCTGAGATGTTTTAACTTTTTCTGTCTTACAAATCCATCAAGATTTTTTATTCATTCAAATTCTTCATTTTTGTAGATAAACAAAGAAGCGAATGAGGGCTCAGAGCTTTGTTGTCGTAGAATTCGGGAGATGCTAGATATGCCCGCTGAAGAAGGAACAGAAGCAGCCTCAGTCAAAGCAGACCCATGTGCAACTGACCCTCACAATGAAAAAGTATGTGTTTCTCCCAACACATCTACCAGAAAATCCTACTCACTTTCCAATTCAGCTGATCTGATTTGTGACTCCCATGATTTTTCTCCTCAAAAATCAGGTGCACCAATATGCGAATCCCTTAACCTGTCACCCATATCGGTTGATACTAATTGCAAATCCCTCGAAGAGTATGAGATTCGGCAAACATGTAACTCACCATCAAAATCAGTCGCCTCTCAGTGTGACTACTCCTACAGTAGCGAATCAATTCCCAGTTCCTCTGAAACAAGTTTTGATAGTGCGAGTGCCCAGTCGATCGCAACCAAGAGTACTTGCCTTACAATCAGTCAGATTGTCGAAGAAAGCCCTCAGACCGTCAAGGAAGAATCGAAGAGCACAAGAACCAAGTTATGTATTTACAGAAGTGCAAACTCGCTCAGCGATAAAAGCAAGGTTCTAGTTACCCCGAACGTAGATGAGTGCACTTTAAATGCAGCCAAGACACTGATCGGCAAGTGTTTGAAACGTAAGCATTTCTACTTTGCGCTGATCGATATTTCCTCTAAAGAGTAACTAATAGCTTTTTTAATCGTTTTCAAGCGGGCAGAAAATGCTGAATTATGTGCCTGGACAGGCATGCGGAAATGTAGGAAGGCCCTCCTACATTTTCCAAAAACAGCAAAAAGGGGAAATGTTTTTAATACAGGGTTAAAAGTCTTAGATGTACCTGTCTTGGTTAGCTTGACTTGCGCATCGCTGCAGACAATCAGAGCACACTGGTTAGCACGAATTCCTAAATATTTGATTCTATACCAGAAGCACTGCACCCCTAAACGTTTAAAGCTTGATTTGCCGAAAATTTCCAGCCTCCGTATTTTCCTTCATCAACCTGTACCTGTTTCAAATGTAAACAAGCACAATAGCTGAACCAAACCGCTGAGATATCTTTGTGTCTTATTTTCATGATTCAGAGACTGTGTTGGCAATGTTTAATGTGCAATTTAACTCAAGTAGATCATCAAGTAGATCAAGTAGATCATGGATCAAGTAGATTCATGTGCAAAAAATTTAAATTTGTGCATTAAGGAACGTTATTATCTTGGGTAGGAGTTTCCTTAAGCAATTTTTGTCGTCCATTTTGTGTTCTGTGTGAAATTTTGATAAGACAACGTGTATCTTAATACTGAGATTCGCTCCTTATCCAGTGATCCATGCAGTGATCGTGCAGTATTGACAACGAAAAATTACGGATTTGATAATAGCGGCAGAATGAGTGTCAGTTAATCTCAATTAAAGAGCTTTTACCTTAAAATTTCTTGTTAAAATTTTACATGCTCTAAGTTTTTTCCCTAATTTAACAGGATTGCCACAGAATTTAGAAAATGAAATTCCCTGACACATTTTGGTGAAAGTCCCCGACAATTGAAGATATGCCAGCCAGGTGGTCAGTAAGAAATTATTAGCAATAGTTTTCAGGTAAAATGTGTTGTATGAAACATCAAATCCATTCAATACAGCAAGTGAAGGTGACTTGACAATTCGCCCCTGACATTTTCATAATTTTCCCTGACTTCTGAAAATTCCCTGACATTTCCTGGTATTCCCCGGCTGTGGCCACCTTGTTTTAATATTTACTTTTCTCTTTGTTTTTAAGTTGACGTAGATACCAGTGAGTCCTGTTCATCTAAGAGGAGCAGCGGTAGATTTTCCGGTGTTAAAGGCGTGGGAATTTCAAATATCAAGCAAGTAAAAGTGGAAAAGAAACCAATCAATGAAAGCGGCTGTGAATGCTTTGCTCCTTTCAAGGGGAGGGACTAAGCATCAAAATGAAAGTATTCCAAGACTTCTGTGAAATCACGTTGAAAAACTGAGCTTTATTTAGTAAGTATGTTGTTTTTCTTTTCTTGCGACTTAGAATATTTTAATTTTTGCCTTGATTAATTGAGGGGCTTAGAGGACAAGGCCCATAAGTGCAGTTTTTGAAAGAATTGAGATATTAATGATTTCAAGTAAAACTAGTCTTAATGCATATGCTGCAAAAAGTTCGCTCCCAAATTCCAATTTTTAAGCATCCAAAAGTCAGTTTGAACTTTTTTTCTGCCATGAAGATCAATGTAATTTGGAAACTTAGAACACACATTTCAAGATTAAGCAAAAACTGCACTTATGCGCCTTGGCCTCTAAGCCCCTCAATTTTAGTGACTGGCTTCGGAAATCGAAATTCTGCTGATTTAGATGAGGAGGTTGAAAGAGAAACAGTGATAGCAAGCAACATTTTTCTGGAACACGGCTCCTAACTTTCTTGCTGTACTATTTTTGAGATTACTAGATTTATAGTTTTTTTTTTAACCAAAATGTACTTTATTTCTTCAGAATGCAGATTTTCCTGGCTTTTCTTTTCTGCCACAAGAAGCTCTTCAAAAAATCAGCAGCTCTATCCTCATGGAAAGTGGCTTTTTTAGTATAAAAATACAAACAAAAAACATATTTTTTCTGTTCTTAATTTTTATAAAATGAATACTTCTGATAATAAAATGGCCGTAAAATTTTCATAATGAATTTTATAAGCAATCATAAACTGTATTTGGTACCATTTCAAAACTTGGAATGCAACTTTCTCAAGATGATATTTTCCCACTCATCCCAACTCTCCATTTATCTCTTTAGAAATGTGATTGGATCTCTGTAAGAAACCTTATCTTCCAAGAGTAAATTTACTTTGACTTCTTTCAAATGCATAAAGGAAGAAAATTAGGAAATTTTGGCGCAAGTTTAACTCTAAAAGCTCAAAAATTAAAGAAGATACGTGCACTAAAGTTCTGAGACAAAAATTCTTAGATTGTAAAAAAACACTGTTTGAGATTTTGCTAAAACTTAAAGAAAATTCATCCCAGAAGAGAAGGTCCCTTTCGTAGACCCGTCAGTAATGTGCTACAGTTAAATTATTTATCTCTCACCGAGTAATCTAACCTCTTGATTACCTACACAAATCTGCGTGCCTTTTAGCTTTTTTCTGAAGGAAAGAATTGAAAAAAGAACTAAGATCTTAGATTAAACCAATTTATTTGTGGTAACGAACTTAAATTTAAACACATAGGTACCGACAGTTCTCGACATTAATTACATTAGTGAAAAAACAAGAGATAGAAAGAAAGTTACGGCTTCCATTCTAAGACTCTTACATCGATAAAGTAGCCACCACCTGTCAATTGATTGTGACATGGAAGAATTGATCTGGACAGAACTAGGAAATAAAATGCAGAACATTCCCTTGGTCTTGACCAAAATCGGAGGGAAATTCATTTGCTGAAATCTGATGGAATGAGTAAATCAAAACAGGGTATATCAAGAAATCTGTAAGGTTCGCCAGAATTTCAGTGAGAGAAGGAACCCTAGTTTAAGTGTGACGCCAGTCTTCACAGCTAAGTGCTATAAGTCTAATGTAAAATAATATCACTGTCGCAGCTGACACTGCAACATTAATGGTAATCGACTGAATTAGTGGCTACGTTATTCTTGCAGTATTCAACTTATTCATTGGCGATTCATGGTATAATTTTTTGTGTTTTATTGAAAATGGGCAATCTACTGTAGAAGTGCTCAGCGCTATCTGTGATAATTGCGATGATTCAAATCAAAACAATCAAACATAATCTCAGGGCCAAATTCTGTTTGACTGTGTTCATTTTTTAAAATTTCGTCATTAACAAGTCATAAATCAATAAATGGCTCACTAAACACGAAAAATATTGTCAGCAAGAAACACCTGGACGCATTTTATTACAAACTGTGCTAATACCAAAAGGTTATGTGTCTGTTTTTTGAGATTTGTTTGGCCTCTATTCCCTACATGTGTAAGTTTACATTTGAACCATCAAAACTGCAATATGAAACAATAGCGTAGCCATTAAATTAGTGTATGGATTACCAAGGAGCAAATGTGATGAATAATAAAACCCCTTAATGCTGATAATGTCTTGATGCGAGTGGTAAAAAAGAAAAAAAAGGCGTCTTGATGTAAGTGTAAATGACAAAAATAATTTCTATCATTCATAGTCACAATTATTGTAGTCTAACATCGAATTCACACTTGTGACCAATCACCTATCAATGCATAAGAACTTGTGAATGAATGATCGAGCACCTTTATGATGAGATTATGCATATCTCTGACTTTCATTTCGATTGGTTCAACAAGCAACTAGTAGGGCTCGGAAAAACAGAATGGGTGTAAAGCAAGAGTTGATATGAACAAGATACACCACAAGACAACAACAATTGCGTTATATTCGATGAGAGGAATGTTCAAGTGGTTCATCTAACGCAAGGTTATTCTTTGCTTATTTTCAGGACTTAGAACACCTTAAATCGTATAAATGGATCCTGATATGTAAAATATGTGTGTCATTCGAATCTTTCCTTGAATGATTCCTTTTCAATGAACGTGGCCTTTTATCAGTACTCGAAAGAAACATGATTTAATTTTGTAATTTTATCAATAATATCCTCAAATTTATTTTTTCCTTGATTGCATGATAATTATTTTGTCTGATAAGACTCCGTATAGATTTCAGGTTTTTTTGGGGAAAAGCAATCCTGAAGATTCTTTGTCAGCCCTAGGACTTTTCATTTTGACTCATAGTCATGTGGAGGACAATGAGTCAGTTGCCTGCAAGAGATACAGCCAACTGAATATGCACGCCAAGTGTAAATTCCCTCGAAAATCACTTTGAGCACATCAAAAAAGTGTGAAATCCACTCCTTGGCGTGCAATCTGCATAGTTTGTAACACGCCTCTTCAATTTTTGCACACATCCAGGCAGTTTTTCTTGGTGGTTCGCAGTCAGGTTTGCCCAGAGAGAGACCTAACCTAAGTAAACAATCTCGCAAACTGTTAGAAATTCTCCTTGCGTAAGATTTCAATTGATTCAAAGATTTTGTTTTTGCAGAATTAAGAAAGCAAAAGAAAACAAATGCTTGAAAACAATTTAGATCCTAAAATAGAAAAAAATAGTTAAATCGTTTGTTTCCTCAGGTCAATTTTTCTTACTCCTCTGCCTGAGCAAACCTGGTTGGCGGTGACTGAAAAAAAACTGCCCGCAGATGGAGGATACTTGAAAAAGCATGTTACAAACTTCGCAGATTATGCCCTAAGGAATGGATCTCAGAACTTTTGAATGTGCTGAACGTTAATTTCATGCGATTTTACCTGTAAAAAGTAAAATTATTTGGCTGTGTCTCTTGCGAGCAACAGGCCCATTCTACATACGAAGTGCGGAAACTCGAAACTTGATGAGCGACATTAGGTGTTGGTAAGATAGCACAATTGTTTAGTCATTTTATCAGAATATGGTGGCCTGACAACAACAATTTTTATCATGGAGATGAGACCAAAATACATATGGGGCAAATGTCTTGATAAAAATTCAATAAAGCAAAGACATTGAAGTTCTTTCAGAGTGAGAAACAGCATGCTTTCTTTGCAACTCCTGACATCACTTACAAAGTTTTGAATTTCCGCTCTTCAAATATCAAAGCTGATTTTGATAGCAGCTGAAGCTGATATTGATTTGGTGATAATTTTTTTTTTTTTTAAATTGGCTTCGACTGTAAAATTAATACAGCTGGTCAGAGATTTTAACTTTATTCACTGGATCTTTGTAGCTTAGTAAAATCAGAAGAAATCAAAACTGTCAATTTTAAAGCTTCTGAATGACTCAAGAGAAAAGTATTGAATACAAAGTTGGAGGAAGAAAATTTTCCTTTCAAAAAACAAAAACAAAATTGAAATGAGAACTATGAGCTTTGAAGCTATAGTGATGAATTTACCTAGGCTAGTGATAGAATTTTTCAGTGACTGACGTGAGAAAATGTTTCATGTTTTCAGAGGATGTAGACCAAAAGACTCAGCAATAGGTTGTCCTAATCCATTTTAGAGGATCAAGATTCCTTCTGAAGTCTATAAAATCAGTTCTTTGTAAGAACTGCTAGAGTACAATTCTTAAGGATTAAATTTGTTCAAGAGTAAAAACACATACAAATAAGTAACAAATTAAGAGTCTTGCAAGTCCAAAAACTCAGATTCCGATCATGATTTGCAAATGAAACTTGCAGGATGAAAATGGGCAGATGTAAAGCGGCGAATGAGATAAGTTAAGGAATTTGCATTGGGATTGGGTACAGTTCCTTACTTAATTTTAAGCCGCAAATTTTTTTCTAGAACATACGCATCTGCAGGTTCAATCCTTTTGTAGTAATGCTCTTTTGTCTCTACAATTTCAAAGCCAAATTTTTTGTAGAATTCGATTGCTCCATCGTTGTTTAGTTGAACATGTCTGAAACATAGCAATCCAAAAATTAGCGAGTGTATTTATCTGAAACATTGACATAACATGAACTTACGCGGCCAGATAAGGGGCTGTTTACAAAATATGCAATGCACTATGAGGGAGGAGTCTACTGAGCTTGGCTCCTCCCAATTACAACAGCACCAATTGTGTCTTCTCTTCAAACTAGCAAAAAGAACACGCTCACATACTAGGCTTAACTACTTATACAATTGTATTGCATAGTTTATCCTCTCTTGGAATTGACCTTTTCATTTTCTCTTTTATTGATATTCAAACTTTTTCCTTTGTTTCAGAGTTTTGCGGCTAAAATTTAAACAATGTCTTTGAATATCAAGATTATCTTTGACTCTGTAAGAAATCCACCTCAGAGCTGTTTAGTGCCTTAGAATTGGGAGTGACTGAGAAAAACTAAGTTTGAACTCTCTTGACGCCAGGAAAAGTTGCACCTCTAAAATTTTTCAAGCATATTCAAACCTAAATTATGCTCATTATTTCGTCTCCTCAATATCCAGAATTTTATAGCTTTTGACTACTCCTTAAATGCATCAAAGCAAGGTTACACTTCAGAATTACATGCAGTTTTAATACATTTTCCATTAACTGTATTTCCTTGTAAAATATATTGTGATACAAATAGAACGCCTCTATATAGAGGTAACATTGACCCTCAGAAAGAGATACAAATGCTTCATTTCAAACGAACATCATAACTCGATTTTCCCATTCCTTTTTTCAAATTCCTTTTTTCAGGTTCCAGTAATTTTAAAATAAACTAATCTATTAAACGAAAATGACGCAGAATTTAAAGGGAAAACACAGTTAGCTAAGAGATAACCGGTTAGCAGAATCCTCCACAGAACTGTAACTCTAATTTTTCCCACCACCATTAACTATTAGAATCATAGGTTAGCAATTTTTCCCACCACCATTAACTATTAGAATCATAGGTTAGCAGACAAACAGGAAGAATATGAGTTTCATCTTAAACTTTGGTTCCTTTTTATTTGATGAAATCAAAATATTATCCTCCCACTTTGCTAACATAGATGACTCTCTTAAAAACTGATTATTATCATCGGTTTTAAGTTGTAACCTATCTGCTATGTGATAGTTAAATCTTTAAGTATTATCTATTGGTATTTGTTCCATAAGGCGTCTAAATCAATCCTTTTATGATAGCTATATAAAAGTCACTTTGTCATAACTACGTACATGTGTATATCTCATTAGAGTAAAGACAAATTTGATTAAACTTCAATTCCCAAAAATTATATGAAGGGGGTGTTAAGAAACCTTAAAACAAATTAATTAATAGGAAACCATTCTATAAGTATTTTTTCATTTCTGCTTTAGGAGGAACTCGTTTAGACAGCTAAGCAACCTAATAATTAGTTAAGAATGTTAACACTCACATTTCCATGTGAGCATATCATCACTAATGACTTTTTGTACTGCAGACAATGTAAGTAGCTTCATTTTAAACAGAAAGATGTGATTAGAGAAAAAAGCAAACTAATTAGGATATCCTCAAAGACTATGACTTATCTCATCCATTTTGTGTTAATGATTGAAAATCTTCTACATAGCTGACAACTATGAGTAGGTTAATATTACCTAGGTAAATATCTACTAGCTCAAATATCCTGTTAGAAAACCTGATGATATTAGGTAAAATAGATTTAGTCTAATATATTGATTTCAACATAGCCAGTATTTCATATTGAATGGAGCAGTGGCAAGGAAATTTCGCAAGATTTTAATATGGTTCAACAGGTTCCTACTTAAAATTTCCTAAAGCCAGAAGGTTCACAAAAGCATTCCCAAGGAAAGACAAAATTCCACCGATCATTAGGCATCAGTCCAGTTGACATAGCAGGCTACGCCTGAAACAAAGTTAGGCCAATCGGCAAACACAGTTCCCCCAGTTTGCCTGCAGTATCTGGAGCTGAACCTGCCAAAAATGACCAGAAATATTGTTTCCAACAGGTCCCATTCTTGGCATTCCGAAGCGGAGTTTCTTTCTTATTTAGGGTTAACAAAATCTGAATGAATTCCAAGAGGCTTGGATCATTCCCTACTTTCAGAAAATAATTTTAAAAAAAATGGGTGCCTCCAACCCATTTCAACTAGTCCTAAAGTTCATTCAATATGTCGATGGAAATGAATTTTTTCAGTGTGTGTTCATTTTTAGATGAGTACCCACCAACTAAGATCGTTGCTCTCACATTCCTTCAATATATCAAGAAAAATACGATGAGAAAGTACTATACTATTTAGTTCCACTTTACATGCTTTTAGATTTGCTAGCTATTCTCTACTCTCTTGAAGGACAAAAAGGTAAGATTGTGTCAGGAAAATTAGTATATTCATGATCAGTTGAAAATACTTAATAACCTCGCTAAAAGAGTTCGTAAATTTTCAGCAGTATAAGGATTTATCCGTCCAGTAATATATTGCTACAGGTAAATGAGGAGAAGCTTTTTACTTCTTCCAGATTTTTGTGCTTTAACTTGTTGAATTTTTACACTTTCCCTTTGTGATAAGGTACTTAAGTTAAAATTAATGTACACAATGAACTGCTAGACAAAGTGTGAGTTCGAGCATTATGACGTGCGCTTTCTCATCAAAACTCCATGTAGAACACAACAGTATTACAAAAATTACTGACAGGAACTCCCAAAAAAGATATTATTAAAATTGTTTGATGCATGAATTCTAACTTACTGCTCATGAAAAAAAACCATTATCTACTTGAGTTGGATCACACGCTGAATGTTACCATAACAGCCTTGGCAGTGTGAAAATATGACAACCCCAATATGGGTGCATAACCTCAGCTATTGCACGTTGTAAACATTTTGAACAACATAGGGTGGGGAGAGAGCGCTGCTTTTTGAAAAACCTGCTGTTCCTGCTAACAACAGGACCATTGTAGAGGGCAATTTGATCTGAATAGACTGTCGTACTACATGTGAGCTGGAAATTTGCATAATTTCTTAAAGCGTAAATATTTTGGTTGGGAGTTGATTTCAATGATTTTTGATGCACAAATCATGTTCTACTAGAAATTTTGAAGAGGAAAATTTTATCAGAATTCTTAAATTCCTACCCTGTCTAGTGCTCCATTGTTGACTTCAGGAGAAATGTCCTGAAGTTATAGACCTATTAAATACTCAAACAAGGTCCTTGATATTGAGTGGGGCAATTATTATTACTATTTTTTTTGGTTCATCTCAATAAATATCATTCATTTAACAAACTGAAAAAAAATAAAACTGCGATTTTAACTTTTTCTTTAATTTTTCAATTCTGGAAAGAGTTTTTTTTTATTTGTTTATGTAATATTTTAATAGTGAAATACACATCTAGTCACAAAATAAGAGACTCTTTTAGGCGTAAGTTGATGTTTTACTTGAGCTTCGGCAAAAAATTGTGATATTTATTTAGAAACGTTTAGATTCTTAAGAAAATCACAAGAAATTCTCATAAAATGAGGACAAATCATCACTGTAAAATATTTGTTTGTTTGGTTGATCTTTTATATGTTTTGAAATAATGGCACGTAGTGTTGATAATAAATTATTATATCTTCACGTTCAAACTTTAGTGTTTCTCTACCAGTTTTCTGAGAATCAATGCAAACCTAGAAATAGAGACTATCTCTTCCTATCATGAAGGTATGCTAGAAAAACATTTGGTGAGTAAAAATTATGGGAATCAGTTTCTATGCAATGTAATGGATGTTAACTCCAGGAGCAAGATCTTTACAGCCTCATAAACAAATGGTTCTATAAAAAAAAAAGAAGTGAAGCGAAGAATAGGGCGCTGAGAGCAACTTATACAGTAAGACCTCGATTCATCGGATCTCACAGGGCTGACAATCCGTTAAATCAAGAAATTTGTTAGTCCAAATTGGCCTGTCGCAAACTACAGCTGGAGCAAAAGGAGGAGTAGTTCCTAATAGAAAAGGGCTTAAAAATCATGATGGGCGCATCGGGAAAGTTTGAAATACACTCATAACTTCACTATCTGTGAGAGGAGTATGCGTTTTTTTAAGCTCCCCGTTTAAAAAAGGATACTATGGCACAGGTGGACATTCCGCAAGAGGAGTCATTCCATCCAACCCTTGCGCACTAGGATGCTACGCATTGGTCATTTATTTACCCTAATAGCCCCCCAAAAGTTTAAATCAGGGGAAAAAGTACCCTTCTTTTCAAAAATAATATCAAATACTAGTTTTTCAATTGAGCAGATAGAGCTCTAAAACAAGGCAAAGTTGAGCTTTGTAGCTTGATAAGCACCAGAGTTATGATTTAATTACATTGAAGGAGTCCTTGGCCTCAAGGTTTTTTGCCTTCCTTGAACCCTTGTAACTCCAGTTCTATTGGTCACAGGGAGACAAAATTGTGTGAGACTCATACCATCATATGGTTCTCTATGCCTACAAAATTTTATTTAAAAAAAAAACCCCATCATTTTCATGAAAATTCATTGCTTAAACTGACATGGAATGACCCGTCCACATGAAAATAGAATCAAATTTCTTTCCTTGGCTTTTGAACAGGGTTGCCACAAAGTTTAGAAAATGAAACTTCCTGACATTTCCTTGTTTCCCCTGTAACATTTTAATCAAATTCCCTGACAATTGAAGATGTGCCAGATAGTTGAAAAGACTCATTTTGAAATCGTTTTCACGCAAAATTTGTTGTTAAAAATGTCAAACCCATTCTAGAAGGCAAATGAAGGTGATTCAAAAATTTTCCCCTGACATATCGAGGTTTTCCTAGATGTGGCAACCCTATTCAAATATTGATGTCTTTGAAAGACATTCTTAAATTTCATCAGGTTTTTTTCTGCCCACTGTTGATAACTTGATCAAGAAAGCAACGATTGAAAAAGAGAGAGAGAGAAGTTTGAACACTTACAAATAGACACTATCAAAGTTTCCATCCTTTTCAACATAATTTAAAACATGTTCTACCATGGTGGAGCCAATTCCCAGCCGTCGGTATGGCGATAAACAACCGAGGGTCATAATGTACAGCCGCCTTCCATTATTGGGATCAATTCTACAGCAAACTGCGCCAACAACAATGTCATTGTAGTATGCTGAAAAATGAACAAATTTTATTTTAAAATTAGTATGTTCTGAGATTCAACAAAGAAAAAAAGGAAATAAAAAAGCTCTTCTGCAGTTATTAGAAAAAAAAGGAAGAAAAAAAGGAAAAAAAATGTATTTAAAAAGTAGAAAAGAAAGGAAAATATACTAAATAAAATAACTGAGGCAGCAGCTGCGATGACAGCACATACAACAAAACACTGTTCTCAGAAAATGTAATTGAAGTTTTAATCAGCAAATACAATGTGACCTTTCTGAAGTGATAATCACTGTTGGAACCCCTTATGTTGGCACGGGTGGCCGTGCCTGAGTTTTTAAAGAACTTGTATTTGATGCGATTTGCAGCTGTTGTAGAAGAGCAAATTATGTTGAACCTCACTGACGCTCTAGGAGAAATAAATAAGGGATAGCTTACCTAATTTTGCTAACTCTCCTGCCTCCAAGACATCTTTGTAAAACTTTTCATTATATGATACTGGAAATACTACTGTATTTAACTGTTTTAATTGTTTGATGTTGTGTGGTGTCACGTCACCCAATTCTATTTTGGCTCTGAAAAATGAAGAAAATCAAATTTAGTTATGATAGGAAGTAAAGTGTAAAAATAAAGATGATGGTGACCAAGCTTGTAATCTTTATACTCCATGATAACATGAACGCAGCTTTAGAACGCGATGACTCCCCAGTACCTCAGGATGAATTCTAGAAATGACAACGGCTCTGGCAACACCAAATACTCGTCAGTAGTTATCTTAAGCAACAGATCATAATCATGCAAGATGCTAAGAGCAGGATCAAAGATTTTCCTCTTTCAATTTAAAGGAATGTCACCCTCCCTTTGAGGAATCGGCTTGGCAGCATCGTCGTCTTAGGATTACTGCACATTGCTTGGCATTGGCATTTAAGTTTCAGCAGCATTTCGCCCTGTCTCCAACCAGAGCATTAAAAACAAAACATCAATGTGTAGCAAATGAGAACAACACCCCTGCCCTGTTGTTTTGGGTATGTGAAAATCAAAGAGGAGAGGTGACTTTGCCAGAATTCTCCTGAAGAAGTTTTGATCCATAGAGAAAAAAAGGAGGTGTTTGCATTTCGGGCATCTTGGAATTTTTTGATGACTTGATGACATAGGTGGGTAAAGCTACAGGTAGCGTGAAGGGGACGTTGCTGTACCCACCTACGTCATCAAGTCATCAAAAAATTCCAAGATGCCCGAAATGCAAACACCTCCTTTTTTTTCTCTATGGTTTTGATCACAATGAAGTTAGTGAGCTGTTAATTGTACAGTTTGTACCCTAAAATTTATCATAGATTAATAATGAACCATTTAAGTCAACGATTCCAAGGACCGACAACTGTGAATCTTGGAACTGTTCAAATCCAAGCCCACACGTGGATATTCTGATCCTCTCAGAGATGTTGCTAAAAATGGGATAAGGCTAGCAGTTTTTTTATTCCTTTACTGTTATATTAATAACAATCTACAGAATGAATGGAGCAAGGGTGCTATGATCAAAATACATACTATTTCCTACTCATCATGCGGCGTAGAGGAACAGAGACAGCGTAAATCGAATTTTGTGTCTCAAGATAAAAAGAGTAGTCTGAATGAATGGCAAGTATGAATGTTAAATGTGGATTCAAGTAGAGAGTGAATGCTGAAAGAATAATGCTAAGAGTTTTTTCAACATGCAAATTGAGGTAAAATACGAGTATAACCTAAAATACTCTCTATCGGTCTTAGACATTGTAAGGCATTTTCGCCGTGAAAACCCCTTTCAACCATGTAAGGGACGATCGCTTAGAACATTAAGAAATTTCTTACCTAGTCATATTGGTTACGGAAATTACCATTAATTACAGACACGAGTTATACTATATTGATGGTATCTTCTGATGAATGAAAATGAATGTGTTCGTTTTCGTTGCGGTGTGCGTGTGCGGTATGATTGTGTGAGTGTGATGCGTGTGTGGGTGAAGGTGCGTGATGCGTGTGCGTATCAATAAAAGAACCACGTAAATAAAACTGAAATCCCCTAAATATCTGCGGTTTTTACTTTTGCCACGATTTTTTCAGGCATTGACTACTCACCGATGATACTCATCTGTTTTGCTATTGTTGGCCATTAAGTAACTCACCGATTACTGATAACGGGAGGGAGGGAATACTCACCGAAAGAACCTTTGTTTACTTTTTCCTTACTGCTTGATAAGGTTTGTTATTTAACGTTCTTCCTGGATTCTTAACATTATCTTTTATTCTGAATTTCTCTTTTTCATTTCTTGCATATCGGTGTGACTGGTGCAATACTTGCAAGTGTAATTTATTTCGTTTTGTGACTTTCAGAGGTGAGTTGTGAGTGACAGAATGGACCCCATGAACGGCCAAACCACTGCCAAAACCCTTATTGCAGTGAGTCATAAGACATTGTTGTTTTTCAATACTGACGTATATTTCAAAGGATGATTCACTGAAATTTCCCAATTCATTTCACTAACTATTTTATCTCGTTTCAAATTTCTAATAATATCCTTAAGTTATAAGCCTCAAGAGTAGTGTGCTTCAAAGCTTCCATTCCCTCCTGAACCGGAGTCAGGGTCAGTTTCCTGGTTAAGTAATTCTTTGTCATTATTTGTTCCTCAATCGCAGTTTTTAAATCGAGTAATAACAGAAAGGATCCCACTGGAGTTGCATTTTCAACTGTAGTCCATCATGTTTTCCTCACGGTGCAATCACTCAAAGCTGAAAACAAATCTTAGGTTAGCAATTGCACGTCTGAAACAGATTGAGAAGAAAAAAGCTGAACTAGCTCAGAAGTCAAGGAAAGAAATTGCAGATTACATCAGTGCTGGTAAAGTTGAGCGTGCCAAGATTCGAGTTGAACAGATCATACGAGAAGACTACATGGTTGAAGGAATGGAAATTGTGGAAATGTACTGTGATTTGTTGATATCAAGATTTGGACTCTTCGCCGAAGAAAAGTAAGTCTTAAAGTGATGGAAGTATTTATATTTAGCAGAATTTCAGTTTTTCAACTTCTCTTTCATTACAACTAGAAGTCAATAGGAAATAAAATTTTAATTGATACTCCTCCGAGTCAGCGATTGACCAGGCATTGTCTTTAAGTATATAGGCATCTGGTATCAGGAGGCCGGAGCAGGTTATAGGGTTGCAAATCCTCAATCCCAAACTCAGAGGCCAATGCCTTACATCGTATAAAGATGCAAGATGTTTCTCGCTTGTAGCTGTATCAGTCTAAATATTAAAATGCAGTGGCTTGACCCAACTGACCAGTTCATAAGAAATGATTTAATTTTTGGCTGAATTATAGCGCACCGGACGTAATTGATCGCTGGATGATTATTGGCTGGTTAAGTACCTATGAATAACTCTGTAACCTCAAGCCGAATTTGCTGTCCATACTTATCCTGCGGGTATCTTCAGGGTTGTAAGTATCATGTGAATTGCATGATCCAGTAGGAGGTTTTTTCTGAAATGGCAAGATACTCTTGCAGTGGCTTTAACTTAATTAGGTACTGTATTATGTATTTTCTTTATTAATAAATAAAATCTGAATAATGTTGGAGATCCATAACCTTTTTGACTCATTGAGAGATGTTCCGAGTATCCCTTTCAGGCAGGAGAAAATTGCTTAGCATGTGCTTGAGTTGGTGAGGAAAAGTTTTCCCATTCCAAGAGAAGAATGCTCAAAATTTTTGAAAAATTAGGTAATTCTTGTCACAAATAGTGCTGGAAAAATCTTCAGAAAAATCCTAGCAATTTTTTTTCTTTTCAATCAAGACTGAGCATTTATCAACACATACCTGTTTTAAACTTTACTCAGTTTTAGGATGTCTATTGATTCTGACCGAACATACGGATCGAATTTGGCGGTATATAGTAGATTTCTTTTCCTAAAGTGTAAATCAACCTGTCGTTTGCAGAATTCCATGCGATTTTTCTCTCTTATTCATAGATCATTAATCTCTGTTTCCGTATGGTTATTATTTTTGTACGAGTAATTTATTTCCAACTATCACTTTTGGTTAAAGGATTTAGTTTGAGGGATGTAATTTATTTATTTTTTGAATTAGGTACCCTGGGCAATAGATATTATATTAATTACAATCTTTACTCTCAATCTAGCAACCTGAACCTTGTAAAATGACAAAGTATTTTCAGTTTTGCATTACACTGTGTTAAGTACTTTTTTTCCCTTTATTGTAGGGAGTTGCAACCAAGCTTAGCGGAAGCTGTCTCAAGCATTCTTTGGGTTGCACCACGGATGGAAAGTGACATCCCAGAGTTAAAAGTAATTTCTGAACAAATTGGTATCAAAGTAGGGAAAAAATATGTTGAGGTGAGTATAATCAACCAATTATGTGACTTTCATCAGAAGTGTTGATAACAGAGCCTCAGAAACTTTTAAAATACTTTTTCCAACCTGTTTGCCTTGATTTCCATGTGTCACAATGGCCATCTTCGGGCCTTCACAATTTCATCGCTAAGTCATGAAATAGGTAAAATATGAGACATGTTTATAGATAAACTTTTAAAGGCAATTAAAAACTGAATGCAAATTTTCGGGCTTTTAGCTTCTTCACTAAAATTGTGGATCTTTCACCCCTATCTGTGCATGGAGAGTTTGACTTACAGTAAAGGCAAATTTTGCATAAGGCCAGGGTGCTCTATCTCAGCCTCGGCCTAAAAGTTTTTTTTGAGCTTGAGAGTTAATTTTAGAGGTAATCAGGAGTACTATCATGTTTCTTGCCAACTTCCATGTATGATGAGGTAATTAAAATGCATATCAGTTAGACAAGTTTCAGGGTCAGAAGGGCTCCAGTCTGGGTAACTTAAGAATACACCACTTCAATTTGTTTTTCATCATATTAAACAACTCATGAACTCTTTTCTTTGCTCAATTCACCAAAAATAGGCATGCCGCCTGGAAATGGTAGACACAATTTCGGACAAACTCAAGCATAAAATGGGTGTTCAGCCTCCTCCAAAAATTCTGGTTGAAAAGTACTTGATTGAAATAGCAAAAAACTACGACATCCATTATGAACCAGATCAACAAGTAAGTATTTTATGCGTTTTGTTACTGTAAGACAAGCAGTAACAGCATTTATGGCTATGCAATTATTGTAAAGGAGGCAAAATCTAAAAAAATGTAAAGTCCCAGATCCTTAGTAAAAGAAAATAAAGTAAAATGAAACAGAGCTCTCAACTCTTCAGTCTTCAAGTTGAGTTTTTCAGATTTTCAGAAAATCAGAATTCTTGTTCCTCACTTTGTAATGTCATAATTAATTTTATTTATGTTTTTAATTTAATTCCTAATCATTTTCCTTCCAAGTAATTGAAATGACTTCTTTTTGTCGTTTCTCAAAATTTCATAGAAGAATGCCCATAAGTTTACTTATGAGAAAGTAAAATTTAAAAGAAAGTGTTGAAGCAAATTAATAAAGAAACATGCTTTTTACATTCTTCACCTTACCTCAGCTTGTGATGAAGTCTTTAAAATGGTTAAAGTCAAAGAACGCTTGATCTCCATTGCAACGCTTGAAAACTTCGTTTATGATTTATTTTCTATGAACAAAAGAATAGAAAAAACATACCCTCTTGTAATTTTCTGTAGATAATTTTAAATTAAAGAAAAGAATTTCAGGGGAAACAGTTGGTAAAATTTATTTTGAAAAAATAAGATATGAGCTGAGACTTGCAACATTTCAATTTGAGATATTAATTTTTCAACTTTAGCTATCGATATGTTTTACTCTTGTTCAAAAAAAGAAGGAAAAAAATTACTTTTGTTCTGACAAGATGGTTCCTCGTGATAAAGTTTTCTAATTGATTCTAAGCCAACAGAATTTAATTGTGTTCCAAGGTGTAACGGCCATAGTTTTTTTATTTTAAAAGGAGATTTGTAATTCGCTCATGACTGATTTCAGGTTATGTTAGAAGAACAGCAAAGCAAAGGAATAGATGCTTTGTTGTTCGATAATGGGCTCAGCAATGATTTGGGTGGTGAGAAAACACGCCCGACTGGATTTGTCGGATTTCCACAACCGCCTCTTCCTCCAATGCCAGTCCCTGCCTCTGCAGGAGCCGCTAAACCTTTCAATTACCCGGTAAGTTATCAGCCTCTGAAACGGTTTATGCTGAGGTGTTAAGATGCTTGTTACTGTCTCGTAATGTGATCAGCTCTTCCTATAACATTCCATGCCCTATTATTACCTTATTGTCTTATTGTTTTTGAGCAGACAGTGAAAAATTGTACCTTCTTTTGAATATGGGGGGGGGGGGTTACAGAGGCAAAAGGTTAACACCGAGAGAAGAAATAATCATAAAAATAAAAAATGAAAGTTAAATCATATTTTGTAAGCCGTGATGAAGAGAACATTTAACACGTAAAACCAAGTATGACAAAATTACCCTCTGTGATATGACTTTATCAAAATGAGTCCAGCTGACCGATGCTGCAGTGATCCAATGTCTAGGGCTTTATCCCTACATCTTGGGATTTTCCGGAATTTCTAGGGATCTAGGGATTTAAAGATTGCTAATCGATACATCAAATGACGACATGATTTTACGTTAATAATGGCGGTTTTTTTGCTAAATCTAGGGATTTTTTGGAGGTAAAGAGAAAATCCGGGGATTTAGGGATTTTCATTGAAATCAAGGGATTTTTTTTCTTTCTTGCTAGGGATTCAATATCGGATCACTGCAATGCTGTAGAAAAGCTACATCAAAAGCAAACCTGGGAACCATGTATCTCGGCTTGCTACTTTAGAGCCCCCAGCATAGGTGACTTTGTACCTGGTCAGCCACAGAGCATCACTTTTTTCAAATCTCTGTGATTTTTTTATTTTTATGCTGAGTCCTTAATGGAAATTTGAAACAACGCAGATGACGTGTTTTTCTTAAAAAATAATAGAATTGCAGGAATTTTGAAACACTGAAATAGAGGTATAACCAATGTAGCCGTCAATATTCCATTCAAGAGCGTCTCTATGTAATATTTTGATCTAATTGAAAATTCGATCAAAAACCAAACCCTCAAAAGTTCACAATGAACTCCCTCTGAAACTAAAACCGTAACCAGAATGTGAATAAAAGAGAATTCTAAGATTCTGATTCTCAATTCAATGTCTAGTTACCACAAGTCCAATGTGGAACTTTATTTAATCATTGAATCAAGTTAGGTAGTCAAAGTAGGCGAAAACAATTATTTCTCTCGAAAATTAACTCAGCTGTTTTTTTTTTCGAGTTGATCTCATTGCCTTGGAAACCTTTACTTAACTATATATAGGTGGTGCATATTTCTGCAATAATGGATCAATGATGACAAAATTTCATTAAGTATTCTTATTTGTTTCTTTTCAAATGTCTGAACTTCAGCAAGGGAACGATCAGCAGGTGAGTTCTTCTATCACCAATTGAAAAAAAAAAAAAAAAAAAAAATCCATGATAAATTTTTGGAATCATTCACCAGAAAAGAAACGACAAATATTACAGAAAAAATGGAGCCTTAACGAATCCAGCAGGCTGATTATTGTTTTTGCATTGATATATCAAATAGACGCTTTGATTTTTAGCTCCAATGGGCCTGTTGCACCATTTTTTTATTGCTTTATTCGAAAGAACTAAGGCTCCTGATGTCACAGGACTTTTCGCGGAGTTTTTTGATCACCGGAAACCCTCAAAAAATCAACTTAAAAACGCCTCAAAATTTGGATTTTCAAAACGGTTACTTTTACGCGGTAACGGATCCGCCATACTTGTGACATGAAATGGTGCAACAGACCTGGTCTTTTCATCACTTACAATGTATTTTCCCATGAGGAATTGGCAAATATCGAGTCAATCTATGATTTTTTGATCAAAATGGATTCCTCGTACGTTTAAATGGTTAAAACCTTCATTAGATAAAAAGGAACCGACAGGATAAACCCTATTATTAGGGAATACTGTAGTCAATGGGCGATTGTTTACATCTGCTTAGTGATAACAGACATGGACATTAGCTCAATATTTAGCCATTTTCATGAGTTTTTACTTTTTTGTCACTATTTGAAGGTAAGTTTCTTTTGTAAATAAATTTTTTAGTGCCTTAGGATCATGTCAAAAGCTGTAACAGTTCCCGTTACTTATTAATTCAGAAAACACTCCGGCAGTGTAACGCACAAACCTGGATGTAACGAGTCAGTTGTTATTTCTTAATATTTCACCCTTCAATGTTTCACTGAAGACACCAAAATGATAGTATCAATCATTGATGGTAAAAAAAAAAAAAACTTACCTTTGACAATACTGATGAGATGAGGAGACCGGTATGTTTTAGATGGAGGCAAGGAAAGTAGACCTAGGATCCTTCTTTGGTTACCAGACTTATCGATTAATTTTTCTGTATCTATAGTGTTAATTTAAAGTAACATAAGTTTATAAAACGTGGGAACGTTCTGAATGATATTGAGATGTTTGCTGAAGAGTTAAAAATGATTTACACACATTGAGAGAACATCCATGGTTTGAGCGTTGGACTGCTGGAGTGTGTTCTGAACATTAAGTGACAATGTGTTCCATTACAGCTTTTGACATAATCCTAAGGCACTAAAAAATTGATTTACAAAAGAAACTTACCTTCAAATAGTGACAAAAAAGTAAAAACTCATGAAAATGGCTAAATATTGAGCTAATGTCCATGTCTGTTATCACTAAGCAGATGTAAACAGTCGCCCATTGACTACAGTCTTCCCTAAAAATAGGGTTTATCCCGTCGGTTCTTATTTATCTAATGAAGGTTTTAACCTTTTAAACGTACGAGGAATCCATTTCTGAATTCCATTTTGTTCAAAAAATCATAGGTTGACTCGATATTTGCATTTGAAAAGCGGCTGCCAATTCCTAATGGGAAAATACATTATAAGTGATGAAAAGACCAGGTCTGTCGCACCATTTCACGTCACAAGTATGGTGGATCCGTTACCGCGTAAAAGTGACCGTTTCGAATGGGTCGGTTCCAAAAACAGCTTTTTTTGAGTTTGAGAGGTCATTTCAAGTTTTTTTAGTAGCGCCATTGTTCTTTTCGGAAATTTGCCATAGGAATCAGGCATTAATTTGCAAATCCCCGCACCTTGCAACAGGCCCATTGTCATTGCTACCAGAGCACTGAAAAGCAATCACAAGACTTGTTATGCTCTTGAATTAGTCTATTACTCTTTGCAGTGATGGCAATGTTGCACGGTTTATGTTATTGATAAATGTGGCAAAACCATAAATGCAACTTTGGGTTTTCGATCGCCATACTTTTTCTCAGTAACTTTATCAATGCTTCCATGGATGTGAAAACAATCTAGAGTTGAGGTTGAAGTTGGTTTTTCTATCAGACCTCTGCTATAATATCCAACACCTCTTTTAATCATGATTAGATGGCTGGAATAGATAGTTAGATTTATAGTAGATAGATAATAAAGTATTGAGAACAATAATACAACAAATATTTGTACATTGATTTTCCACCTTGAGCTTAGCTTGTGTTAAGGAACTAACAAATAAATCCTAGATTAATTTAAAATTTGTTTAATTTCTTCGCTTAAACTAGAAAAGGCTCTTTTGATGGAGAAATGAACCCCAGAATCGAGCAATTAAATTTTAATGTATTTGTTCACTTTCTGATCGATTCTGTCAAAATGCTTTACTTTTCTAAGGGTAAGCATTTCCGGTCAACTCATTTCAATTTTCGAAGCAATTTTTTGGTGTATGAATTGATTCATTTCTTACAGAAATGAGGCCGAAGCTCCATATTGGTGCTCAGATTTTACGGTATTGTGCATAGTTTATGGTAAATTAAACAAATACAAGTGCCAATTATTTTACAGTAAAAAAAAGAGACAGAGTATTTTTTATTTTATTTTAAGGGTAAACTCACAGTCAAGATTTCAAATCGTTCAGCTGCAAACAAGGAAGCCCCAATTTATACTATTAGGGCATTATCGCGAAGCTAATACGTACATTGTCTCTATAAAGAATGACTATTATTTCATTCAAGAAATTTTTCTATACTTAATTTAAGATCCATAGAATGTCAAATTCTATTCTTAAGATAAATGAGTAAATGGAACTCCGGTGAGGAAGTCTTACAAAGTACTAATTATTTACTTTTTCATATTGATTCGCAGAGTATTCCTCCACCAGATGCAAATGATGCGATGCTACAGAACTTCCTGCACGAGGAGTCAAAAGATGAAGCGCCACCCCCTTACCACCCATCGTTCAGCCCTCCATTTTCATATAACATCCCTCCTTCGTCTTCCAACGTCAACCTCCCTCCAGATCCAAGCAAAAAAATTAATACAGCCTCTGGCAACGTAAGTTTCTTATAGGTTTATTAAAAGAGACCATTGAGTGGACCACTGGGGAAGATGCAAATTTAAGCATTATGATAAAAGATGGCTAAAGAATAATACCACTCGTCCGCAAACTGACGATTTTACAGGACCAAGGAACGACTTTGCCATTTTTGTAATTTTCAGGTTTAGTTTGCCATTTTTTTGCAACTTGAGAGAAGAAAATATTTCCTCTTTGAATTTGTTTTGGGTTCCTTCTTAAACAACAAAAAAGGAATAGAAACCCTGTATAGGAATGCAATTATACAAAAAAAAAAAAAAAAAAAAAAAAAAAAAAAAAAAAAAAAAAAAAATAATGCTCTAAATTTACGAAGTTTCAGTTATTAGGTATTCAAATATTTGCAAGAATAGATGTCCTCTCAATTTTTTGAGACTATACACCACACCTTGGTACATGTAATCAACAGATTTCCAATTGCATAACTAAATTCATGATGTATCTTTACTGATTTTCTTGGTACTTACTTTCAGAATTTATCAAATAATGGTTCAAGTTCGAGCAACCCAGATATGAACATAAACAAACAGGTAAGTTGGATTTTCCCTCGATAGATAAGTTTTAATAAACAAGAGCTGGGTATTAATTTTTCCAAGATTTGAGATGAGGATTTTAACATGATGTCAAACCATGGTACTTGCTCTGTATGAAAAAAAAGTAACACTCATTAAGTTCTAAGTTCTAAAGTTGCCCCCCTTCGGAGCAATACTAGTTTTAATCAATCTAGAAGGCAACTGCAAATCGACGGTGAAAGTCGGCAATCACATAACTTGTTTGCGGTGTCTGAAAATCTCCGCCTCTACGTCATTTTTTTAAAGGAGAGCAAATTGATATTATTTCTTGAAGTTTTTGCAGAATTTTCTTCGCATTGAGAAGAAAAATCATGACAGTTTTAAAGAATTGCCGTTGAGTAGTTTTCCATTTAAAAAATAAAGTATGACAGGAAGTCTGCGACGTCGCAAACCGAGTTATGTGATTGCCGACTTGCATCGTCGAAATGTATCTCTGATCTAATTGGATCCATCACCAGCATAGCGCAGCCTCATGAGTTTTTGCTTCCAAGCTTGGGGACGCTATCAAGAGGACACTGAGGCGTGGGCAGTGGCCGCAGTGGCTATCAAACTTACAGGCATCCAGTGAGTTTTTAACAAAGCAGCTCCTGTGATGTAAAAATGTACCAGGGTTAGGAATGAAGCACCTCTGAGAGTAAAGACAAAGATTTTGACATGACGTCATAGTCATAAAGCTTAATCCTGTGAAAACGGAAATACTCATTATGAAAAAGTTTTCCTTTTTAAAGTTACGTTTTCATTTCAGAGTTGCATTCAAGGGGGGAGGGGGCGTCAAAATACCACGAATAGTTGAGTCCAAATGGGGATTCTTGGCTTCCTATACTGTGCACTTTGCAATTTTTCCTCAAAAATTCCATCTGAAATTTATGCATGAGTGTCAGATCACAGGACCCAAAGAAGGCGAAAATTCCCGAGGCTTCAAAAACTTTCTAAAATGAGCAATAGATATCCTTGCATCAATCTCAATGAAATGATCTGCAAAAAATTCGCTCTTTCCTTAATTTAATGTCATTTTTTTCTTTCACGTAGAATGCTGTTGCTCCGAAACCAACACCACGCTCAAAAATGGCTCCACCGGGTAATTCCGGTATGGACCTTAACCTCCCAAGCGTGCCTTCTGATGAATTTCCAGCAGAGCTACCGCCCAATGCAAACGCGCCGAATAATGATGACATCGATTTTGACGACCTGATGAAGAGATTCGAGGACCTTAAGAAGAGGAAATAACATTCTAATTCAGGCTCAGCAAACAATATACATGTTTACTATTTTTTGTTATTTTTGCCTTCTCAAAGTAGGCTTATTTGTGGCATTTTCGCTCCTTGTCAATCCCAATCAAGGAGAATAATTAAGTAAAAAAATATTGTCATTAATAGAGCTTTCTTACACAAACAGAAATTAGCAAATCAATACTTTTGAACCCTACAAATTATTACTTTTTTCATGAAATAATGTTATTTGGTTTTTTGCTCATGGTAATCTCATATCTCCCGATTTTCAGGGTTCAATATCTAGCAATCAAAAGTTGTCAAAAATAGGTCCAGTAAAATATCGGCGGAGAATATTAACACAGTTAGTCCAGTATTTTTACAAACTGAATTGAAAAAAATAAAATAATATCTCTAAAATATCTAAAATAAGGCTTTAATATGTCTATAAAATTTTTCTATTGGTGTTAATGTGCCAAAAAAAAGCCTAATAATGCAGCTATGAAAATGGCTTCATACTGAAGTATGTAATTGTGATCAAATCCATGAAAAGGGACCTTACCCTCCGGAAGAAAATTTCCCTTAATTTTTTGCAAAAACTCAAATCAGGTTTTTCTACAACCCAAGATTCTTTGCTTTGGAACTTGAGGACCGACATTTCCTTCACTTTTTTAGATTTTGTAGTCGAACTTGCGCCAAAAGTTCCAGGTTCTCTTCCTCCATGCATCCGCAAAAAGTTGAGGAAGATTTTTTCCTGGAAGATGAGGTCCCTTTTCATAGACCCAGTCACGTATTGTGGATTTGTTATTAAATAAGATATTTTATTTTTTGATCGCCCGTATACTTAAATACACGTACACTAACACTTAAAGTAGGTGATGTATGAAGCATTTAAATTTTACAGCTTCAGTGGCTCGAGAAGTCTAAGTTTTACTTCGATAGGGGTCACTTTGCACCTGTAAATTGTTTATTGACATTTTCTGTGATCGAATGTATGCTTTAGGGATCTTTACTTATCGTGGACGTTTAGATTATCTTATCTTTAAGCTTAGTCAAGAAAACGATAATGTGTAAAATTCCTTGCTTTTTTCAAAAATATTCTCTGAAAATTGTGTGATTGAAATGCCTGGTCATATTCTTCTAAAAAAATAGAAAAGGAGCAGAGATATCAAAGCATCACAATTGAATCGACATATGCGAAAACGTCCATTGTCCAATACAGGGTTTTATAATTGCAGTGGTTTCTTTTGCCCCACAAGAACACTGATGAATAAAATCGATCTCTTTTGTGAACGTTTATTTATACTTGAGGGATTATTTAAAAAATTATTCTACATTCCTAATGTCTTAAACCATCTTGCGTCTTTAAGTTCCAACGAAATGGACTCCTCAAATTCTGAAACACTGTATTGGACATTGGACGTTTTCGCATACGTCGATTCAATTGGGACTTAAGTTTTTTGTAATTTCACTGCTCATGTATTCCATAGCTGTAAAACTGAGGAGGGGTTGATAGTGATCGCTACTGAGAAGAGAGAATGGAAAATGAGAGGCTTTGCTATTCTTGCACAGTGCGCAATCTATAAATAATTCTCAGAAGGAAATCATTTTAGTGCTTTCTTTTTACCAAACTTTTGTGTACTTTTTGTGCTCCTGATCTAAACAGGATTCACTCACACCATAGCTGTTGATTCTTATGAAATACAAATAAATTGTTTTATTCAGTTTGTGGTGTTATTTATCTCCTGCTTCCCACTTTAAATGTTTTTTTTTTCTTTTTTGGGACATTCAAAACTGGTCATTATCATCAAATGTAGTAGAATGTAAAAAATTAGCAAAACAAAAATTAGTCAACCCGCATGAAATTGCAGCGCTTTTATCGTCATTGCATTCGGGTCTCACTGAACTTCCTTTCAGCAGTAAGGGGGCAAGTATCATGAGCCAATTTGGCTGACACTTTGAACCCCCTCCTGTAAGACAACGCTTTCATACCCCCTTTTGAAGGACATAAGACTGGCCTGACCAGCCTGACCCGTGACCCGATTTTTCAGAAAGTAAGAGAGGAAACCTGGAAAAGGGGGAAACAAATATTTACTGGAGAGTATTATTTTTTTAATCACGGTAAGCTTATACGCAAAACTAGGCCTTAACTTCCTTCTCCCCTCCCTCGTAGTAGGTATCCTGTGAGCCAAGCTCAGTAGACCCTTCCCTCTCCTTACCTGGCTTTTGCAACACCTGAATGAACCCTTGAGGATCACATCTAGAAAATTGTGAAATTCAAATTTTCAAGAATACAATTACCTACATGAATTTTAGGCACAACAATCTTGAAAGATAGTAGATTCCAAAAATATCCTGCAGGGACATCATTCAGGAGGGTAAGTGGCAGCTCCTTTCTAGTCTGAAATATGAAGGGATTGCCCTGCCCCCTGTATTATTTGCAGTTAATGTAAACTGTGGGACAGTTCAGGCCAATATTGATCCATTTCAGGTGATATTTTAAAGTTTTACCACCCCTCTCCTCCCATTTTTTCTGACAGACCCTCTCGAATACCTAGTTTCATAGCACATAATAAGTGTCAATAACTATCGATCAAACGCACGTAGATTATATTTGTCAATTCTTTATTTGGAGGCCCTAAACAACCCAAGGGATTTTAAATCTTATGATTTTCGCTCGTGAAGTTACGCCTTCTTATTTTTTGGCAGAAATATTAATTCAAATTGAGCGGGGAATGTGACGTCACGCAACCTTGATTTTTTTGCACCGTGACCTCCCATTGCCAGCATGTGCAAGATATTCAGTTTACGTTTCGAGATTTTGTATAATACATGTGTGTCCTCCCGAGAAGAGTAAAATGCGTGAGAAACTATGCATTTTCGTGACTATCACTGTGTTTGTTGAAACTGTTAACCTGGCCGGAACCTAGAATGTAATTTCGACTTCACAGCCGGCTCGCAACAAAATATAATGTGTACAATCTGGCAACTATAGTGCTTTTGTGACAAGTTACATTTGCAATGTTGCCGGTTAGCTTAAAAATTCAGAAATTTTGTTATCATTGGTTGTTGAGCCTCTTCTGCTTGTCAAACAACTTTTCGTGTCGTCTCTCCTCCCACTTCTATCAGTCGGGAGTCGGCTACTAGTCGGCTTTTACTTAGCGAGTTTAAACTGTGGTTGTCGTCTTCCGGTCAAGTGCTCTCCATCCTCAATTACTTAATACTTCAACCTAGCTACAAGTTTCCCTTCAACTTAAAATGGTATGTATCTTTATATAAGCAGAGCCTCACACGTTCTTTTTTTTCCTTTTGAAGGGTTGAAATTTACACTATTTAACTTGCATCCTTGTTCTTGAGTGTGGGTTATCAACTTCCTTATGTCGGCGTTCAATCATTATTATTTTTTCACCCCTTACAATTTCTCTCTATGCTCAATCTACTTGTATCAGATTTTTGCATTTCTCCCCAACTACGTTCAATGAGAACGATCCAATAATTTTGCGAGGCAAGGTGCTCACTTGTTCGCGAAAGGCTGGCAAAATTCTCCACATGGATCAATTTGAGTGGTTAACTAATATCTATACCCTTCTTTCCCCTGAACCAAGATCTTCTCTGCGGATCAAAGTCCATTTATCATTTGCCTGCTTTGAGAGAGGTTTGGGTGTCTTATCAGTGCTGGGTATTGTTTGTCACCTGTCATCCTTATTCTGTAACGATGTATGACCTTCAACTGTTTTTGACCTTTGGATGCAACTGAACTCCAGTCTATTTTAAGATTTCTCTGCATGATAAAACATGCATACCTATTCTTTGGGTGTACTCACAAGTCCCTAACACTGAATCAACCTAGCTCCTTTGGTGTGATTGCAAGTTACGAGGGCAAGCAGAATCTACTTCGTTCTAAGATCAAATTTCTGTTGGCTGCATTTTATATGGATGATTTGTATAGCTTTCGCTGCCTGAAAACACATGTTTTCAGGAAGGAAATGCCACTTGATATATTGGCTGGGAACATCATTGAAAGTCAACAAATACAGATCAACAGCTGGAGGTCATATTTACTTTACAGGTAAATTTTTGAAAAGGAGAGAGGAAAGTTCAAGTCCTTTAAAAACTCTTACCTTGCAGCTTTTGCGTGCCTACTCTTAGTGGGAATAGGTGCAAGAAAAGGTACAGAAATTTTGGTTGTAGTGAAAATACGCCATCGGCTCAGAATTTTGTCTCATGGTGTGAGGCAAGAAAGAGTCTGTATCTTGGAATATTGATGGTGTAACTATGGTTAAACCGCAAGCACGTATATTGACGGTGTAAATCCGCAACTACCTATCTCGTTATGCGACGTTGCAGACTTCCTGTCATATTTATTGTTTTAAATGAAAAACTATTTGACAGGAGTTCTTGAACTCTGCCGTGATTTTTCTTCTCTTTACGAAGAAAATCCTGCCGGAACTTCAAGGAATTATGTCAATTTGTACTCTTTTAAAAAAATGAAATAGGAGCGGAGATTTTCAACCACCGAGATACGTGGTTGCAGACTTACACCGTCAATATCTTGGTTTCCAACATTTTAGACTTCCTGTCATATGTTGTTTTTTAAATAAATAAGTACTTTGCGTCATTTTTTGGAAACTTCCCTGTATTTTCCTCTCTGTAAGAAGAATATACTGTAAAAATTTCAAGCAATATCAATATTGCACCCATTTGATAAAATTAAATCGCAGCAGAGACTGTTACGCACTGCAAGCAAGATATCGACGGTATAAGTCGGCAATCACATAACTCGTTTGCGGTGTCTGAAGATCTCCGCCTCTGTTTTTTTTAAAGGAGAATGAATTGACACCGTTTCTTAAAGTTTTTGCAGAATTTTCCTCGCACAGAGAATAAAAATTATGGCAGTTTTAAAGAATTGCCGATGAGTAGTTTTCTGTTTAAAAAATAAAGTATGACAGGAAGTCTGCGACATCGAAAACCAAGTTATGTGATTGCCGACTTACTCCGTCGATATGCGTCCCTACAGTCTAACTGTCCATGATTAAAAGAATGCGTATCTCCAATTGAGGACACCGCACCAAGAACAACCTATAGGCGTATAGGTCGTTATTACGCCAATCTGCTTTTCGGATTCTACGTACCCTGGACTATGCTGTGGTAGCGATAGAATATAGATAGGTAACGTCTCGAGGCCGAAAAACCTTTTTTTTCCGAGGCAAGTCAGGCCTCTGGATCGATGGGTGCAAGAACGACCTATACGCGCGGCCTTATCATTCTCGGTTAGCGGGCATCGGCGCGGCGCGGCGATAGTGATGGCTCGATTTTTTGATCTCATTTTATAAAGATTTGTTTTTATTTCAGAAAAACGAGCTATTGAAATAATTTATTCTCCTCTCAAACTATCCTTTCCTCCAAAAATGTATACTTCGCATTTTGCCACCAAAATGACTGTTGGGCGTAATACGGGCCTATAATGTGCTAGTTACCCCTCTCTATACTCACCATCGTTATTCTTTTATTTTGCGTTAATCATGCGTGATTAAAATGATTTATACTGCATATTGCCACCAAAATGACTGTTGGACGTAATAGCGACCTATAAACCGCTTTTTTAAATTAACTATATTAGAGTGTAAACCCAAAATGTATCGCAAAATCTACCCGGCATCCTTCAGTAAAAGGGTTAAGTCACCCGAAAACACCAAAACAGGGTACCTGCATAGAAAAGTCTGCGCAGTACATCAAAAACAAAACTTTAAATGCGTTTTTCTCAAAACGCGGTTTCCAGTTATAGGTTGTTCTTGGTGCAATGTCCTCAATTGTGGTAATGCAAGTTTGTCTCTGCTCTTGTTTTATTTTTCTACCATCAAGCTTTCTTTTCTCTGTGAATTTTCTCAATGCATTCAAAATTATTGACAGAAAATTTCAAGGAATGTTATTTGTGAAACGTAATTTTCGAATAATAATACATGATGAGAAATCTTTCAACATTGCAATGAAGATGATGTTTGCATTTTGTACCTCTAGTCATTGATGTATTTAATGGCACAGGTAAGATGGAATGAATTTTTAATGAAAGCAAGCGCATTAAATATTATAATTTTTTTTTGTAAAATTCTATAGCATTTCCTGAAGCTTGAACTATTTAAGTACAGATCTATTCAAATGAAGTTTCCTGATTAGGTAACATGTGAATTTGTTTTACAGGCCGAACCAATTAAAGTCGTTGTGACTGGTGCTGCAGGGCAAATTGCGTATTCCCTCATCTACCAGCTGGCTAAAGGAGATGTTTTTGGAGCCAACCAGCCTATTATTCTTCATTTGCTTGACATTCCTAACATGATGGGTACTCTTGAAGGAGTTGTCATGGAAATCGAAGATTTGGCCCTCCCCCTTGTCCGAGGTGAGTGATCTCTCTGCGCTACTTCATACAAGAGTTACGATATCATCAAGGCTAGATCACATATGTCGCCTCTTCAAAATTTCATGCAGAACAGGATTCACACAACAAAAATTACGGAAGTTAACTCCTAACCAAGATATTAACCTTTTTTATTTACTATTGGTCACAAAAAATTGTAATTTCCCACTCTCACAAGAAACACCAGAGTCTACTTGAATCAAATCACCCACACTACAATAATTTTGACAGGCTTTTCAATAGGAGTGTTCCTTCCCCACCCTGTGTTGTTCAACGTACAATAGCTGAGCCAAAGGGGCATTGATCAAAGATTGAGGTCATATTCTCGTAATACGAAGACTGACCTGTGCGTCTAAGTTATGTGAGATTTAACTCAAGTGGATTATGGTTCTTTTTTATGAGCGGGAAATTTGAATTGATGCATTGAAAACCTTTAATACCTATTTTGGCTAGGAGTTTTGTTCAGTAATTTTTATTTTACTAACCATGTTCTAGGTTTGTAAAATTTTAAAGAGAAAATATACACCACAATATTTAAATTCGCACCTCGTCGAGTGCTCCATCTTTTGTGAAAGAAAATGCACCACAGCGTCGGTGGAAAAACTCTGTCAGCAGATTTTCCGAGATGAGAAGTTGGTAAAAATAACTTTTCTTTTGTTTACTCTCAGGCCAGTATAAGGCTTTTTTTTTTATCACAGAACAGGGTGGATTGTAGTGGAACAAACTGGAACAGGATTCTGAGAGATCCGGACCGATCCTAAGCGTTCCAAGTGATACAAAATTTCCAACTTGGTGGTTGGTTTGATTTGTTAATGTTTTGAATAGTCAAGGACGAAAAGTTTCACGAATTAGGTTAGGATCACATTGGAACGCAATCTCAACCCACCTTGGAAGTGCAATCCATCCGTTCCATCCCGATCCACTGGAAGGCTTGGATCGCGGCTGAGGAACGGAATAAACAAATACCAATGTTCATCGCGATCCTCTGTGTTCCCCTTGGTTCTGGAAAAAAAAATAAACCCCTTATTACAACAAAAAATGAGGGATTTTTGCAGTGCAAGATTAAATGACAAAAACTTTCACATGTATCTCATTGTCTTGGTATCAATGAATATATATTTTTGCATGAAAGTGGATCTGATTATTTTTTTTTTTTGATGAAAAAATCATTCATATTTTTTTTAGGAGTTGTTGCCACTGCAGATCCAGCTGCAGCATTTAATGGTGTAGAAGCAGCCTTCATGGTTGGCTCAATGCCCAGAAGGCAGGGTATGGAACGCAAAGATCTTCTTTCAGCCAACGTCAAGATTTTTAAGGACCAAGTATGACTGCTTACTTATATACATCCCTCTCCTTTGCTGTTTTCACTTGCTGTTTTCACTTTGCTGTTTCTACTTTCTCTCAAGAACTAACCGTCTATGGTGTTTCATATTTGTGACAATGCACTTTTGGGGTGTTTCAAAAAGTGTGCTATTTCTATGAGGCCTGATGTTGCAAATTTTCATCAGCATTTTCCTTTTGAAATTTTTAGAAAAAAATTTGAGATTCTGTGTTTGTGCAAAAGCTACAGCATAGATTTTTGTCCCCCAACATCCGAGATCCAAAATTCCTTCATGGCACAAAGTGTTTATCAAGTTTTCTAGCCTTTGGAACATTATTTGGACTGAGTTAAGCAGAAAGGAACCAACCCACATTTTTGAAAAAATTGAGTTATGAGTGACTTTGAACTCAACCACTGCTCTACTATCTATCGCCAAAAATTCAAGGTTTTTGTTGGAGCAAATTTTGCAGAAATTGAACTTGAAGTTTATCTTTTACATTGAGTATTATGCAGGAGCCAAACTTTAACCCTCCTTTTCTCGGTTCGATCCCGATGTGGCTTGGTTCCTTTCTGTTTAACTCCGTCCATTTGAAATATTTATTGAACAGAAATGTTTTTAACAGGCAAAAAATCCAGGAAAGTCTTCCAGGTGTAACTCCTGGCACCCATTATTACTAACAAAAATATCTGGCACTATTTGAATATATAGTCTTGAGATCCTATGTTAGAGGTGGCTGTCTTACATAGCTCTAAAATTGATCAATGTCCGGGCAATGAAACAAAGCATGCTTTCCTCTGTGATAACTTTTGCCGATTACGAATTCATTAAAGTGAGATCGATACTATCTTTCGTAGATAGAAAAAATATGTTTACCAATGTGGCATAATTTTTAGTGTAGTTTCTTACAATTTCAGCTCTCTCCTTGCCTGGTCTGAAAATCTTAAAATTTTTTTCATCCTTAAGTGTTTCAAAAGTCGGGCATTCTCATAAAATTTGTCAAGGGAGATCTGGGAACGTCAGAAAGTCAACCTTAAATTTCAATGGTCCTCCCGTAGAAGATACCTCTCTTTGCATCAAAGTGTATTTAAATTTTCAGGGTGAAGCCTTGGACAAATATGCAAAAAAAACTGTCAAAGTTTTGGTCGTCGGTAACCCAGCCAACACAAATGCACTTATCTGCTCAAAGTATGCTCCATCCATTCCAAAAGAGAACTTCTCAGCAATGACTCGATTAGATCAGAACCGAGCTCAAGCCCATGTCGCGGCAAAGCTGGGTGTCCCTGTGGATCATGTCAAAAATGTCATCATTTGGGGAAATCATTCCTCCACGCAGTTCCCTGATGTCAAACATGCCACCGCACAGATCAATTCTGCTACACTTCCCGTTTACGATGCTTACAAGGATACTGAATACCTCAAAAACGACTTTGTTAAAGTGAGTATCTTAGCTTTTTAAGAAGTCTTGGATGAGTTTTTCAAACTCATACTGCACAGGCATTGTAGAACATTGTGTACATTGTGAACATTTTGTAGCCATTGATTAGTACTAGAATCATTGATTTCTAGCAATATCTCGAGCTAAAAGGTTATATGTATTAAAATTTTGACAGCCATGCAGGCTGGTGTCTCATGATGTGTCTGTTTTAAAAGCTCTGGTTTTTGTAGTGCGTTCTTCACTGGCTGAACTAAAAGTTACTCTCACTGCTTCTGAGTGTGCACCATTGTTGCCCCAGTTGGGGCAGTGTCTCTCATGTGTATCGTCTATCATTTACTTTCTTTCTTTTTCGCCCGATGAATATTTCGGTTGTCACTATTTAAACGATGGCCATTTTGGCCTCAGCAGAAGCCATCATCAGGTAATTAATAAAAAACTAACAACGAAAACAAAACAAAAAACCGAAGCCAAAAACCGACGTTAAAAATTCTGTGTATTATCGCCGGCGACGCCTCGCGATACTCGCGTTGCCGGCGATAATACGCGGAATCTTTAGCTTCGGTTTTTAGCTGCTGTTTTTTGTTTTGTTTTCGTTGTTAGTTTTTTATTAATTACCTGATGATGGCTTCCGCTGAAGCCAAAACGGCCATCGTTTAAATAGTGACAACCGAAATATTCATCGGGCGAAAAAGAAAGAAAGTAAGTGACCATAGTTCCCGATAAAGAAAACAAAGAAGTAGTGAATCGTCTGTGTATACTAAGTTGCTGGAATTCTCGCTTGAATCCATCCCGATAAGAGCAAAGTAAAATTTTTAGGGGATCTAAGAAAAGGATTTTGGTCTATTTACTATTGTTGAAGTCCAACGAAGGAGATTTCACCAAATCTGAGGAATTTAAGCATGATCGAATTTAATTCATTTTATTGTGATGCTCTTTCCAGCTTTCTGAGCATACAAAGCTTTAAATCAAAACTTTTTTTGTACCAATTCCTTGAAAATCAGGATTAAGTTGGGAATTTTACGCCACAGGATATCAATGGCCCAAGTATGAAATCATGTATTGCCGTTTGCGGTGTTGTAAACTTCCTGTCATACTTTATTTTGTTCTTTCATTTGAAAACAAAGTAGTCAACATAACTTTCTGAAAACTTTGTTAATTTTTCTTCTGTGCTAAGAGAATATTCTGTATAAATTTCAAGCTATAAAGCTAGCCTGTTTTCCCTCCAAAAAATAGAAAAGGAGCAAGAAAATTGAAACACCGTGATAGAGGCACATGGTTTTGCCTTTTGGCCATCGATATGTGATTTATAGCAGTAATGTTGCTGCAAACACATTTTTATCGGAGATTTCTTACCTACTTTCCTGTAAAAATTTTAGTGATCGCCCTCAAATGCACAGAACCTTCTTTTCAAAAATACGACGTCCTCAGGAGCTCTGGTGCATTTCAGCGCATATGCATGTAAGCTTTAGCATTTTATCGTCTAATTCTAGAAGCATAATTATGATATCTTTAACACGTCGTTACCGAGTATTTACAATACTTATTTCACCTATAATACATCATTACTGAGAATTGATAATTTTTATTTCAGACGATCCAAACCCGAGGCGCAGCTGTAATAGCAGCTCGAAAGATGTCTTCAGCAATGTCTGCGGCAAAGGCAGCTGGTGATCACATGAAGGATATCTGGCAAGGCACCAAGCCTGGTGAATGGGTCAGTATGGCTGTCCTTTCTGATGGATCTTACGGAGTGCCAAAGGATGTCATGTTCTCGTTCCCAGTCCAAATTCAAAATAAGGAGTGGAAAATAGTACAGGTGAGCTTGCGCTATTCTTGCCTTCTTTCTTGATGTATATTTAGCCCCTCTTATTGGCCTTTTAAAAGACTCCTCAAAAAGAGTTAGCCTAATTTTTGTGCATACCTCCTCAAACTCATGGATCATCACTAAGAAAGTAACATCAACCAATGACAAGCAAAAGCTAGCAAGCCATCAGAAAATTGACAGTGTCTATTCTCAAACTTAAGGCTAAAAAAAGGGCTTTACCGTATCCTGGGAAATGTTTTGTTCACGAGTAATAAGCGCGGAAAGAAGCAAAATTCGGGAAAATCGGCTATTTTGAACTGCGCGCGCGGCGTTGATTGGAAGCAAAACGTCCCCTCCCACTCAGTTCGGCGTATCGCATTCCTCTGCCAAACTCATAGCCACATGTCTCCTGATCCGTTGCCGCGCACAGTTCAAATTAGCCGATTTTCCAGACTTTTGCTTCTTTCCGCGCTTATAACTGGTGAACAAAACATTTCCCAGGATACAGTAAAGACATATAGGTGCCATAGAGAGTCAGGAACAACATATCAGTTTTTCAAAGAAATTAAAAATGTGCTATTTTGGGGATCGGCCCGAACGTGAAAAAAAAGCGGGTCGCTTTTTAGCGTTCCGGCGCTTCGGAGGCAATAACTCGAGTTTAAGTTGACAAAACCCTATGATATTTTACATTTTCTGAAAGCTCTATTCACGCTAAAAATGCTCGTTTTAACCGCATTTCGAAATATTTAGTAGTTTTTGAGTAAAAAATTTGCAAAAATTTCGCGGATTTCCAACTTTGACCCCCCGCCGACTTGAAACTTAAGGGAAACATGGGGCATTGTTAGAGAAATGAATTGGGCAAGTTTCAATGGTATCTGACACGAGCGTGAAATAGCTCATTTTGCACGTACCCCTATGCCAATGTTTTAGTGTGTTTCTCTGGGACCCCAGGAATGAATAAACGCAACGCGTTGAATGCTTTATTTGCAGGTTTGCTTTATCTTCCAGGCTTTCATTCACTGAAACATCTTACAGAGTTTTTGAGGATTCTTTTTAAAAAGTCATTCTGGAAGTAATTTAGGTACTTTGGAACTATTTCAATTGTAGCCATACACTTATTTAGTCACTGAATAAGTTCGTTTGACCAACTTGTGGCAAGTAATTTTGCAAAAACATTTTGTAGAGACAAATTCCAACTTATTTTGTCCTTAATGTGCATCTGGTACCTTTTTACATTTTCAGGGATTAGAGTTGGACGACTTTTCAAAAAGCAAACTGAAGATCACAGCTGATGAACTGGTGGAAGAGAAAGAAGAGGCATTGTCCATCTGCAACAATTGACATGCTGGGCCCTCAATCAAAGGAGCAAGCCGCGCAAAACTATGATTGATCTACCTTGATGTATAGCAATAAACCAGAAACTTTCACCTGTCACTCCAGCACGTCATGCATCCCCAGTGTGTTCCATTTTTTTTTTCAAGCTGAGTTAAATCCATGTTGTTGAATGTATCCACGTAGTTATTATGCTGTTAGAACAGTCGTTATGAAAAACTAACCCAACTCACAAGGGGAGCTTTCCAAGTGTAACCGGAATTTCGAGTTGAAATTTCGCATGAAGATACTAGAGATGATTTTAGGGATGCCGTATTTTTTCGTTTTTTCGAATGGGGTCGGGAAAGCCCTCAAAAAAAGGGCTAAAGATGCGGAAAAAACGCGTGCGCTAGCGGCACAAGGTAAACATAGGTGATAGAGGCACTCCATCCTTATCAGTTCCACATGGCCAAACGGTAGCGTGCTCGCCTCGCAGGCGGGAGGTCGTAGGTTCGGATCCTGACTACAGTCCGTAATTTTATTTTACTTTATGCTCGTTTTTTTTTTCACTTACTTTATTTCGCACCATTCTCTCCGCAAACCGACTTATGAAGTAGAACACGTAGTGACTGAAGATTTTTTACAAATGCTGATAAAAACTCGAAGTTTCCTCGGATTGAAACGTTATATATAATTGAATAAACAAAACACTCTAAAACTCACCAAATTTCGTTGCCAAGCTGAATTCCCGGAGTATCAGTAAAATACAGATACAGATTCGACTGATACTTCGAAAATTCAGCTTGGCGACGAAATTTGGTGAGTTTTAGAGTGTTTTGTTTGTTCAATTATATATAACGTTTCAATCCAAGAGAAACTTCAAGTTTTTATCAGCATAGGTATGTAAAAATCTTCAGTCACTACGTGTTTTACCTTGTAAGTCGGTTTACGGAGAGAATGGTGCAAAATAAAGTAAGTGAAAAATAAACAAGCATAAAGTAAAACAAAATTACGGACCGTAGTCAGGATCCGAACCTACGACCTCCCGCCTGCGAGGCGAGCACGCTACCGTTTGGCCACGCGGAACTGATAAGGAAGTAGTGCCTCTATCACCTACGTTTACCTTGTGCCGCTAGCGCACGCGTTTTTTCCGCATCTTTAGCCCTTTTTTTGAGGGTTTTCCCGACCCCATTCGAAAAAACGAAAAAATACGGCATCCCTAAAATCATCTCTAGTATCTTCATGCGAAATTTCAACTCGGAATTCCGGTTACACTTGGGAAGCTCCCCTTGTCAGTACAGCAGTGCCTAGCACCTCCTTGAATCAAATTGAAAACCTGCCAGCTGATCTCTCTGTTTTGCTGGACTGGTTATTTTATCGTTTGTCTGTTGAATATTATGAATTTTTATTTAGCGTAACTGCCCTTTATTCGTTTTTAATTCGTATCTTGTCTATTTTTTTGGATTTCCTATTCAATAGGCCAATTTTACCTCATTCCGTACTGAATAAAATCCTTCAGCTTTATTTGTTAAAGGTAACTCATCTAAGTCATGCTACAACAGACCAACCAAACTCTTCATATTTTAACAAGTCAAATGTTTTCAGAGTAATGTTTCTGCCGAGAATTAACTGACAGATATGGTTGAAAAAACGAACAAATCCTCTAAATTATTAATGATTGGTTGTTATTTATCATGTAATGATTTTTTTTGGGGGTGTTAAATGAGTCAATCTATGATCGTTCCATTCTAATCTCACACTTACGTAGTTCAATTGTAGTTGTAGTTCTGTTTCTTCTTGGGTTGAGGGTGAGTCTAGCTCTTAATAAATTAAGTTAGGTTAAAGGAAGTGTAAATGCTGCTACAAGAGTCTGAATTTCCAAGTCTCATAAGTCTCATACAATTCAAAAATAAAAGTAATCCGTAAGTACAACAAAGTTTGGTCTGATATTTTGTTTTTTGTAACGTAAGTAAAATAGTTTGTCAATTAGATGTCCAAACCAGACAGCTGAACTCGATCTTCTCGTTTTTAAGCTCATATCTTATACAATCAAACACAGGAATATAATTTGATACTCGCAGCCTTGTAAATTTTAAATTGTAAGAATGTTTGTACGATTTTAGTCAAGTATATTGTGTATTTAATGGGAAGTGTATAGCTGCAAACTCTTTAAATGTGATAAGCATTCAGTGGAGTGGCAGGCTTTGCCTTGTATTGATCGATCTGTCATTTAAACCCCATGGAAAAGGATCAATAAACAGGGTATTTGCAATGAACACTTTAATAATTGATTCTTTACCACAGCTTCAATTGGGGAAATATCGATAGTCAATCATTCTCGTCTTGCCACTAATAGCATTTGGATGGCATTTAGCAGAAAGGAACTAAAGCATTATAGTGTCTTCGAAGTCTTACAACATCTTTGTTTTAAAAAATGAATATCCAATGCATGCATAGTAATAAAATTCACACGATTATATTCCTTTAAAATCAATAATTTTTTGGTAGAAAAACAAACTATTTGCTCTTCTATGCACTTTTTAGATGAAGATGCATGATTTTTGCAACCTTTTATTTGCGCTGGTTTCAGTGGCGATTCTGCAAGTTGGCATCACTATTTTTACTACATTTGAAATCATTAAAAATATCGATTTTAGGTGAGGCAAGCTGCCTCATTAAGAATTGATTGTTTTACATACATTCAAATGGAGGGAAGACAGTTTTGCCAACTTTCAAGAATCGCCACTGGCTAGTTCCCCTTTGCTAAATGCGATCCATTTGTTAAATTTTTTTTCCTATGCTAGATGCACTGAACTATTGACTGCAGCCTTGAGGGTCTTATCATCTAAGCTGCTAAATTTCATGTCTTGCTCTTCTGGGGAGACAAACTTTGAAGTTAACGGCTCCAATTTTGTGACTAATGCTCATTGATATTGAATGTAGGCTGCCTGTCAACTTCAACGAAGAACTTCTACTGAATTCTTTGACACCGATTGATACAGATTGCTAGATGCAAACCTAAAGGCTTTTGCAGCTAGAGATACAAATGCACTTGAGAATGATGAGTCACAGTTATGTTAGCACAGACTTCACCCTCCAATGTAAAGGCGGTATCGCTGATTTAAAACAAAATTTCATAAAGGTTATTTGTCCGTTGTTTTTATACACAGCAAAGATCTAAGAATCAACTAGAGGGCAATCTTCTTGTGAGTTAATTAACTCTTCAATCATCATAATTTATAAGGAGTTTTTTGTAGAGCTTTTACCATTAATTGATAAATGTACCCTCATAAAATTTACGCTTTAATATAAGCAGAGTTTGTGGCAGATGCTATTTTTTCTAAAGTATATTTCAAGAATATTTCAGTCGAGTTCCAGGAATCGGCACACATTTATGTAAAAAAGACGGACAAATTTATGAGTGAAAAGAGAGTTGTTACAAACAGCATTGTTCTGCTTTTTTATAAGGGTGGTTGTCGCATTATATTATTATTGGTACTTAGTTAAGTTTGTTCTGCATTGTGCAGGATTGAAATTTCGAAAGACAGTAGTTTCATGAAATGACTACCATGGATATTCTGTTTGTTTAAGTTTGTTCTTCTTAATTTTTTCCCATTTTTTGGTTTTTTGGAAGTTCATTTTCCCCGATTTTTATAATTTTTTTCTTCTGGAATTGTAAATAATTTTTTTATAAATTCTGAAAATCAATTCATAGTTTGCTTCTCTAATAAACTGCCGAAGGTCTAGTCTATTCTGGACCCCTCAAGTCTGCTCCTTCCAAATTTTTTACTTTTTGTATTACAACAATGTAAATTTTGTGTTACTCATTTTAATTTTATATTTTTAGTGAAATAAACAAATACAAATTTTACAAATTATGGTTCAATCTGTGAATAAACACAAGTCCAGGAAATATGCCACCTCTTGATCCGCCAGAAATGCATGAAGAACAATAGTCGATTAGAGCAAATTTTTAAAGAGAAATTGCCTTTTTTCCCAAAAGACTTCTGGTGAAAATATTAGAGGATACTTTTCGCGAAACAGAGAATTTAAGTGGAAATTTTGAGGAAATGTATATTTTTCCAACGAGAAAAAACGTAAGATCTAGAAATAAGCGGAAAGTCATCACTGCAGAATTTTCAATGTTTTAGGATACTTGTTAAATGAAAAAAAAGAAGAAAAAAAGTTATCGGCACTACAATTAGAAACAAATTTGAAATTACTATAAGAAGAGTTAAAAATTTTAAGTCAAAGAAAAAAATTAAAAATCAACGAATATTCTTGTATTAGTTTATTTCTGGTTACCTGACCTGACAGGCATTGAATTGTGCAATTTAAAAGCACACCATTTCATCTCTTCTAAGAACGGCTTGTGTTAATGGCTCAAATGTTGAAAGCACCAAGTAAACATATCTACCATCCAACCTTTTTGACTTATCCCTTGTCACATCTAGGTTTTATGAGAAATTTCTTATTCCTAAAAAAAAGACGCAATTAGAGAGCCCAAATAGAAGCACTTTTTTGTAGGAGAGAAGTATTTAGAATACTAAACGTCTAAATAAAGTTAAGGAGAACAGGGGGAAAGTGCGTTATAATTTGAGGATAGTGTTTTGTGACTGCACAATTCAATTTTACATTCAGTTCAAAATAGCAACATAAAGAAGACTCAAGGGAAATATGATAAAAAGAATACACAAGGAAAGTATAAAATTACAAATTTATGTTTCTGTATGACAGAATTTAAAACAAAATTACAAATACTCTACTTCTTTCAGCAACTGAAATAACACGGAAAATTCATCTTGCAGTTTCAAAAAGATACTCATGGTCGGCATGGAATTACTTGATGCATTGGTTCTTGTTCCTCGACTGGTTTTCTAAGATTGTGTCAACTGACACAGCAACTTGACACATTTCTTTCAAGATTTTATGAGGGAGGGGAAAAAAGGAAGTCGTCTCAATTCTTCTCTAAACTAACTGAATTTGATAACAGAAACCACAGTTTTCTTCAGAGAAATCATGTTATCAGATTTTGAATGAGCTAAAATTATAGAACCCAAGGTCCCAAAATCCAAGTTTCGAGAGAAACGGAGTAAAGAGTACCGTTCAATCTTATGAGCCCAGTTTTAATGGATATTGTTAGGTTACATATATTTCTTGAGCTGAAACGATTGCGTTAGGTTAGCATGACACAGTTTTTCCTGTTTTTTTTTTTTTTTTTTTTTTTTTTTTTTTTTTAAAATCGAAATTTGACTTTCGGCACTTGAGTCCTTAGGAAAAATACTAGTTATATTTTTGGATTCAAAGCACCGGTAGCTCACACTAGATTTTCTGATAAAAAATCGCATACAACTTTGGACCAACTTCGAGAGTAGAGGGATTCCAATATCATGTTGAAAAACAAAACAAAAAACCCTTTTGAATCAGAATGACACTTCTTGTTAATTACTAAAAATCATCTATTCGTTTTCTATAGGAAACGGTTGGACTGAAATCTGTAAAAGCTCAGAGAAAAGCTTCTGAAAAACCTGTTGATTAAGAAACAGAAACTTGAACAGCAACAGAACATGAGCCTTACAATAGCCTATTATCATAGGCCTACTATCATAGGCCTACTATCATGTCACATATTATCATAGCGATATGATTAACAATTTATTGCCAAAAAGAAAATCAAGAAAGAAGAAGAGGTTAGAGATATCAGTATAAGACTGATCCTCATATTACAAATTCTTGAGGAAAAATAGAGAACTACCTACAATTAAAAAATAGATCACAGCCAACAAAGAGGCTCCAGGCAAAGGATATATTCACAGAGAACAGCAAACAAAAAATTATAAAAAACGTTCCAGACATATTATTTTGATACCACAGAAGTAGACCTCTAGAAAATTAGATGTTTTCATTCAGGCATTTTTTAATGTTATTCCTAACAAACGACTTTGAGCTGTGTACACTAATTAGTGAATTGAGTTACCCGACTCTCTTCAATCTATTTGACTCAAAATTTTCCTGTGCCTGGTCTTATAGACGCACAGTAGAAAATAGCAAAACTGTTTGCTAAAAATTCTCAAGAGGATATCAATCAATGATAGATTCCAAGGAGATATTCAGTCAAGAGGGTCTCGGGGAAAAATGTTTAAATTTTGGCCTGGATGTTTTCAAAAAACCATCGCCGTTTTTACCCCTTCAACCTACTTTCAGGAACAACCTGATGACAATGAAAAGACAATGATTTTCTCATATATTGAAAGCAAGCACTAAAAACTGCTTTTTAAGGGCAATCAGAAAATATGACAGAATCAATAAACCTACTGACAAAGTTTTGGCCTTAATTTTACACACATGAACATTGAGATTCAAAAGAATGATCAAATCTGACAATGTTCGGCATTGATTGATTGTTAGTTAGACAAAACGGATAGAGCATTTGGTATTGAAGAAGTTATTTTGCAGAGCGTTTCTTCAGTGAGAAGGGATCAGCTCCCCTTGTGTTGATCTGAATCTGTATCCGTGCAAGAAGATTCGCTCTACGTTCTGTATCACGGAATAGTGCGCGGATGAGATGGCGCACTTGATCGGCCTTAAACTCCTCAGCAAGTGGACCCTTGCCATCTGCCCATCGCTCATCGATTTCTTGCAGTGTTCCACCGAGCACTTTGGTCAGCTCCACAAATCTTCCCCACTTTCGAATCAATCGGAACACTTCTTGAGGATTCTGGAGGCAAAACGTAATACTACTATAGCATGTGACAAAATTTAACTCACCATAAAATTGGAAAATTCATACAGGTAGGAGCTTAGGTGATACAGAAGGATTATTACTATCATTCGCATCTTTCAAATGTTATTAGGGGGTATTTTTTTTTAGATATATATGACAGAAGTTCACAAATAAACATTGCAAGATCATAGTTCATGATTTATGGTTCAATTGTCCATTTTTCACCTAGGCCTCATCTTACAAATATTTTTGGGGGTGACAGATAATCAGAATCTGTGATAGTAAGTCTAAAATACTTCAAATTTTGAAATTAGATTGGAGGCAGAAAAAGAGGGGATCATAACCAAAAACAAAATTTCAAGTATACTTGAGCATAATCAGATATTTTTGTTTTAGCAAATTTTCTAGTAAAATTGTGACCATTCAAGGGAAAAGGGACTTTGCTCGACCACAGCTACTGAAAACTTTGCCCCTATTAGTAGATTAATGTCCTTTCCTGTAAATTTACACAATATTTCACCAGCAAATACTTTTTTGTAATATATATATATCATCAAGTACTTCTAACTGACAGGCTTAAATAGTTGATTTTCCAACAAATGTAAGTAGAGAGGATTCGTCTTGTCTTAGAGAAATTTCAAGTACATTGAGGTATATTTAGACAGAGGTATGCAAAACAGGCACATCTGCATTGCTGTGTTTCCAAATCTCCCCTATTTTGATTCTTCCGAAGGATATCAACCTACATCCCTACTCGAAAATAACTGTAATTTCTCTCTTTTTATATAAAGGTAATTTCCACCAAATTTTAAGGGAAAACGATGGTTGGTTTCTTTCCAAAGGGTTATGATAGAGGATGAAATTTTAAAAAACTGCAAAGTAGATTTGACCGTTTCAATTGATTTTGCCCGTTTGGCTGATATTTAAAAAACCACTATATTCAAGTACGATATAAGATTTTTATGAGAAAAATCAAGTATTTTAACAAACTAAGAGGATTCGTGAGTTTACATGATCAGGGGTTTGCATGGAGATTTTCTGACTGAATTTCTGATACTTACAGGAAACAATCTTGGTAAATCCTCTATGATGTTCTGAAAAATAGTGACTAGATTAGTTGCAACGTCAGAAGCGATGTCATCTATGCTAAGAATACAGTTGATTAGTTCTTCGACTAAGGTGCTTGATATTTGTCCTGAAAAAGATTTCAAGTTAGAATTTTAGAAAGGTAACTTGAAACATTTATAACTTGGATTACAATGAAGTCTTGATTAAATGTGATTCAGAGTATCTATGTTTGATCAAAGATGATTTTCTGATTAGCATCAAAGTAAGAGGAAAAGGTAATCAGGAGAGAAGACCAGTGGTGCAGAAAGTTCATCAGTGTACGCTTTCACCGGCAAAACGCTTTTCCCTATTCACTATTACACAGCGTAATCTTAATATCTAATTTGAAAAATAGAATGAAATTGTGAATCAACCACTGTACTAATTGCGAGGGGCGTCGGTTCATTTGAAAGGTGTTGTTCTCAATGCTTCGGGAAAACTATAAATTATTTTCTGGGGTTCGTCCCCGATTTTTAAATCCCTAAAAACTCATAAATTGGATGAGGGGAAGTGGGG